ATCTGCAGGGCGCTCTCTCCCTGCTTATTCATTTCTCTATAGTCCCAGCATAAAGTCAGGGAAATGCCTTCCTTTCTCCCAAGCTGCCTGTAGGTGCCAGAGGACTTGGAGAAAGATGGGGGAAGTGGTTAATTATCATATTTCCTATCCACTCTTCATTGCAAATGTACCTGTAATTCCGCAGGAGGTTACAATTAAAAACAGAACTGCATACACAACACAGTCACTTAAGAAAACAAAGTAGATAGATGATATCCACTCTGGCCCTCAAGTCCAAGCCCAGCACTCCAGCTGATGAAGAGAACCCAGTCAAGTCTGTGCCACCTGTATCTCAGAGGGAAGAGAATTCCAAAGCTAGGGTGCCACCACTGAGAAGGCTTTCCCTGAACTTGCTTTGAAGGAGCATAAAAGAGGCTGGCAGATGAGTTAAGCAATATTTGTGGGCCACCACTTATCCCATTTATGCATTTTCATCTACATGGAACCGGCTTTGAAAGGTGGTCACCATATTGGCAAAATCAGCTGAACACCAAAGATTTCATAGCAAGTTTTCAAAAGAAGAACTGCTCACAGAGCAAGCTTGTCTCAAAATACCCTTAACTGGGGGGGGGGGGGGTCTGTGATGAAGACAGCCAGGAGGGGTCAGAGAATAAGCAAAGACTGAAATGTAATCAGACGCTTTGAAAAAGTTTTCTCCATGTTTGGGAAAGTAATCATCGTGCAAAGAACGCTCTTGTTTTTCTCCCTCTGTTGAAGGCCCTTTCATTAACAGTGCCAACAATATTGAGGAAGAAGATAAGCCATATTTCCCGAGATGTTAAAACAAGAAACGAAGGCCTAATTGCATTTCCCCTTATTGTATTTCACCTCTCTTGATCTTGAGGGAAACTTCCAAAATATGTTGTTATTTAAATTCCATAACATTAAAGCCTAGTTCCTAATAAGGTACTGAATATAGGTTCAGAGTGGATGTTAATGATGAAAAAAGGTTTCCTTCCCTCTGGAAACAAAACAAAAGACGAGGTTGTTTTGAGAGCATACAGAATCAGGCAAGATTCTACAAAATATTGAATATTGCTGTTGTTTCCAAAAGGTACATAGCATTATCGTTTCCCTTTGCCAGTGACACTAACAGCACTGGGAGGAGAAGGGAAGAGTAGAAAGATATTCTGCACAAAGATCTGGAGGTACCATGACGCCAGGGTGGACTGTACAGGACAGGACACGAGGAAACACTTGAGGGTTATTTCACACATTATTTAATTTTATTGTTAAAAAAAGCTCAACAACCTTTGGGGTGTCCTGCTTTTTCTTTTTGAAATATGGCAACCCTACTTATAGGTCAGATTTCAGTAAAAACCATGTGAAAACCAGAATCACAGACTAACCGTGAAAGAATTTTTTTTTCCTTTTATTGTAAGCCTGGTGACATAGGAAAGTTTTCAGCAAACAGTATTACACATACACACACATGCACATGTCACCTGATGAATCTCTATTGGAAGAGACTGACCTGGCCAGCAGGTGAAACTGACACGGCACGCAGCAGGTAATGACAGCACTGCAGGGAGAGGACTATGATTCTGAAGAATACATAATGAAAATTAGAAAGCACTGCTGGTTGATTAGGCTGCAGCCCTGCAACCTTTAGAAGAAAACCCCGACTCTCTCTCCTCACAAAAGAACAGACATTTTAAAAACAGCTAACGGGGCCATGAATCTCAGGTTAGAACACAAGACACACATTGACAAGCTTAAAACGGTGGCTAGTGATATGAAGTTTTGTGCAGCTGATCAGGAGAATCAGATCCGGGGAGAAATAAATGCTTCCGGGGCAGGGTGGGGGGGTGGATATTCCTGAAAAAGAAGAGAATGAAATTGCCCCAAAGTATTCCTTAAACCTGACAAGAAAAGCTGAAAGCACACTTGAATAAGAACCAACTTTAAGGTGGTGGTGGGGAAACATTGGGGGGTTTTTTAGCCTGACATTTTAAGATCTGTATAAACTTTTGATATAACTTGGATCTTCTTATCGTGTTTTCCCCACTTAAGCATGTTTGCACAGGCTTTCCCCCAGGAGGCTTGCAAAATAGTTTTCAAAAATCCAGCCCGAAAAATCTGGGATATTTGTCAATATAGTCTCATGTATTTGGTGTTACTCTTAATCCGAACAAACATGAGTCACCCTTGATTTTATTTGAGGAATGTCATCTCAGAGCCTGATCTTGAAATTTATCTTGGAGCAATTATGGCTCTGGTCCACCGACTTCCTCTTCCGGCTCCCATCTTCTCCGTTCGAACAGCTAATGGTATTTTGACTGCACTTCTACGAGTTGCCTTAAATGTTATGATTTAAAGTCCTTGCAATTCCTCTTAAATTGTTCAGGCCTTCCTGGTAACAGTTGCTAAGAAAAATAGCTGAAGAGACATTAGTTGCTTCCACATTACCCCAGGTCTGGGAACATCTGGTGCAAAGGATGGAAGAAGGTCCCCACATTATCAACTCAAAACAACTTCTCCCTCTTTTCTTGCTTCCTTCAGATTTCAAGGCATTTCCTTCCCCCAAATCTCTCTCCAACCCAGCTTCACACGCACACACACACATCTTATTTTAAGAAGGAACAAATTGAGACACACTGTTTCCTACACATCATTCCTAAAATAACCAGCTGAGATTTTTAGCAACTCTTATTAATAAACCGTTTAAGCTGAGCCTGAAAACGACACCCACCAACTGGAAGTGGAAACGCTGAAAAATGCAAAGATGCTTGCCCTCCAAATTCTACACAAGTTTAAGGAAAGATTAAATGCCTAACCTGTTGCCCAGTGTACTCTTGCTACTGTGGAAGAAAATCCTTCTGCCCCATATTCTTCATTGTGGCAGTTCCCTTGGTTAGCTCCTATTCATTTAAAGAGAAATTCCAAGGAGTCCTGGAATTTATAACCCAGTGGGGCTCTGGCCCATGAAAGCTAAAACCACAATAAAATGTGTGAGCCTTTAAGGTGCCACGGGACTCTTTGTTGGTCTTACAGCAGCAGAGTAACATAGCTGCCCCTCTATCACTCATTTCAATGGGGATGGTGCAGGAAAACTTTGCAGTGTATCATACTTGAGGCTTCAAGCTCTTATGCCTTTAATGGTCCAATGAGGAGCCAGACAAGGAGATTAAGAATATCTCTCCCCACCCACCTCCTCTCCAAGGGTGCCCAGTGCTTCCACTTTGCCACAATAATTTGCAGCAGGTTTTAAAAGAGAGGTGTAGAGAGAAAACGGAGTCATGTAAAGGCCAAGCTATAATAACCGAATGCTAGCATAAGCCCTATGCAAATGTGCACAATTACATCCAATAACATAATTACTAGGGTCCGGTTTCTTAAGGTGTGTGGTCTCTGGGCTGTTCACAGCTTCGAGATCCTGTTATTAGTACTTTTTTGCGCTGGCTGGTGTTTTTAAAAGCTGTTCTCATTTAAACAGTTGCATTTTGAGAAACAGGATGCTATTTTATTTTATTGCATGCAGCCTTGGGTTCATGGAGAGCGGAAGGTGGGATAATTATGTATAATGCACAAATATTCAAACAGGAAAGCCAAGCTTAAATTGTTCCAAACAACATCTCCCAGGCCAAGTTCAAGATTTGAACTAATGGCTGTTGTTGTGCCATGGCATTTATTTACGGAGTCTGGTGCGCTGTTATCAACCGCAGGCCGATTGTTGCTGCACCTTGATGTTGCAATCACTTCCACTGCCTGGGAGCCTTTAACCCCCGTCATGAAATTTCATGAAATTGATTTCTGCTCACAACAAGGCCTGAGATTACACTGGCAACCATAACAAAATTGCAGCTCCACCAAACAGATTTCCCAAAACAAAGTAAAATTAACAAGAATCTGATCAATTTCAGTACAGCTACTCACAAACTTGTAAGAGCAACTGTGAAATAGCTTTAAAATCACCCATTTATTCTGTTGTTTAGAAGCTGACAAACAGAAGCCCAAGGCACCATAAAGGAGGAAAAAATTAGAGGGGAGAAAACAGTGTAGATATATCTTTCCATACCAAACTTAGCTACTACCTCGACATTCAGATAACAGCAAGATCCTTCTCCTTTACAGTGACAGACCATCATAAGCACATGCAAAAGTTTCCACATTCAATACCCAGCATCTCCAATTAAAGGGATCACCTACAGTCTTCTTCAAACTTGGGTCCCCAGGTGTTCTTGGACTACAACTCCCATCATCCCTGACCATTGGCTGAGCTGACTTGCGATAATTCTCTGCACAATTTTGCAACTGTTTCCTATCAACATGCAAATTGTGTTCCCTTGATTTAGGCAGTTCAATATTATTAGCTGGTCCAAAGTCAATACGGGAACCTAAAATCTGGGTTGTTCATGCAAAACCGCAGTTAAGTTTCTAAAATCAAGAGGGAATGAGCACTGGCTGGAAGTCAATATCAAGAGTCAATATCTTAAACCAAAATAAGGAGCATTCAAAGCGTCTAGGTCTTCATGGGCTTTTTGAAAGTTTGCAAATGTTTTCTTTTCAAGATCTGATTACATGATGGCCATGCTCAGAAGCCCTGAGCAAAATCAGGGCACTCCTAAGTGCTGTACAATGTATTTGCAACCTGTTTACAGCCCAGACAATACAGAGGAAGTGCTGCTGTTTCCACATTGCAAATGAATTAAGATAAGTATCTTTGCTTAAGACATTGACTCTTGATATTGACATCCAGTCAGTGCTGTGTCTCTGATTGCTCACTGATGGGCAAGTCTGTTGAAATGGTAAACTAGTGATCACTTGGATGATGGTGTTTTCTTGCCAGTTTAGTTTTTTCAGCACAGAACTGAAACAGCTATCAAATATTCACATGGATACTACAGAATTGTTGAAAGCCTGGGAGAACAAAGAAGTCCTAGAAGGGCACCAAAAAAGGCAACAACCTGGTTGCTAGGCAAGTTTCCATAGAGAGAGCATTCCATAAGAATCCTGGGAATTATATTTTGTTAAGGATGCTGAGAGTTGTTAGGTGACCCCCTCACAGACCTACCAGTCCCAGCTGTGGGGGTTTCCTAAACACTCTCAGAACCCTGTTTAAATTGGTATGATACTGCTTTAAAAGTATAGTGCATATGAGATCAAGGAAGGACCAACAAAAAGGCCGTCTTTCAGCCACCCACTATTGTGGCCACCCTTCAGATTGAGGAGCTACTGTATACAGAGAAGAGCCTTCACAGGTGATCTGAAGGTATTAGTAGGTACATCTGGGAAGAGGTGATCCATTAGATGTAAGGTCATGTAGGGCTTTCTAGGTGAAAACCAACACCTTAAATAGGGATCTGAAACTATTCATCAGCCAGCATGGGCAATAAAAGACTGGCACCTGTCCTAAACAGCTTGGGCCCAATACTGTTAGCAGATGACCTCACCTTTTGTAGTCTAGTGCACTTGCCAAGAGCAACCAAAGGCTGCTACCTTATTCTGTGTAGCGTGATCAAATGATGAAGCTTCACATACAAGGCCCTCTCAGAAGATGCTTCCCAGCTGTGGAATTCCTTTTCTCACGGAGGATAACTTTCTAGAAGCACTTCAAGTTGTTTTTGTCTGGCTTGGCTTTTGGCTTTCACTGATAAGCCATTATGGAACCATTTTTCTCCATTGTTACGACCATCATTTTGTACTTTGGTATTTTGCATCTTTTGCTAGCTGCCCTTCAGAAAGAAAGGCAGGATAAAGATGTCAAAAATAAGTGGATTAGATGTATACAATTTTAATGACATTTATTAAATATTTTATTGTTATGTTTGATTAACAGCACTGCTATTTTCCTAGACCTCTGAGGAGAGACACAATACACATCAAGATAAAACAACTCAAAGCCTGTGGTGTTACGAAAAGTGCCTATGAAAGGAACATACAGTCTCCAACTTTACATGGTCATTTTAAGAGGCTGCTTCTAATTGGAACATTAAAACATTTGCCTGATGTAGAAAGGAAAGAGAAATCCTGTCCTCACCAGTGAGTTTCTGCTCATCCACTCTAAAAAAGAATCTTTGGGTGACTCTCTGCTTTGAATGATGTAAGAAATAAGAGATAAAAGCAGCAATAAAAATAAAATGTAAAGTCATACAGCACCTAGAACAGCAACAGAAAGATCAGCATGAATGAATCTTTCTTTATTCAATCTCATCCCAATTGGGAAAGCCATCATTACTTTGACAACCCTCGGGTGTTTGTCACCAAGATAGCAGAGTACAAATGTTTCCCTCATCTCATTGCACACTTTGCACAGATCAGCTCTTCTGGGAAGCAAAAGCAAATATTAACCCTTCGGATATTAGCCTAGGGTGATTATGGTAATTTTGAGCCAGTGGCAATAAGCAAACAGACTGATGTTTAGAGTAAGACATGCCTCCAGGCTCTAACCAAGGCCTGCTCCTGTTAGCCTCACTGGTCAAATATCTCAGGGAGTGGCAAATGGACTGCAAAACCAGCAATTGATGGTAAAACCAGTGAAGTCTCATTAAAAAAAACCCCAAAACATTTTGGTTGCATATTCTATACAAAAGAGATAATACACTTAGTTTTCTTTTTATGACAAAGAGATGAAAATATATTTCCTGCACATTTACAGCACACTTGCACTGATAACTGAGTAGCATGAACTTCTTGTTGGGCACAGCTTCCAAAGACAATCAAGTAAGTTGGTGGAAGCTGTGCCACTCTGTTTGGCACAAGGCAGTCAAGCTCCTTATTGCCTCTTAAAGACGGCAGATAGGAAAAGGGATTAATATAGGAGGCTGGGCGCCATGGAATTTCAAGGGGCGCACAACGAACGCAAGAGCAGAGCCAGCGCATGCTAGAGAAAGAATGGCCTTGCCCTCTGCTTATCTACACTGGAATGCCTTCAGCAGACACAGAAAGAGGAGGGGGAAGCAGACAAAACAAACAGGCTGTAGGCCACCATGAAGCTACTGAGTGCACAATGGCCCTGATATGTTGTTGTTGTTTAGCCGTTTAGTCGTGTCCAACTCTTCGTGACCCCATGGACCAGCGCACGCCAGGCACTCCTGTCTTCCACTGCCTCCCGCAGTTTGGTCAAACTCATGTTTGTAGCTTCGAGAACACTATCCAACCATCTCGTCCTCTGTCGTCCCCTTCTCCTTGTGCCCTCAATCTTTCCCAACATCAGGGTCTTTTCCAGGGAGTCTTCTCTTCTCATGAGGTGGCCAAAGTATTAGAGCCTCAGCTTCATGATCTGTCCTTCCAGTGAGCACTCAGGGCTGATTTCCTTAAGAATGGATACGTTTGATCTTCTTGCAGTCCATGGGACTCTCAAGAGTCTCCTCCAGCACCATAATTCAAAAGCATCAATTCTTCGGCGATCAGCCTTCTTTATGGTCCAGCTCTCACTTCCATACATCACTACTGGGAAAACCATAGCTGGGAAAACCATGGCCCTGATAGCCCATCTCTAATCATTACATTTGAATCCTGCACTTCTGACAAATTTGGGGGTTTTATGGAGTTGCGCCGAATCTGCACAAATGGAGGCTCTTGGAGTTGCCCACCACCAAGTAAAGCAATCAAGTTGGGAAATGCTAAGCATTGTATGCCATAGATGGAACGTCCCAACGGGCACATCAGATTGCCACACTTGAATTGAGCCAAGAGCAAGATTGGTAGTCATTTTGGTAAATGTGGAATTATATGAAAGTTTGCAATAAGGCAGAGGTGGCTATCTCTTTGGGGTTTTGTCGGTTTTCGGCTGAAGGACCATGTTGAGGGTTGGCATGCCACCCTGGGCCCATTTCCCAAGCAGATGCACACTCACACATGCATGCATTCTGCAGAGGGGATGGACACAGACAAGTGGTAGAAAAATGCATATGTACATCCATAGTGAGGCAGGAAACAGACAAGCAAACAGACATACACAGAGAGCCGGGGGGCAGGGGAGCTTCTCTAGGGCAGCACCAGTATAGTAGGGTCTCCTCCTGCCCCAGTACTTCCCTGGAGGGACAATAATGCAATGTTTGTTTCCCACAGCAGCAGTGAGGTAGCACTGTCTCCTCCTACACCAGCGCAGCTCTGAGGTGAAAGAAGGCCATGCTTCTTCCTGTTTCCTAAGCCTCTCTAAAACCTTGACAAAATGCAGCCAAATTTGGGCAGTGTGGATTGCAGGTCACCAAAAGTCACTTGGGGGCTGGATATGGCTTGGACCAGCTACCCAGGAATTAAGATAACATTACACTAAGTATTTAGGACTTCCTGTTTGGAAACAAACATTTAGATTCAGCTTAAGTGTCCTTGAAAGCAGAAAAGCCAGACATATATGCAGCTGCTGGGTTTGGTTTGTTTGTGTGCATTTCTGAGGCGCAGTGAACTATGGTAAACATGGCTTCTCAATTCAGCCAAACTATTATTATTATTATTTGAATTTATATACGTACCGCCCTATACTCAGAGGTCTCAGGGCGGTTTGCAAACCTGCTTCACACACCAGTTTCTGGATTTCTGGCTGATGGCAAATCATGGTCCATCCATTTAGACATCTGCCAAGTTAAGCATTCTCAACTATGTTTTGGCATGAAGTCTGAACTGAGATACTCACAGGAAAACTGTAGCATCTGCCAACTGCTGTTCACTTTACTACTGCTCCATCAGCACCTCCCATCCCCAAGACACACTGTGCATAGGAGAAAAAGAAATCTTTACTTTTGGTAGACCTACTAAACTGCTCTCAGGATTTGACGGATGCTGAAAAACAGAGGACACTCTCTTTTAGAAAAGGGCATGTGCAAGGGAACAAAGACAGAATGCAGGGGCCACACACCATACTGGACTATGGCCTAAGTGCTCAGAACTCCCTAATGTAAAGTTAGTAAGCTATGAGAAAGAAAATAAATGCTCAAGCTGTTTTGTTATAGTCATAAATATTTATAGTTTGCAATAATGCTGCACAATAAGAGACCTGTTGTAACATATTTACAGTACTTGACCTCACAAATAAAACATTTTCTCCACTTTTGTCCTGTTGCATAGGAAAGCAGGTGTTAATTATATTCAGTTGCAAAAGATAACTGTAGAATTCATTATGTTTTTATTCAATTCAGATTTCATTTTCAATCAAGTCTTTTAAGTGACTTAATATAAAATGTGACTTCATTTTAAAAAATATATTTTAAAATCAATTTTATCCACACTGCATTCTTCATAATTAATCTCTCTCTCTCTCTCTCTCTCTCTCTCTCTGTGTGTGTGTGTGTGTGTGTGTGTGAAAGAGAGAGGGAGAGAGCGGGAGAGAAACAACATCTTCTGGAGTAAGTCATGAAAAGTATCACTTGGTTTTTGGAAAGGGTTTTATACTGGAACAACAAAATGTGACAGGAGTGGGAAGGGAGGTGAGAATCCTTTATTTTATTCCCTGACCTCAATGTACAATCCGGGTTTCAAAAACTGAGACACTTCATCTGCTGGAACAGAAGGACCGGACACAACAAGCCCCACCACTGTGAGTTCTCCACCTGAGGGTCAACAACTAGGACCAGACCTAAAGGCTTCGTGTGTTTTCCTTTTTCAAGAGTACAGTATATAAAATGCAAACAGTCAGCTACAGATGGGTTACTCTGCAAAGATACTGAAACCAAATCCCCCCTCTTTTGTGTGTGTGTGAGCGCTGCAAATCCTACAGTAGGGTTAGTTTGCTCTGCTGGCTGAATGCCAACCAACCAAATTCCATCTTCTCTGCCTGTCCGACTGTATTTATAAGACTTGGGCCTATGTCTGCAGTTTTTGATTTTGTTAGTGTGAACAACTGGAGGAGGGGGGCAGGGGCAAAAAACAATCTTGCTCTGGAAATCGGTGGTGCTTTGAACAGCATATGAAATGGGTACCTGGTCTGGTTACAAACCCAGTTCTTAAGAATAGTAACAGGAAGCAACTTGCATTCAAAATACTACCAGAGCATTCAGCTTCTCTCTCCCCCAAGAAACCAATCAGCAGATTGGCTTCAAGGGAAATAAAAATTCTGTCCCAACCAAAATCTATTTTACCCACAGTAAGAGGTTATTTTTGTATTTTAAATGATCAACAGGAAGAGAGAGATGTAATTGAAAACAAGCCTGAACCAAGCCAATCCTTGCACTGGTGTTTCTCAAGAAAATCTCTGTGCTGTTGCTGTAAGGAAGTGGCCCATTTCTGTTTGAGATGTGCTAATACTAATGATCCCGTGGGTGCTTTCCCAAATCACAAAACTGGCAAAATGCAATTGCACATATGCCCTGGGCTCATCAAGAGGCAACTGCTGTCATGCATCACAAAATCTGCCTGGCTTGCAATGAGTTTGCAAAATGTATTTTTAAAAAAAACCACCCCCCACGCTCTGTTCCTCTCTAAGACCCAAAGGTTATAGAAGTGCGATGCAGCCAGTTTCTTTTGAGTAACACAAAGCCAAGGTGGACAACTCTCTCACAACAGAGTGCCAGGGGAATCTAGAACTGTGTTAAGTTTTATGTCAAACAAGCACTTATGGAGGTTTTTTTTGGGGGGGGGGTATCTCCTCGCTTTGGCTCTCCCAACCGCAGTAGTGTTTCAGTGGGGAAAGACTTCAGAATGATGTGTTCCCTTGCCTTCTTGTTAAGGCAGTCATGGCTTCAGTATGCAAACAAAAGCTATTTAAACTGAAGTGGCATCGATCCCATCACCCTTAAGGTTAGCTTTTTAAGTTGGAAGGGATCCTAAGGGCCATATAATGCAACCCCCTGCAATGCAGGAATCTCAACTGATACAGGATCCCACCCCTCTCCAGGAAGCACACATTTTAACCCAAAATTTAGCAGTCAAATTTGATTAATTCTCTTCCTTTCTGCCGAAAGAGACTCGTTAAAAAAAAATGCTGAGAAAAAAATATTTGCCAGATCTGACACATACATGGTTCATAGAATGTAACCTTAGGACAGCAAACACTTGTTTTGCACTTCCCCATACCAGAGCTTCAGACAGGGAGAAGATGGTTGAGCTAGAGACACTTTTGCCCCAAGCTGATTCCAGAAAACTGAAGAGACAGGAACTGCAGCTTTCTCTGCCTTTATACCACACCCTCTGATTTCCTTAATGCCTTGTCTACAAAAGAGGAAGACTTCAGACCTTGGTTGGTAAGATTCATCCTCCAGGACCTTCTGAACAGACTAGCACTAGAGGACCGTGCATAGCATCCTTGCTCATTCTTTACATGGACAAAGAACCCCTTTAACATCAAATATTGCTTAGACCAGCTCAACATTCTTGTGGACTTCTGTAGAAAATGACGCACATTCTCATAGCGTTCTATGCAAGCAAACCAGTACTGATGTGGTTTGTGCAATAGTTTTCATTTATTATTAGGCTTTTATTTTTCCTCTCTTTCCGCTCATAATCTACTTAAACGTGACTAATGGCCAACGCCAAAACTACAGAGCCAGGAAGTACAGTATTTTATACCAAAGTTCAGGGTGCAAATTGAAACAAAGGCCTTGTTGTTAAGATTTCCTTTGAACTCCATATAGAAGTTCATTCTCTGTAGTTCTTTTTAAACCACACCTCCAAGTCCTTGTGGGAAAGCACTGGGTGGGTTTACTCCTATTTTTTCTCAGCAGAGATAAAAGCAGAAGAGACAAAAATCTAAATGAATGAGTTGTGTTCCAAGGCCAACCACCGCAAGACAAATTACTCGGTGGTGTTGGGTATTTTTTTGAGGGGGGAGATGCAAGAAGTCAGGGAAACTTTGAAATGGAGGTTGAAAGATTAATGCTGAGAGTGTTAAAAGTTGCTAACCATCTGCAAGGCACTTCTCAACTCACATTGCCTCTCAGATCAAATAAGCAGATTCCCATCCTACAAAACTCATCTGGAACATGGATGGCTGTCGGGTTCAGCAAATCCCTAGGGAGGGAGAATAAATCCAAGGGATGAGCAGGAAAAGTCTAAACCATGTCTCACAAGCAGTTCTGGCATTCTGTGATTTGCTGAACTCTATGGGTTGTACCCAACTAAGCAACACTCAAGAGTAAGCCCATAGATTTTAAGTCCATTATTTCAGTGGGTCAACTTTGAGTATGACTTGGTTGAAAGGAACGATTACCAATTTCTGCAATGTACTTACAGAAAGCAGCAAAATCAAGTCAGTTAGCAACACATTTCCAAAGAGAATCATGGGGGCGAGGAAAGGACTCGCCGTGCCCCCCCCTCTCTTCCATAATCCCCACCCAACCTGTGCTCAGTTAGGAACAAGAGAACTGTCAACTTCAACAGCACAGAGAGTTTCACAGAGTCAAAGTGTGCCACTGTGCACATCTGAAGAAATTGCAGATGACAGCTGGATAAGACTCTTTCACAAGATTCTGTCAATTCTCTGTCTTCCCAGCAGAGTGGGAGGTACTAGGACAAGCCAGAGTTCTGTTGAATGTCTGCCTCTATGGTACTCAACATCTGGCTTGAATCCAGTCTTGCTCCAGCCCTCCTCTCCCATTCCTGAAATCTAGAGATTAAGGGGGAAACTAAGCAGCTTCTTAACAGTTCCTCTGCATGTTTACTTGGCAGTAGATCCCACTGTTTCTCGTGGGACTTATTCCCAGGGAAGTTTGCATAGGATTAAAGTCTCACAATGCAATCATGCAACCCTATGCACATGACCGGGGCTTCTAAATTAGTGTTTATAGGATTATAGCCTCAGTAAACTAGGTAGGGGGCATAAGAGTGTATATATTTGGCTGAAGCTATTGGTTGTACTTTTAAAGTATTTGTATCATTTTGGGGCTAATGCATTATATCTGATTTGATGTTTTATTTGTGTTCCAAATTTGTTAACTAAGTATAGTTGGTCCCCTTGAGGACTAAGTTAACAAACAACTAATAAATGTAAACAATAATTAAGAATAAATAATGTGTTCCATTAGAATCAGAGACGTGGAGGATACAAAGGCCACCTAGTCCCACCACGATGCAGGAGAACCTATTATTTTATTGAAATACCTCTATTGTAGGAATTGATTAGATCCCACCTTTTGTCCCATGAACACAATGTCTTTCCCACCTCTCCTTTCCTCCCACAACCCCCTGAAAAGCTACTCCTAGAAAATGGGCAGCCTTTGTAATTGGCATGTGGAGGGGTATAGCTGGAGGGGGAGTTGTCAACTTAAGGTCCAAGCCTTAACATTTTATGAATGTTGTATTACATTTACCAGTTGTGTTGTGGCTTTTTATGATTACTGGATTCTTTCCAGTACGCTATTGTTAGCAGCTTTGCGATTCCTCTTGGGAGGTAGAAAACAATACAAACACTGAAATTACATCAAATGATTTGTGCTGCATGAGCCAGAGAGAGCCTTGATAGGTCAGATACAGATCAGTGCTGCCTACCTCTTGTTTAGTTTATTGGGTTTGAAACTGGTCCATCATGCAGTGATATGGACTGCGAGATTGCTCACAGCCTTTGGCAGAGACAGAAAGCGCACATCATCATATTGCTTAGCCTCCTTTCTCCCATGCTGCTACATGCATTGTGCTGCTTTTATCTAATTTCAGGTACCGGCCCTCGTGAGGGCCAGCGCGTGTTGCAGATTTGCCAAATATTATTCATCATCTGTGTATCACCACAAAAGCAAAACAAACTCAGATTGGTAATGTATTACTTGCACGCAAGAACTTACCTGACTTGCTTATTATGGTCCATCACACTTAGAACGAGGAAACCTACTCTCATTGGCTACAAAATCCATACTCGCCTAACAGTCAATGTCAGAGTGCAAATAATGTGCAAGCAACTTCATGAGTCGGCCATTTACTTGGAAAGAGAGCTCTTCGCAGGCTGCCCCCCAAAATTCCAGAAGTTTCTGGAAGTGGGCATGCTTTAGCTTTTGGCAAGGGGCATGGAACATGTTTTCTTTGAGACAGTTATTCATTTCAGCAGACAGCTACAGCATTAGACGGGATAAAAGCCATTTATTCTTTCTTCTTGCAGAGCAACACAACTTGTATATGCCACTTTACTTTGGCAAAGCCTCTTTAAAGGAAGCTTTAAAAGTCCAGTGAGTGGAGGGGGAAAGCAGAAAATTAATCCTGTCTTTTCTGATTTCAAGTGTGTTAACAGGAGGAACTGTTGACTGATTATGATTGTACTTTAATGCTTCTACTCCTAGTCTGTCCAGTGTCTCCATTAGGAAAAGCAGAAGACAGTTAAGAATGGACGAGTCAGCAATCTACTGCAATTTGTCTCAGCAATGCAACATTGATCTCCCTCCCACCCTCTTACCCCAATACTGTCAATGCTGTCATTGATATCCTAACAGTAATCATTGCTGAAAGGAAAAATGGACCATAGACAAGAGCCACCCCCTCAACCAATACTTTATTTACAAGGTTTGGTTGGAGCAGGAAAGTTGTTGATGGTAGATGGCTGAGATCAAAAGCACTTAGAGATGAAAATAAAATACAAGATGCATGCAAATCTCACTCAGGGGTTCCATCTGCGTGGGACCATTTCCCATTGAAGATGATATTCATTGAAGCAGACACTAAAGAACAGCCACAAAAACTCATTCTATAGCAATATCTTAAGACTGGGGTCACCAATCTTTTTGGATCAGGGGACACATTTGTAAATGGCACCAAACACACACACATACAGAATTCAAGTTGACAACACAACCTATTGTACTGGCTACAACAGAATGCTTTTTTCAGGCCTAATTTCAGCTGTGGGGGCAAAGACCCTGTGGAAAATCCCTTGGTGGGCACATAGGCACCATGCTGGCAACCTCTACTTTAAGATGATCAAGTCTAATTTGCATTGATCATCGATTTCAGGCTGCAGAACGAGATTCCACCATGGCATTTATGATCCAGGGAAGCAGGGAGAATTCAAAACTTTCTGGTGCTGAGTAGAACACCAAAAATTATATAGCTCTTAAGAAGATTCTCAAAGTGTTTGACTCCATTCTATCTCTCAGAATGGCCAGTACCTAAATGGGAGATCATTTCTGGAGCTTCATTTATGCGTGTCTGACCAGAGCAGGAGGAAATGGGGACACACCATGCATTTATCTGAAGAGCATTTTAGTGACCATGCTGAAGCTCACATTACTTCCATCATCAGTTAACATACGTACATGGGCTGTTTGCTAATGCAAGCACTTTTTCTAAAAAGAGAATATCAATATCTCTTGGTGTTTGCCCTGTTAAAAGCTTGCAAAAAAAGAAAGAGAGGTTTTTAAACTCTCAGAATGCACTAAAGAAAATGCTGGTGATGTAATCCATGGCAAAGCATCATCAAGAATCACTGGTTCATAAGGTAGAGAAGAGTTATGCAACATGCTGTGGTGTTAGCATAAAAATCACTAATTGCAAATCACCGTTTTCTTCTTAAAGATGACAGGCAATTGCAAAGAATTGCTTTTTAAAAAGGGGTTCTCAGCTGTTAAGATGAACTTAGCATTAACTCAAGGTAAAACAGAGCTGAGCTGGGTAAATTTAGGCGTATTTCAGATGCCTGTGTAAAGTCAACAATTCTGGCAGAAATGAAGTGGCTGTGATTAAAAGGAATGTAAGACAAAGAAACTGCCAAATGAAGTGGGGGCAGGGAACCACCACAGACAGGGCCTTTTCAGTAGTGGCATCCCAATTCCTATATTCACAGGAACATAGTAAGCTGCCTTATACTGAGTTAGAGCATTGATCTATCTGGCTTAGAATTGTTTACACTGACTGGCAAGCAGCTCTTCAGAATTCCTGGCAGGAGTCTTTACCAGCTATAGCTGCAGATGCCATGGACTGAACAGGGTACCTTCTACATGCAAAGCAGATGATCTACCACCAAGTTATAGCCCTAGAGAGGTTTATCTAAGACAGTCTTCTCAGTGCCAGGTGCAGACCTTTTCATTTAATCTTTAAACCTTTATTTTAAATTTGGGTTTGTGGTGCTTTCTGTTTCTCTGGTTGAATTTATGTTGCACCTGAGTTTAAGTTTTCTTTTGTATTTAAACTGTTTCTATGCTTATTTCCTGCAAGCTGCCCAAGGAACTTTCTGTTATTGGGTGGTATAAGAATGCCATGAATAAAGAATAAAATAAAGCGATCTTATGTGTGGCTAGACATAAGTCTCCCATCCATTCTCACCTGCCGGCTCTGGATTTTGAGAACACCCTGCAGGGTTCATCTTCAAAAGTTGCTTGTCTCCTCCATTCACCTTCCGAAGCCTCGCTGCATTATTGCTTCTGATCATAATTCCCTTAAGGGTACCGGCGAGCACTTCGTAACGCTCCGTGGTCCCAGAGGAAACAGTTACCGAGCAGAAGCTCTAAAGAATATGCTCTGAGATACTTGGTTGTGAAAAGCAAAGCACCTTTCAATTAAGAACAAGACGAGAAGAGCCCCACAACCATTTCTAGGGAAAAGGAACATCTCATGTAGTTAAGCCTTATAAAAAATATCCTCCACGGAAAAGGGATTTGAACATTGCTTTGATTATGATCTAAGGGAGCAGGTTTCCAAAAGACAAACGTGACACACATTTTTCAAGTAGGCCCCCAAGAGGCAGTAAGAATACATTTGTATAGCGCTTTCAAGCATTTCAAAGTGTTTCACCTGCATCATCTAGCTGTTATCCTTACAGAGACCATGCAATTAATGTCTGTATTATTATTATTCACCAGATGAGGGGACTGAGGCTGAGACACAACATCTTTCCTAAGGCCGCTTGGTAAGTTCATGGCAGTTCTGAGATCTAGACTGGTGAATTCTCGATTCATAACTCAGGGCAGATTCACACCAGAAATATAGAGTACATGTCTTCTCCCAGGAAATCCTGGAAACTGCAGTTTGTTGAGGATGCTGGGAATTGTAGCTCTGTGAGAGGGAAATTACAGATCCCAAGATAATGTGAGAAGTCACTTGCTTGAAATGTATGCTGTGAATCTGCCCTGAGTCTCTAAGACACTACAGTACACCAGTTAAAAGAAGAAATTCTGATTCCTGCAATAGAAAGATAAAAAAACAACTTATTACAGTCGCTGATTTGATTTTTGGGTGTGAAGGGATATTTTATTATTTGTAACTGATTATTTGCTGATTAACATTTTAGTGTTAGCACACATTATTTTAAAATTGAAAATACATGATAATAAAATGATCTCTCTGATGTGTATTTTCTTATATTTTTCCAGTCGTAGTTTCTTTGAAGCTTCTTCAGTTGGAGAGAGCAACAAATAAATTAAATTAAATAACTTGAATTAAAATGCTGTTTGCTTTACAAATGATTTTCCTATAAGAAATTGGATGTTATTACTAACGGAGGGAGCATTAAAACAAGACAAAAATCATAGCAACAATGTCTACTCTGCTTGTAAACATGATTAGCTATAGTGTAAGCAAATTAAGGCTGGTTTCACAAGTGACGGGGAAAATCAGGGACAGTGCAGTCCTATACATGTTTACTCAGATGTAAGAAGTGCTCAGAAGACAAGAACTTAAAAGCAGGCAAGCAAAGAAGTCCACAAAGAAGAGAACTGCTGTGCTCAATTGTCTTCTGAAGCAGCAGAAACCCAGAAAATCATCCCACCTCCTATAAGTTAAAACCCATAGAAATTTATACCAAGCAGCTTACAGATATTACATATATATCTGTGTGTGTGTGTGTGTGTGTGTGTGTGTGTATATATATATATATATATATATATATATATATGTAAAGGGACCCCTGACCATTTGGTCCAGTCGTGATCGACTCTGGGGTTGCGGCGCTCATCTCGCTTTATTGGCCGAGGGAGCCGGCGTACAGCTTCCAGGTCATGTGGCCAGCATGACTAAGCCGCTTCTGGTGAACCAGAGCAGCGCATGGAAATGCCGTTTACCTTCCTGCTGGAAGGTACTACTTGCACTTTGATGTGCTTTCGTACTGCTAGGTTGGCAGGAGCAGGGACCGATCAACGGGAGCTCACCCCGTCGCGGGGATTTGAACCGCTGACCTTCTGATCAGCAAGTCCTAGGCTCTGTGGTTTAACCCACAGCGCCACCCAATATATATTTCTTACATTAAAAAAAAATCACCACACCTTTTCCTGCAGCAGATCAAGGCAGCATGCAATAACTTCCCTAATGATGGGGAATGAGCTGAGCTAGGAGACAGGTCCAGGGGCACCTTGGGAGCTCCATGGCTGAACAAAAATTCAAGCCCAGGCCTCTATAGGGATGGGGAGGCTTGATCTGGCCACCCACCTGACATCACAATGACATCACATGACCGTCTTTACCCACAGGGATCTTGCAGGGTCCCTTTCAAAGTGCTATCTTGTGGGGTGCTTTGCAGAGGGCGCCGGCAAACTCCCTTTTGCCTGTGCCGGGTTTTTACCAGCTGAACACCTGATGTCATATATGGCATCAGGTATAGGAGAGGTGGGCATGGCTTGGTCGAAATGGCCTCACAGTTCATACTGTATAGCAGGCTCATGGGCTAGAATTTCCCACCCCTGCTATACACTATGTGCTACACAACATTAAACATTAAAGCTCTCCTGGGAAGGGAGCGCCGTAAAAAGCACTTTTGATGGCAGCACTCCAAATGGTGAGCATAATGTTTGGAAAGTGGCCTGCCATACGAACACCAAGCTCCAAAGAAGTCTTGGGATCAGCTCCGCGTATTTGTGAAATTGTTGGTGCCAGTATGGACTCTCCGTTCAAAAAGCAACATTCACACAGAGAGCTGTTTTCAAGCCCTTCTTCTGAGGAGTCTTTGTCTCTCTGGAGGAGGTTGAACCTTTGAATCAGCCCTAGTCTTGACCATTCCCCCATAGGAAAACAACTCTAAGCATGTAAGCTCCTGATATTATTCCATCCTTGCAAAGGATTTTACCATTTGTTTATAGGAAGTGCCCTTAAGTGCTCTTAGGGAACATGTGAGAGATAACTCTTAACAGTGCAAACAAACAGTGCATATTTACGCCAGAATTCAGTCCCCTTTGTTTCAGTGGGGCTTACTGGGAGGTTCATGTATGCAGACGGCAGCCTAAGTTGGTGTATATATTAGGAGTTTACATACTGTGCTAGTCTAAAAGCTTTCTCAGGAACCCACCTGAAGAACTGGCAAGCCATCTATACAGTCACTGCCTAAGAGCAAAGTACAGGTAGTGACCAATTTACGTGGCATTACGTTCCGGCTTGCCAGGACATCCCAAAAATTGTTGGGGTTATTTTTTAACAAAAATGCCAAAAAAAGTGTTTTTTTTTATTTACTTGCCTAAGATCCGGACGTATGGCAGCCCTAATATAATCGCAACACACATTCACTTGCAAACACACTGTTCCGCCCCTGCCCCATTGCTTTTTATGATGTTATCAGGTCACTTCAGGGTTAGGTGCGATGTGTGCCGTTGTGTTCACGCATATATCAGACGCACCTGGAACAACTGCTGCCTGTAGGGGTGATAATCCCAAAGGGCTGTCCAGGTCACCTGTACCTCAATCTTAGGAAGGCAATAAAGACATGCAGGCATCAAGATAGGGTTGGCTAAAATGAGCTCCTTGCCTCAGGCGGCAGGTTGGGAGGGGCTTGTCAGTCGTGGTGACAGTGGTATTTTGCCGGCTGGTGAAATGGCAGCAGGCAATTCTGTGGGTGGAGAGAGGCAGCAGCAGATGGGTTGAGGGGGCACTGGGAAAGATCTGTCTTTGACAGAATCTCTGGAGGACTACTGCCAGGCAGTAAACCATACTGAGCTAGATGGGACAATGGTGTTCCTCAGTATACGGCAGGAATGATATGGTACAATGTGATATGAAATACTTAATTAAACTTATTAGTTGCTTGTTACCTAAAAGGTATCCAAGCGACTTACATTTAAAAGCATAATTGTAAGAACATAAACCCTAGGAAAAATCATTCATATAACACACCAACCCCCCAATTCCCCACCCCGTAACAGCCATAGTAAGCTTTGGCAGTGCACTGAATCAGCTTGGTCCATCAAAGACCTGGGGGAAATATGAAGTCTTTACCTGGTGCCAAAAATAAGTCAATGAAGGTGCCAGGTGGAGCTGAATGGGGGAGCATTCCAGAGAACAGAGAATGCATGTTTGTAGGACTAGCTGGATACTATATCAAGGGATGCCAATAGTACGGTGGTCTAGACTCTAAACCACTGAGCCTCTTGGGTTTGCCAATTGGAAGGTTGACGGTTCGAATCTGTACAACAGGGTGAGCTCCCGTTGCTCTGTCCCAGCTTCTCCCAACCTAGCAGTTCGAAAGCACACCAGAGCAAGTAGATAAATAGGTACCGCAGCGGCGGGAAGTAAACGACGTTTCTGTGCGCTCTGGCACTTGTCACGGTCCTCCGTGTGCCAGTAGTGGTTTAGTCATGCTGGCCACATGACCCATAAAGCTGTCTGTGGACAAACGCTGGCTCTCTCGGCCTGAAGCGAGATGAGCGCAGCACCCCATAGTCGCCTTTGACTTAACTGTCCAGGGGTCCTTTACCTTTACCTTTTACCTATATCAAGGCCATGGACCACCTCCAAATGCCCTCCGGGTGACCTCTAGCACCAAAGAATCTGAACAAGTTAGGTATTTTGTTGATCAGGGAGAGATTTCTCTGCTCTGCCATTGTGAAGCATAGGATGATCCTTTTACACCCAAATTCAAATGTATTTCTGCGAAACATTTCAAGTCAGTCTGCCTCTTGGCATGATGCCACTGGCATTTCCAAATGGGCACACAATGGATATGCCGAATCTACAGCGAGGGAGGAAGAAATGGTACCAAGCTGTGAAAGTCCACAACATAACAAGCAAACAAAAGCCACCACACTATTAGGGCCCTGTTGTTTCTTTTAAAGCTTAAAAAGCTAAAAATAGCTTGCCAGAGATGTTAGAGAAGTCATCTCATTGATCTATTAAATGAAATTTAAGCCAAAATAGAGAGAGAGAAAAAAAGAAGGAAAAAGGCACAGAGAGATCTATTTTCCCCCAGATCCTTGAGAGCAGGTTCTCTGAATTTAAGAAACAATCAGCCAGGCCACTTGATAGCAGAGGGTTTTTTTATCATTATTATTTTAGATTGTGGTCACAGGAGGGGTGTTCCTAACAGTTTTGCAAGCAGTGACAAAGTCAAATGAAAAGCTCAGCAGGTAAGAGTTCAGTGACACACTCACATGAATGTGCACACAAAACAGAGATTAAGTAAGCCTCCAAATGAAGCTCATATTTAAAAAAAGAAGTCAATTTGGGGAAGAAGAAGGAGGCAGAGAAATAGAGGGTGTGGGAGGAAAGATATAGAAAGAAATATGAAAAAGAAAGAGATAGTTCTGTGTGCAGTAGCAACTGCAAAAGGCCTTCCACACCAACATGATGCTTGTATTAAAGAGGTTAAAGAGGCTGCAAGCTTCAAAACCAAAATATACACCAGGTTGCTGTTTGTCTCCATCTCCTCCTATGCCATGAGTAACTCGTTCGGGAGGCGGAATTTTCAGAGTAGGAAAGGGTTGACACACTCTTACCCAGAGTGCCACTTCCCCACCCTGAAGTGGAACAGGATAATTGCATGGACAGGGAAGAGAAAGACTAATTATACAACTCCAGCTAAATGACCAGTTTGTCCATCAATAAACATGTAACAGGGGCCTGCTTCTGTATGCAGCGAAAGGTGCTAACTGCATTTGGCTGCAATCCTACACTTACAGTGGTGCCTCGCAAGATGAATGCCTCGCAAGACGAAAAACTTGCTAGACGAAAGGGTTTTGCGTTTTTTGAGTCGTTCCGCAAGACGAATTTCTCTATGGGCTTGCTTCGCAAGACGAAACGTCTTGCGAGTTCTTGCGAGTTTGTTTCCTTTTTCTTAAAGCCGCTAAGCCGTTAATAGCCGCTAAGCCGCTAAGCGCCGTGCTTCGCAAGATGAAAAAACCGCAAGACGAAGAGACTCGCGGAATGGATTAATTTCGTCTTGCGAGGCACCACTGTACTTGGAAATAAGTCGCATTGAATTCAGTGGCTCTCACTCCCAAGTTAAACACCACAATCCTGTGCGCGGCAGTTCCTTGATGGTGGTGTTCCTTTTTGAATGACCAGTAATAAAACACAGCTATCCACCTATCACTTCATTGAGGCACATTTCATCCTCCTCAATGACTGTGTACACATACTTAAAGCACGTGGGGTGGAATTTGATGTTGCACTGAGAGAAATGCGCTGTTCTGGGGGTCATCCTGGCACAAATCCCAAGCCAATTTTTAGAGGGGTTGCCCTATGCGGCCTAGGACCCACGTACCTACAGGACCGCCTCTCCTGGTATGCCCCGTGGAGGACCGAATGACAACATTTTGGAGGTCCCAAGTCACAAGGTGGTTAGATTGGTCTCAACTAGGGCCAGGGCCTTATCAGTACTGGCCCCAACTTGGTGGAACGCTCTGTCACAAGAGACTAGGGCCCTGCGGGACTTGACATCTTTCTGCAGGGCCTGCAAGACAGAGCAGTTCTGCCTGGCCTTTGGTTTGGACTCAGTCTGACCCTTATGTTTCCCTCCCCTTATGGTCTTGATTTATCAGCTACTTTTAAAATGAGGCTGCATTCTAAATTGTATTTTAACCTGTATTTTAAATTGGTTTTTTATTTTCTCTCCCCCCCCCCCCCATTATGTTTTTACTGTGATTTTATTGGTGTTAGCTGCCCTGAGCCCGGCTCTGGCCAGGGAGGGCGGGGTATAAATAAAATTTATTATTATTATTATTATTATTATTATTATTGGGGAAAGCCCCTCCACCGAAGTCCTTGCACAGGGCTTAAACTGTCTGGGCTTGTAAGATGGCTCCTGCCCAAAGAATCCTGAAAACCTCACAGAGCGACAATTCCTAGCAGCCTTAACAAACCATAGTTCCCAGGAGTCTTTGCGGGAAGTCATGTGCTTTAAGCCTGTGGTGCATACACCGCCTATGTCATGAAAGGGCTTCTTCCACGGTGTGACGGGTTTATGCACACGTGAGTTATTTTTGCTTTGCTGTTCCTCAGGAAAAGGGATCATAAGCCAAACAAACATCAAATAATCCCTCCTCCCCCCCAAAAAAACAAACAAACATGATGAGAACTGGAAAACAATGAAGAGGTGTGGGCTCTTAACCAAAATCTGTAAGATATTGTAACAACTTTATAACTGTCTAGCAGCAATCTTTCCACAATTCATCAGACCTCCCTGCAAAACACAACAATGCATTTGAACGCACAGAACTAGATTTAGCATGATGTCGTCAGAGAGACATGAGGAAATGAAGGAAGCAATTTAAGTATCCTTTGAAGAAAGAAAGAAAGAAAGAAAGAAAGAAAGAAAGAAAGAAAGAAGGCCCTGGTGTCACTGGTGGAGCAGGAAAGCAACAAGAGCCATTGCATTCCGTACATGTACTGTACCAGGCTACAGACTGTAGTGGAAGAATGCACTTAGCAGCGCTGAAATGGCACAGCTTACAAGGTTAACAATCTTTTAGCTGATGATTTGTATGTATTTATGAGCACTGCTGAACGACCTTCAAGAATGCCTGTAAGAGACACTGGCAGGGTGCATTAGAGAAACTCAAAAATCTTTTCTTTTCTTTTTTTAAAAAAGCTCTAAACAAACAAACAGCTTCCCTACACTTACAGCTCTGATGCAACAACTGGAAAGAGAACATCAGCAAGTAGAAAAATACAGAATGGAAGAGACTATATCAATTCAAATTGGTAATCCTAACAGGTGCATTTGAGAAAAAAGTTGTTTAGGCTGCAATCCTATACCCCTGTTAAGATGGGAGTAAAAGCTTCTGAACTAAATGAGACTTACTTCTGAGTAGACATGTACAGGCCTGTGCTATTAAGCAACTGACAGCCTGATCCTATGCATATTTTCAAAAAGCTGAGCACCATTGCATGGAGCTTCCTTCCTGATATACATACTTGGAATTGCAGACAAAATTCGTCCAAGTGAAATGGATCTGAAATAACGGCTCTTCTGTCAGCTGCTGTTTTCAAATAAAAAATGTTGGAGCCCAATTTCGACAGGGTGAGCTCTGTGAATCTCAGGACCTTGCACATACTTGAGCCAAGAAAGCAAGTCCAACAAAAGGTATCACCCAGCGCATTTCGCTGCTCTCAGCAGGCTCTGTAACGTGCGCCAGACGTGAAAAGCAGAGGCTGTTCCATTACCCTAGATACATTATTCAGAGGGGGGAAATGAAGTGATACAGTCACCACTGTAGTGGAAATAATGCAAGAATGAATCCCTTTTCTATCCCAACAAAGGAAATGCGCTCCACCAGTGGTTTTACATAAACAGCTCTTGTTTATGAAGCCAGATTTCATTACAAGCGGCGAGAAATGTTATCTTTCTGTGGACATGCTGAAATGGACGGCAGCACAATAGGCCTGTGTGATAGGACAATATTACAAAGTCAAGCCAGCAGCTCTTGTTTATCGTTATCAAAAACATTCCCCTGTACACAGTTAATGAATGGCCAGAACATTGGATATTAATAGAGAAAGGTTATGAACAGCTGATTGCTAAACCTCCTCATCACCAGAAGCCCTTCATGGCTGAACATCAAGACCTTCCTCAACCTTAGCAGGGCACCATCAGGGAGACAAAAAAGAAGCAAACTAAGCCAGAGGCCAAAACCAAACATCAGAATTTGTATGCTGCAGAATAACATTTTCTCTTTTACACAACCTCAGTTTGAGGCTATTGTCCTATCCATGCTCATCACTGAACTCACTGAGATCAGCTTGTTATTTTTTTAAAAAAAGGATAGCTGCTAACCGCTACTAGAATCAGATACCAGGGAAAAATAAATCCCAAACCAACAGTCACTACAAATCCAAAAAATATTTACAATACAAAGTTCATCACAAACACAGCCTTAAGAAAAGCACTTCTGGGTTCTCTGGGATTCACTTCCCAAAAGAACAGACCACTCAGCCAATACAAGTAAATTTAGTGGTCGCTGCTACCCCAGCAATCACATAGCCAAGCCCTTACTCTCACTATCCCAGCTTGTCATTGTTCCAACAAAATATAAACCCATTTTAGCATTAGCATGTAAGTTTTAATTTGAGGAAAGGAGATATGCAACTAAATTCACCCATAAATCTGTGTACTGGTCTTTATGCAAGGTTAATGATTTGCTAGCTAAGAGTCAAAGGTCAGATTTTTCTTTTTTCTTTTCTTTAAACACAAAAGCCAGAAGAACATAAACATTCTACCATTTTAACTTTGCAAGGTATTTTCCGACATCACAGCTCTTGACCAAATGTCAACACAGTAAACATGGAAGGGCATTGTTTGTAACTGTTTACACATGTCTGTCTTCCCAGAAAAGAAACCTAAATGGGTTTGGCCCTTCTGGGAGAAGTTCCCTGTTTTGATACTCCTGCGTCAGCCTGCATAAGGCAGGGCGAGAGCGATTAATGATGAAATCCACCAAGATGAGTTAAAAAGCTAGGAAGAACAACAGAATCAATAGACATAATTGATAACTGCATGCAGCACTGCATGACGAACAAGTCTAACCGAAATGGAGCAAAAAGAGAAGAGAAAGAAATGAGCATAGCAGCAGTGAAGAAAGGGGGGGGGATACAAGGTTCTGCCTTCCAAGGCTGCCTACTCACTGCAAGGATTATAAAGGATATTAACAATATACATGCACAGCACATGGCATTAACAAATGTGAACATAAAATCCTGCGGAGCTATGGGAGCTAAACTTTGGAACAAAAGGCTCTAAAGGGTAGTAACAATCGATGATTTACATTCACTAGGTAGGACAACAGAGGGAACAATAGCTCTTTGAATGAGACTCCAACATATTAAAATTACAGAGGAAGGAATTAGAAGCATCTCTAAATGATTTAAAGAAACACAGCCGGTTTGGAGGATCAGGAAAGGCCAAGAGATATTAAACGGAGAAATAAGAGGAGCAGGGGGCATTTATTTATTTATTTAAGTTAGGATACGAAAAGTGGAAAGCAGGGCAGCGGCATGGGACTCATGCCTGTTGACAACTTTCCTTGCTTCCCAAAGGCTGGTGTTCAGCTGTCCTGTTTTTTGTTCCCCCCCCAAAAAACCCCACTAATCCAGGAGAAAGGAAAAGCAACCACAGGAAGAAGCGTTTCGGTGGCTGCCGTGTGGAAGTACTGGGTTCAAGTACACAAGGCAAGAAAAGGGGTAGGCAACCAGATGAGGAAGGAATGATGCTTTGCAACAAGGCAAATTTGTGCCATCTAAAAAGGAGGATCAGGGCTCACAGGCTAATCAAGCGGGTGTGTCCACAGGTTTGGCGGAAAGGAAGGATGAACAGCAGGGCAGTCTAAGCCTGGAAAAAAAGTTCTTAGGGACGCAGTCCAGGACAAGGGCACACAAGCAGGAATGCAGAGCACTCTTTGAACAATGCACTCTGTGCAGTATATATAGATGGGAGACTACAGGAGAGAAAAATGCTACTAGTAAGGGTAGGCTATGTATGGCTACAGGACAACACTTAGGATAGTATGAGAAAGGGGCAACAAGCAGAAATGCTGTTCAGATACTTTGACATGTGAAGTACAATGGCCAGGAGATCAATGGCCCTTGTGGTGTGCCTCCTATAGGTGGGCTAAGCAGTCAGAAAGGTCAAGGCTGTGAGGTGCAGACTACAGAGCAGGGGAAGGGGGTCGGTGCTGAGCAGGGTGCAAGGTCCGGAGTAATACTATATGCTGCAGCATTGGGGTGATGTGGGCATCCCAGAATTAGGTGCGGAGGCATCTGCCCAACGTGTGCTGGGAGAGATGCAGGGATTCATTTGCGAACTGGAAAATCCCGGGGCTCAAATTTGCTTGAGGAGTACACAATCTGTTTCAAACATTCTGTTCCCTATTCCCAAACAGGGAGTGAAAGGGGAATGAGGGATTTATTAATTGTTTCTTTAACCTGCACATCACCATTGCAATTCACAGTACTCTGCTCATACTCAGAGGCTCTTTCTCTCAAGCCAGCCTGCAAATGATTCCAATATCGTAACTCCAATATTTAAAATGATCAAGTCCAGTTAAGGTCTGTGGAGGAAGGCATGCCCTGAAGAGTACAGAGCAGGGAAGAAAAGGAGTAGCAAGTGGTTTGGGTAAGGGGAGATGGTTATTATGAGGTAGAGGGATGGTTCAGCATGAGCACAATATGAAGGCAAGCAGGCTGCTGCAGATAGGGCTGACACTTTTCTGCCCCAGCTTCTGTTGCAGGTTTAACAGCTTTACTAAGGGCAGAAATTCCACAGGTACAGTACTTTCCCTCCTCCTCCCCTAACATCAGCTGCTAAATTCTGTATATTGTGCAACTATTAAAGGTGCACAAGTGTGGGTGGGGGACAGAGTGGTGACCCTATTGATGAAGGGGATCTGCTCTGAGGACAATTACACAGGACTAAGCTGGCAAGTTGAGGACAGGGGCCGGGCGAACAGTCTGTTAGGCTGCATGTGCCCAACTTGCAACTCTCCTGTTATTTTCTGCCTCATCACCAAACCTACCCCAGAAGCAGGTTGAGCAGCAAGTGCAATAAATGCAAGTTCCCAAGTCTGACTATTCCGTGAAGGAACAGCCAAGCCCCGTGTGATCTGTGCGTGCCCCCTTACCACCACAGTCTGCTTGAGTACAACCAAAAATGCCATATAAGCAGGCAATGGGAATGACACACACTCTGGAACCCAGGTCCAGAAGATCCAACCAGGCCCACTTTCTCGAGAGGAAGTGCAGAAAGTGTAGCCCAGTGGTTAGCAGGTCAGAGAGAGAGAACACCCACTTGCAAAATCAGTAGTGAAGTTGGGGCCCTAGCCTACCTCGCAGGGTTGCTGCGAGGATAAAGGAGTGGGGAGCAGAACCGGCAATGAAAGTAAACAAGGAGGTTTAAGCTCCCGGCGCCGGGAGAGCCGGGCTTCCCTCCTGCCCGTCCTGCTGCTGCTGCTCACCTGGGCGTTTTGGCGGCGGCGGCGGCGGCGCTCTCCCGCTTGTCCAGCACTCCCGGCACGCAGTTGGTGAGCTCGGTCCAGTCGGCGTGCAGCCCGCAGCTCCAGCCGGTGGAGAAGCGCGAGAAGAGCCAGGTCTCCCTGCGGTTGGGCCGGTAGCAGGTGCACTTCTTCTGGCCGGGCCGGCAGTCGCAGGGCACCTCGAGGCGCACGTTCTGCACCAGGTGGCGGCCGAAGGTGGTGCCGCCCGTCTTCTGGATGTGCAGGAACACGATCACGTCGTCGCCCTTCATGTCGAAGGCGAGCTGGCGCTCCAGCTCGCGCACGGGGAAGTAGTACTTCTTCACGTAGTGCGGGTCCGGCGTGGGGAAGAGGTCCAGCTCGTCCTGGTAGGAGCGGAGGCTCGGCGAGCCCAGGCTCAGCCCCGGCCCCACATACTGGTAGAGGATGAGCATGAAGCACACCGAGCCCGCCACGATCAGCAGGAACTTGCTGTTCCGCTCAACCATGGTCCTTCCAGCGCGCTTCATATGTCACCATCTCCCGGCCAGGGGGAGGCGGCGGGAGAGCTGCTGCTGCTGCTGCTGCTGCTGCTGGCGAAGGTGCCCCCGGCGACGTCGGCTCCCCTTTCGCCCGCTCCCCGGCTCCGAAGAAGCCCCGCGAAACCACCCCGACGAAAAAGCGCCGTGCGCCCCGGAGAGCGCGCGGAGGGCGAGGGATTCCCACCCCTTTCCTCCCTCCCTCCCTCCCCGCCCGGCCCCCCTTCAGTCAGATCCGCAGCCAGGGGGGGCTTCCTCCTGCCAAGCGGCGATCAGCCACCGGGGACGGGGGGGCCGCGAGAGAGAGAGCGCGCTCGGCTCCCAGGGTCGACCGCCCTCCCCCGGTTCCGCCTCCCTTGCAGCCCCGTCCCGCCTCTGCCTTCGGGACTTTGCCTCTGCCGCTCCTGGCCCCGGCTCCGACCCGGCCGAGGCGCCGGGCGCGCAGCCCCTTCGGGGTCTGGCGGAGGCAGGGCTGGCGGAGGCGGCTGCACGCTAGTTCAAGTCCTTCCTGCCTCGCTTCCTAGGGCAAAGCCCCGCCGCCGCCGCGCTCCGAGCCCAGCATGCACAGCGCCGCCTCCTCGCGCTCCGCTCGCCGCTCCAGGCGCGCGCTGGCGGAGGGAGGCAGAGCAGCAGCCGCGGCAGCAGCACCACACAGGCACGCCGCAAAGGCAGCGTTTCTGGAGGCTCCCGAGTTGCCCGGGCCCGCCCGCAGGATAATTTCGTTATTTTCCTCCAGGTTCTTTCGAGGCTCTTTCACTTCCTCTTTCTCCTTCCGCCAATGGGGAAGCGCACTGAGCGGGGCGGCTCGAGCCTGGAGGGGCGCTGGCGTTCGGAGGTGGCTCTCTCAAGGGAGCTTTCCTGACCTCCCTCCACCACCACCCCGTAAGAAAGACAAGGGGGCATTAAGTTTTCAGGTCAAAAGCTTGAGTCTCTCCACCCCAACCCCTGCATGCTACAGGCTCCTGCTTTAGGGGCTTCTTGGCTTTGCCTCACCTCCTCCTCTTGAACAATTGAAAGGAATCGGCAGAAATTCAACAGGTGCGGTTTTCCGCTCGCATCAAGGTGCAGCGCCGGGCAAAGAGTGGCCTCTTCATTTCTGCTTGTTGTGGGAATGTGAAAAGGCGCAAGAGCCCCAGCGGAAAGAATAAAAGTGGCTGCCCTGCTGCTGTCTGGTTTTGGAAAGGAATTTGAGAACCAGTTGTGGTGAAATATCATTCTCAGAAATGAGTTTTCTATTTTTAAGTTAAAATACAATATTGACATGGCCAGCTAAATGGTGGGGTTTTAAACGTCATTCAGGCATCTTCATAACAAGCCTCTTTTTTGGAGCCCTTGGGAGTGCCTGCCAGCAGCTGAAAGCTTTTCTCTACAGCCATGAGCAGCAGTGAACATGGAAATTCTCATGTCTGTGTTTGTAGGAATTTTGTGATTCCATCTAGAGATAGCTCAATTGCAATAATAACAATAACAACAACAACAACAATTTATTATTTATACCCCACCCATCTGGCTGGGTTTCTCCAGCCACAAAATATTAAAAATACACTAAAACATCAAACATTAAAAACTTCCCAATACAGGGCTGCCTTCAGATGTCTTCTAAAAGTCAGATATTTGTTTATTTCCTTGCCATCTGATGGCAGGGCATTCCACAGGGCAGGTGCCACTACCGTGAAGGCCCTCTGCCTGGTTCCGTGTAACTTCGCTTCTCGCAGTGAGGGAACTGCCAGAAGGCCCTCAGAGCTGGATCTCAGTGTCTGAGCTGAACAATGTGTGTGGAGACTCTCCTTGAGGTATACTGAGCCAAGCATACAGATGACCCTAAAAGACTGCCTCTGGTTTTGCCTTCCTCATGTTCAGCCCAGTATCACTAGGTCAGGGATGGTCTTCCAGGTATTTCTTCTCACATATTTTTTGGACTCCCAACTCATCAGCCCCAGAGAACACAACCAATTGTTGGGGGTGATGGGAGCTGTGGTCCAACAACATCTGGAAGGCACAGAGGTTCTGCATCTCTCACCAAAGTGAAGAACAGCCAAATCATGAGAATTCTGAGCAACAATCCTCACTTACTTGAGAGTAAGCCCCGCTGAACTCACTGGGGCCTATTTATGAGTAGACATGTAGAAGATTACACTGTCGGAGCCACACAACTACAATTGCTGGATAAGACTTGAAATGTCTCTCTGATTCATTCTATGTCTGCATTTACCACTTGAAGGAATGCCTTTAAATAACTGCCTTTTAACCTGGCCATCTAAAGAGGGAATCTTGTTGCTGTTTTGTTAATGTCTTTACTTCTGCAAGGGAAAACACAAGCAGCAAGAGAATTTTCATGAGAAACAAGCTTCCCCTCCTTTCCAAATGTGACTGCCCCCTTCACATCAGCCACAGTAATCCTTTCATTGTGATGTCACAAATAGCTGCTATTCTGATGTCACAAAGGCAGGATTATGAGGATGGGAAGTGGCAGAGAATACATAGCAGAAGCATGCAACAGACAGAGGCCCATGATTAAGGAAAACATGAAGGAACCTGAAATGGCTAAGAGGGCAAATCCAGCCACATCAGTGTCATCTATGGGGAACTGATTTGGCATGAACGTATGGAGTTTAAAGGAGCAGTGTAGTTGGCACCCAAAATGGTTGGGACTTTTTTTAGAGCAACAACAACAACAGTGCACAAGTAGGGCTTGTGGATTTCACAATTGCTGACTGTGGAGGAGGATGATTCAACAAGGCACAGCACACAAATCCAAAAGGGGCTAATCTGCCTCCAGGAAGGCTTTCTCTCTGCTGCTCTGAAGTGTAACAGAGGTCAAGGAAATCCCAGAATGCAAGCAGTGAAACTGCCATGTTTTTGACAGTAATTGTAAATATTTGGCAGTAAAGCTGACGGGATACTGACAGCAGTGGTAACTCCTGATTGAGGAGAAAGAGGACCAGCTCTTGTTGGGTTGGGTGGATTTGTGGCCCTGCCTCAAAGCAGTTTCAATTGCCTTCTGTGTCCTTCTAAAACCCATAGTGATTGCAGGTACCAGACAGTGGAGGGTAATGCTGTTTGTGGGTTCTTACAAGTTCTCCATTCCTATTTCCAGCCCCTCCCTCTTTTTCTCCATGTGATCTGTCCTGCAAATGCTGTGGAATCCTGGGTGATGGGTGAGAGCTCCCCATGAGAAAAACTGAATTTACATGTCAATCCCTGAACAGAGGTAAATTACTCTAAAGTTATTTTGGATCACGGTATTTATGCTTTAGAGTTCTCTAAGCGTTTTTTTACTTCCTTGTTCTGCAAGTGTGGGTTCGGAGTTGCCTGTGCCACAGAAGCTGTTTAAAAACTTATTGTGGTACTGACAGTTGCATAGAAAGCCTATCTAAAGGGGAGGGGCATGGTTTTTGCATGGTGTGGAGACAGTGTTTTTCCTTTCACTGTACATTGGTACCTTGAAAGTTGAACAGAATCCGTTCTGCAAGTCCGTTTGACTTTCAAAACATTCGGAAACCAAGGTGCGGCTTCTGATTGGCTGCAGGAAGCTCCTGCAGCCAATCAGAAGCCACGGAAGCCGCATTGGACGTTCAAGTTCCAAAGAACGTTCACGAACCGGAACACTCACTTCTGGGTTTGTGACATTTGGGAGCCAAAACGTTTGACTCGCAAGGTGTTCGGGATTCAAGGTACAACTGTACTAGAATCCAAAGTTATCCAGTGAAACAGACTAACAGGAGATTCAAGACATCATTAAGTTATGGTATTTCACTGCTACCAGTTGTGATGGTCACTAGCTCAGATGCTTTTCAAAGGGGGTTAGACAAATTTATGGAGGATAAGGTGATAAATGACTCCAAGTCATGATAACTAGATGGACCTTTCAAGTTCAGGGGCAATTGCTGAGGAGCAACAAGAAGGCAAAGTCCTGCTTGGGGACTTCCCTGGGCTATCTGCCTGGTCACTGTGGAAAATGGGAAGCTGGACTTTGGTCTGATCCAGTGGTGCTCTCCTTCCTTCCTTCCAGTTAAATGTGGAGGTCTGGTAAAACTTCTTTGGTGCATCGCTGAAAGACAAAGCTTACAAGCAGCCACTTCTCTTAGTGGATGTAAGCACCACTCGTTGAGTTCATAGGCAGCCATAGTAGCATGTAGGGGAATCCAAAAAGTCTGTCATAAAAATATGATGTGAAAATCCAAAGCGAAGGATGGGGAATCCAACAAAGCTAGGATTATATTTCTTTGTAAGAGCTATTTTCCATATGCATAAGTTGGAAGGAAAATAATATTGCAAAGGTTTCAGTTTAATTTTTTTTTACCAATATACAAGCTAGAGTGAGACAGCTGTGTTAGTCACAAGGTATACAGGCAGGGTGAATTACACAACTCAGATCTTCCCAAACTAGATAAAATAAAAGTCTTTATAGTACTCCAAAGAATCATGCTGCGTTCGTGCTGTTTATTAGCTTTGATTCCCCCTCCCCATTTAAAAAATACTGCTACTTTCTCTATATTTGTGTGTATCTTATTTTAGAATAATTATATCATCATTATGGAAAGACCACAGTGGACAGTTGGAGGTCAATTTAAGTTTGGGAATTTATACCTTGATTTGGGAAGTGCTGGCATTTATGCACTATTTTATGTAAGTGGTTGAAATATATGTGAAGCTATAAAGAGCCACAAAGCAGTTTGTGGTATTGATGTTTGCCTCTGGTTGTAAAAGTATATAACTAGTGGAATAACCCGCTGAGTGTTAATTCTGAGCAAGGGTTATTTACTGTAGAATGAGTTAGCAGCAAATGTGAAGGATGAAGAGAATATTAAGAAACCTTTGTTTACCTGTACCATGTTGATTGTCGGTGGTAAAAGTGGAGCAGCTCTAATAGATCTCCTTCCTAGCTCATGTTGTTGGCAAGTATATTGTTTGGTGGCTATGGGATAAAATGCACACACACAGTTTAAAAAGAGGAGCCGATTATCTCCAGAGACGATAGATACTTTATTGTGTAAGATAGATACTTTATTGTGTAAGATAGATACTTTATTGTTACATATTTTTAAAGTACAGTGGTACCTCGGGTTACATACTCTTCAGGTTACATACGCTTCAGGTTACAGACTCCGCTAACCCATAAATAGTGCTTCAGGTTAAGAACTTTGCTTCAGGATGAGAACAGAAATCGTGCTCCGGCAGCGTGGCAGCAGCAGGAGGCCCCATTAGCTAAAGTGGTGCTTCAGGTTAAGAACAGTTTCAGGTTAAGTACGGACCTCCGGAACGAATTAAGTACTTAACCCGAGGTACCACTGTAATGAATGCAGTTGCATTCCTCAGCTTGCAGTACATTCAAACACAAGACTCAGCTGCACATTTCTGAAGTGCAGTCTCTGAACAGCCATCCAACTTCATGAACAGCATGCTGGAATGATGACCAAACGCCAGAGATTAGTAATAGAAAAGACAAGTCTTCCTTGAGAACTTATCTGTCTTCCTGACCCTTCAGACTCTTCCCAGGCCACACCCCCTTTCTCCAGGCCACACCTCCTTCGCAGCTTTGCTTTTGCCTAGTTGGAATGTGTCCTTGACTTCTGGAAATACCTCTCACATGTCTGCATGAAGGACAGAGAAGGGTGTGTGACAGTGTTAGAAACTGAGATATGAAAGCTAGGAGCTAAATGGCACCTTAAACCTAGGTTACAGGTGCAACAGCAGAATGTCTAGGTGTGCTTTTTTAATAACAAGAATACACAGCTGAAAATGAATGAACTGCAGCTAAAATATTATGTTCATTTTTCACATAGCCTAGTCCTTCCCCTGCCCACCCCCCTAGTATTCTTAAGAGGGTCTCTTCTCTAGTCTTCAGAGAGTAGCTGGAAGTGGGGAGGCAGAAAAAGTTCCTCCTTTCCTTCTACTCTGCAGTTTTATTCTGAAATCTTAGGCCCAGTACTGTGTCCACAGCTCAGAAACCGCTTGCACTAATGAAATTTATTGTCGCAAAATGCGCCTAGAACAATGGGAGTTTCGAACACTGGTGTGTGAGTGTGTGTACAAACTAGCCTACTGTACAAAGGTAAAATGTGTGTTAAATTGTTAAACCCACTTTTGCCTCTGGCCCCAACCAACCACCCACTTATGGTCCCCAGAAAGTTGCCCAGAAAGGAAGGTACCTTAGATCAAGTACAATAGGTACTGATCATCTCCAAACTCAACAGGCATTCAGAGGAGATGCCTATATATTCATTGCCAGCTCATCTTTTTTCATTGCCCGCTTCTGGGTCATTGCTTGCAAGTAGATCCTCTTCATCTTTCCAAGTGGAGGCTTCCTCCAGAGCAGAATCCTGGCAACAGAGCTTTCTGGCAGCCAAATGGTCACTTCTGTGGCAACTCTAGGATTCCCACTGGGTCCAATGCCATTCTTCATCCTCAAGCCCCAGGGTGTGAAGGGACAGAACTGGGGATCGAGGCAGGACTCAGCATCTGACTGGATGGGTTATTTGGGGGGCCTGCTCCTGCCATAGCTGTGAAGACACAGCTGACACAAGGCAGCAGATGTGGTTTAAGGGAATTTACTTGGAGGCTTGCAAGGAAAATGGGTCATGCCACCCAGCCCTAAATGGTGCGAATCTAAGCATCTCAAAGCCAGCTAAATCAACTGCCCAGGATCGTGTGAGAGGAGGCATCATGGCACAGTCACATAATCTTTGTTTTGACTGCCAAACACTTATGCTGTTTAAGCCGAGTTCGACAATAAATGCCTTTGACTAGCAAGTAATTAGTCCTGTAACGTGCAATTAGTGAAAGGTTATGAAGACTGAAAGGCAACATTATTTATTTCTTTTTATCTCTTTCCTATTGATTTTTGTTTTAGAAGCAGCCCAACTTCTTATTAAACCTACTATTCCCAACTACACAAAAGCTTATGTAATGCTGCACAGTATTCTGTTGTGCTTTGTTAACCTCACACAAAGCATGCCTAGCTTCATGTTAGACTAAGCTGTGGCCATACCATTAGGGAGAACGAGGTGGCCTCCTCAATTGACAGATGCTAGGGGGTGGGTTGCATCAGGCCCTCCCAGCTATTCCTCCTGAGCCCCCTCTGGCTGCTCTCCTGAGCACTCCACCCCCCGCAGGCTGCTCCCATACTAGCAGTTTTGCTCGTTGCTGGCCTGGCCTGGCAGTCTCGTCTCATTCTCCTACTGCAGGGATAACTTACATGGCTCCTGCCACATGTTGGACTGCGATTCCCAACATCCCTGACCATTGGCCATGCTGGCAAGGGCTAATGGGAGTTGTAGGCCACTGCCATCTGGAGGATACCATGCTGGCTACCACTGTCCTAGTGTATTGTGATTGGGGTCAGGCAAATAAGCAGCCAGCCCAGGCCACATCCTCTTCCAGGCAGGTATTGCTCTGCTCATGTGACACATGCCTGCTGGTACCACCGTTGCTGCATTGCAGCACTTACTAGAGTCACCAGATGGAGAGATGGGTGAGTGGTAGTGAAGTGTTGAAGGAAAGGACTTTGTGTCTTATGGCCTGCTCCCAGTGCCTCCAAGTTAGCCTGTTGCCCTCTGGTGCAGGACACCGTTCTATACCCAGTGCTGAAATAAATTTGAACTCCTAGCCTGGGCAGCTGTTATATGTGAAATGTGGGAGGACCTTCTTGTACTTTGTCTCAGGCAGCAAAATGCCTTGGGCTGTCCCTGTAGGCCGCAGGAATGTTATGAATTGTTTTCTTTCTGGTAGGCAAGCGAATTGGCAAGAACGAAACCCAGAAGCAATCAAGGAGAGAAGCTATGTTCTCTGTGTCATAGGTGGTATCAGCTAGTAAATTCCCAGGAAAGACAAAGGAGGCTTCCCAATAAGATGGTTATTGTGGGATGGGCACTCCTCATGCATGCAGTTGTGCTGTTGTTTCCAATTTTGCATGATGTCATTGGCATCGGAATGCAAGCCTGTGTTTTCCTTCCATTTAATCCTGGGTTGCCACAGTTGGAGGTAGCAATGCTTCTGAATAGTAGTTACTGGAAACCACAGGAGGGGAGAGTCCTGGGGAAAAGCCTGGGAGATGGCAGGTGAGTTGAACTTTGCATCTGCCTGGAGCATCAAGCAACTGAAAAGGTGCAAGGCTCAGTGGTAGAGCAGCTGTTTTGCATGCAGAAGGCCCCAGGCTTAATCCTCTATATTTCCAGGTTGGATACTCTCTATCTGAAACCTTAGAGAGCCACCGCCATTCCGTTTAGACAACATTGAGCTAGATGGCTCTTGGTCTGACTCAGCGTAACGCTTCCTTTGTTCCTATACACACAGGTCCATGGAAGCCACCGGTCTAATCCACCTAAGGAAACAGGAATACAGAAGTGATCAAGCAGCTGTCAAATGCTGCGGAATACACAAAATTCAAAGAATCTGAGTCAATAGCAGGCTCTTGAGCCACTTAGGAGTAGGCATGTGATCTCACCAAAGAGAGAGCTGGAGGCTTTATGTAGACAGCCTCCCCTCCCCCGCAAAAAAACCCTCCACCTGAGTTATATCTGAATTTTCTCCTTCATTCCCCAAGTTCCTAAGCATGCATCTGCATGACAATAGTTGCAGTTTGGTGACAGATACAATTCACTTGCCTTCTGATTCATTCTCGACATTGATTTAGCTGTTCTGAAGATATGAAAGTTATAAATTTGTTAAATGCTTATAGGCTTCGGCTTGGTTTTGAATTGTGTTGTCAAAATACAAAGCGTTTTCCAGTCAATAATAACTTGTAGAGCAGAATTGTGTGCAGCCTGGAGAAACGGCAGTTTCAAACACATCAGACCTGTTGCCGTCCTCATGTTTACAGCAAGAGATAAGATTATCCAGGGTCAGTTTGGGAGTCCCAGGAAAGCCTTCAGGCCACTGGAATATTGCATGCACATCTGTTCTCCTAGACCAGTGGTGGTGATGCTTAGTGGTGGTGATACAGTGGTGCACACCTGACCTCCAATCAGGTGCTTTGCTGCTGATTACTGGGGGGCAGAGAGGAGTAGCAAGATGGTGGCAAGGCTGGCACAGTGCAAATGCACCAACAGAGCTAATCTGGTGCTCCTGCTGGTGTGTTTGCGCTGCACCTCCACCTTTCCTGTCCACCTCTTCTTCCCAGTCTGCAGCGATAGCATGACCAAATGAAGGTCCGGTGACCAGCACTGCCCCACCATGGTGTCCACTACTGGGGAGGGGGCTGTAGTTTTCCAACTGCTCTTGAACTATCATCCCTCTGGATCATGCTGGTGGTGTTGATAGGAGCTGGAATCCAACAAAAGAGGCTACTTGACTTAAAATAGAAGTTTTAAATAGCAATCAAGTTATAAATAGGAGTGCCTGTACTCTATTCCTACTGTATCAGATTCACGTGTGTCTCTTACCTGTGAAGAGAGTAAATTGCAGAGCTTTCTAAAGAATCACAGGAATACCTATGCCATATATACTACAAAGGTTTATGATTCAGAATCATATACATTTTTGTGATATTAAAGAACCATTGCCTTACTGGGACTGATTACACAAAGCCATAGAAAGCTGTATTTATAGCATTTTGTCCTAATATTTCAGCAATAAATCATCCCTATCCTTAATTGTACTTTGTTTCCTTGACATTTAAAATCTGTAAGCTATTTGAACTAGTAATTTAAGACCTATTGTTATTTTAGATTGGGAATTTAAATTTGCCACCTGTTTAAAACAAATTGCAGAACTAAAGGCTGTATTTCTTGTCTTTTAGTAGAATTCTTGTCTCAAGGTAGAGTTTAATAAAAACCCACCTCCCACCCTCTCACTACATGGAGTTTTATGTCTGAGAAACGAAAGATCAACCTATGAAGCTTCTTTTTGGATCTGAAACTTGGTGCAATGCTGGTTTGCGGAGCGTGGGGGCAGCACTGTCAATAATAATTCTGATCTATTTACAAACCAGTTGACGTTACAAAATTATGGGATTTTCCACACTTGGTTCTTTAGTTGTGATTCTGTCAGCATCTTATCAAAACACCCTTTTAGAAAGCATGAAATCAGATCTCGGGAATTAAGGGACATAAAATATGGAGAACAAAAAAACTCTTAAAGGATTGCAAGAGGCAAATAGCTCCTAACCAAATTTTAATTGAATCAAAATAATACTCTTAAGGTAGCTTTCTTTGGGGTGTTCTAAGCCATTAGAGGCACGGTTCCTAAATGCAAAATGAAGAGGGGAATAAATTACCCATAGAAGACATGTATTTGTCTTCCCTTTACTTGCTTGTAGGGATGCGAACTTATTCCCCAGCAAAGAGCCCCCCCCCCACTATGCCGTCCCTGGTCCTCGCTTTTGCAAAAACAACACAAAATGCAAGAAGGAAGCAAAAAGCTGAAGTGAGGACTGTGAGCTGCAAACATCCATTCTACCCCCTTCTCTCCCTGCCATACACCCATTTCCCAATGTTTTGTGTTGTATCTTTGCTATGGATTATGATTGCTGAGAGCTAATTTTGGCAAGGAATTAGGCCATAAATATACAAACTAAATGAAAAAAAAATGCAAACAATCAACAGGAGCATTGATTCTGCTGTGATCACAGCAATGCCCTGTAGAGTCTGCAATGTAGATAGATGGATGGGCAAGGTGCCTACATTCACAATTACTGTTGAAACAGGGAACCAGCTGCATCACACTTATTGAAATATTCTAGTAGGTAAATATAATGCCAATCCTTGTCTGACAGCTCTGACTGAAAAGTCAAAGTGCTGGTGTTGACCTATAAAGCCTTACATGGCTCAGGACTTCAATACCTTAAGGTCTTCCTCTCCCCATACAAACCGACCTGGACCCTGTGCTTGTAATCTGAGGCCCTACTCTGTGTCCCTGCTCCCTGAGATATTCAGAGGGTGGCAACATGAGAAGGGCCTTTTCTGTGGTGACTCCCCGTTTGTGGAATGCTCTCCCCAAAGAGGCTCCTCTGGTGCCATCATTACAGGTTTTTAGGCACCAGGCAAAACCATTCCTTTTCACCCAGGCCTTCAACCATTAAATAATCTATGGCCTGTTAAAGCCGGGGATGGACAGACTGTTGTTATGATTATTATCATTTTGCTGATTATTACTATTCTTCATTTCATGTTTTTATTATTATGCTGTGTAAAATATATTCCTAATGTTGTGCACCACCCTGGGACCTTTTGATAAAGAGTTGTATGATGATGATGATGATGATGATGATGATGTTGTTGTTGTTGTTAAAAAGTCAGGGGTGGGGGAACTTCCATCCTAATTAAGCCCATCAGACCTCTCCACTCGGTCCACAGGGCCATCTTGGCAGACCCATGCCCATCATTTGTTCTTTAAAGCACTGCACAGGGCTCTTTATAAGGACCCTGATCACTGCTTTGAAGTCCTGACAATCAGCTGATTGCTGGGGCTTCAAACTGCCATGTCATTTCCTCCATACCTAACTACACCCAACTACTGGTGACAGGCTAATACCTTCATTACTCCTTTGGGCAGCTGGCCACTTGGAACCCAGCTCTGTCCTCCATTAGAGAGGAGTGGTCAGGAGGTTAGGAAGAGCAGTTGGAGGGTTTCTGCTGCTATCTCCCAGCTTCTGCTGCCTGAGGTGGTTGCCTCAGTTCACCTGTTGGTTGGACCAGCGCTGAAGGTTCCACACCTGTGCTCCAGGTTGTTGTGGCTGTTGAGGACAAGGGCAATGTGGGAGCAGTGAAAGAGGCAGGGCACCTCTATCTAGTCTGAAATTCCAAGGGTTCAGAGAAAAGGAACCTTGATGGAAATGGGGAGGTCTTGCGGCAGCAGAAGCTTCTGGTGGTTGGATGGCGACCATATCGGGTCAACCACTGTGGCTCAGGCAGAAGAGCTGAGCAGCATCTGCTGAGCATTCAGTTCTAACTTCTCTGCAGCGCAAGGCTTATGCTTAAGAGAATTATTAGTCTCCATTGTGCAAATGAGATGCACGGGGCGTGCTTCTAAATGCTACATTCACTCAGGCTTCTTCCCTTTGTAGGAAGTGAAAGTAATTCAGATTGAAAGCGTATACGTTGCCCTTTGTATACGTCTGGCAATAGAAACATGCTTGTCGAGGAATGGAAATGAAATGGAAAGTGCAAGGGCAAAAAGCCATTTCATGTTTTGCAAAGTGAGGCAGTAGAATGGAAAAGGCTGAACCACCACTCCCAGAAATAGGAAACGTTTTCAATCTAAGAAAGGGCCAATATAAAATTCATGTGATCCCTAATGGGTCTGGGGGGAAAGAATTGTCTTACCTTGCAGCCCCTGCCTGAAAATTTCTTTTGCAGTTTATTCTTTATGATAGGAAGTTCTGTATGCCCTCTTCCTACTAGGTGCCCAATGCAATGTTTTATATTGCAGTAAGACAGTTGGCCAATCCCGCAGTTTGGCAGAGTAAGGCAGGCACCTCTCCGGGATCTGATTTTAGGTGCCATCAAAGGGCAGCAAATGGTTAGTTATGTAATGTAATATTGCTGCATTGTTACTGCTAGGGAAAAAGAGAGGTGATTGTGAGTTGCCAAAATAACTTGGCTGGCCTTGGGTGCTATTAGAGACAGACAAATCATCCTATTTCCATCCTAAGACACTTTCGGTTTTTGCGAAACCAGCTTGGCTTTGTCCCTTTACAAAAAAGAAAAAGCGGAGGAGGACTTATGAGGACTTTTGCCTGGCACCTTAAAAATTGCCTTTTTCTTCTTTTTATATCCTGCTTAACTTTTTAAGCTGCTCAGAGGAGAGCCATGGCCATGTGGTAAATCGTGTCTTTGAAAATGTTCCAAGGAAAAAAAGATGGCTGCCCCCATGTACCATGTCAAAAAGGAAAAAGAGGGGATTCTTAGATCACCTTGTAACTATTGTATGGACTGATGTGCCATTTTGTCAATTGATTATGTGACTTGACCCCCACAGATCAGTGTTTCAATCCACACGTGGGCCCAGGGGTGGGGGGAATGGGAAAGTTCTTCCAAAAAGGTGGCGTGAAGCAAAATCCTCCTCACCCCTATATATTTAACTTGATGAGATGAGGTCTGTGCATCATTCACAGTTCTTCATTGGGCAGCAAAGTATCTTTAGCTGGTTGTGGACAAGAAGGTCACAGAAGCTAACATTTTAGACCAAATATATGCTTCTCCTGAGGCAGTCATTTCCAAATGCAGCCAAGAATCTTGTGACACCTTACAGACTAACACCTTCATTATGGTGTAAGCTATCATGGACTACAATCCACTTCATCAAATGTAGTCAAGGGAAGGTTATGCCATCCTGTGTTTATGTTTATTTGTCATAAAGCGCCACAACACTCTTGGTCGTCGTCGTCTTCTTCTTCTTCTTCTTCTTCTTCTTCTTCTTCTTCTTCTTCTTCTTCTTTGCAGCAGATGTCAAAAGCCTACCACATGGAAATTATTTGCTGATATTTTGCTATGGAAAGGGAACCATCTTGCCTTTGACACTAAATATTTTCCTCTTTCCCACAGTTTGCCACAATGCACTGAGTATTAGATTTACTGAAATAAATAAGTAACACATACATTAAAACCAGCACAAAATAAAACAGAGGAAAATCTAAAACTCATTCGTATTTTTAAAAGGCAGGGCTGTCTAAAAAAAACACATCATGCTCACAGCAGGAGGCTGCAGAAAATTAAAAGCCAAAGGCCTAGTGGAAAAGATTTAGTTTTGCCTGGCAAAAATAGATAAGTAATGATGGCACCCGGCGAGCCTTCCTAGGGAGAGAATACTTATGAATAGATATGGTTAGGATTGCAGTCTAACTTACACTATCCCAGCCTAGCGTCCTCCAGGACCATAACTCCATTCAGCCCTAGCCAGCATGGCCAGTGGTCAGGGATGACTTGAGTTGCAGTTCTGGTGAAGACATCTCTGTTTTATGGAGTGGCTTAAGCATCACTTCACCATGGCAAGCACCAGTACTAGGGGTTAGCATAGACCTAAAAGGATGACTTACTGCTGTATATTGCAGCACAGTGACTCATATTACCCCCATACATTTAAAACACATGTCTTCCCCCAAAGAATCATTGGAATTGTAGCTCTGTGAGGGATTCTGTGAGGGATTCCCAGGGTTTTTTTTGGGGGGGGGATATGTGCCCTAAATGTATGGTGTGTATGACTTGAATGCTCATTAAATATGGAAATCTAAGTTTCAAAATAGATTGGAGGGTGCAAGTGGCCATTGACAGTTCAAGCAAAACTTTGAATTACCTTAAAATCTGGCAAAAATACAGAATGAGAACATACAGTTAAACATTTCAACAATTTCAAATGCCTGTATTGATTCAGACCAAGATTTTGAAATAAATGTTGGTTTATCCCTCCTCTCTGCTGTCACTGTAGCACCAGAGCATGCTTCAAAAGCGTAATTCCTTCCTAATATTCCTCCTGGGCCTTGGTAGCTGTGACAGCCTTAAGCAGTGGCTTTGGGCAAAGTAAAGTCACTTTCAAAAAGCAGAAGTCAAGAAACAACATCTAGAAATGATAATCTGTTGATGTGCCACATCTGAACCTGCTTGTCTTGCTATCAGATGTTGTTATACCAGCTGAAAAATGTTCATGCGATTAAATAACAGAATTCTGTTTCAGTCAGTTTGTGGTTTTAACACAAGATTCCTGTGACCCATCTGTTACATTATAGCTTCAGTAAACGATTTTCTTTTTTGAGGAGGGGGTATGTAAAATGTAGGAATAAAAGTATCAAATAGGCTGAGGACGGATTATTTGTTCCAAGGACCCCCATCAAAAGCCAAGTTTCCACAGTTTTGCACAGACAATCTCAGGGGGGTCATTTCTCACATTTTGTCTTGGTGGCACATAATATTTCTTTTCTGCATATGTCCCAATTCCTATTAAAACAACGAAGAGGAGTTTATTTATTTCATGGGAAAATATGAGTACTTTTCCTGGAAAGTTTGCTCAGAGCTGGAGAAGTATCCTAGTCTTTTCACCAATAACATTTCAAGAGGATTTTAGAAAGGCAACCAATATATAGGGCAGAGTGAGTCTACAGAGCATATATCAAAAACAGTCTAGGACTCTAGTCCTAATCGTTCCTTTCAGGGACGCCCTGTCACAAAAGAAGACTGATTCTTGAGTATTCCTTAAACAGAGTAATGTAAAGGAATAGCTTCATCTTTTGGCAGTACAAGAAATAACCAAGCAATGCACTTCAGTGCACTTTAGGGTGGACATTTTTCTTGAATGCATTTGACACAGGAACACAGGAAGCTGTTTTATCCTGAGTCAGAACTGGTCCACCAAGCTCAAGCTCTCTAGGATTTCAGACAGAGTTCTCTCCCAGCAACACTTGGATATGCTGGGAATTCTACAGGCAGAACAGATGCAGTACCCCTCCTGAGCAATGGCGCTTCCCCAACATGTAAGCCAAGGAGGCAAAGACTGCTGTTCTAGGCAGATACAGTTTGGAGTAAGTCTGACTGAACTCTGTGCTGGGGCTTGCCTTTGTGCAAATATACATTGGATCAGGATATATGATGTTATTGGCTCTGTAAGAGCCTTAATGATTGCTGTGCAGGATGATGAAATTGACATAAGCATAGAAAGACATACAAGAAATAAAATGAAAGGAAGGAGACTTGAAAAGAGATTTGCATTGAGGAGACAGGTAGTGGCGGCGTGATAACACGGTGACAAGGAGAAGTGGAAGGCAGGCAGGAAAGGAGGTCGAATGAACAGGATAACAGACAGAATATTCATAAGGAAACCCAAGGAAAGAAGGGGGACACTGTTTGAATCAGCTTCCTCCACAAAATAAGTGAATTTATATTTCCTTAGACTGACACGAGGAAATCAGGCCTCTGCATTCAAGGATTTAGTTGTTGTCTCTCCCCAATACGCTCTCACAATGAGTTTTTTGAAATGAGGTGGATGAAGCATAGCAAAAGCATCTGCGCCTTCTTATATATGATGCGAAAGCTGTGTTGCCTGCTGAACTATGACATTTGGACTCCACACAAACATCAATAATGTAACAAGTTTATTAAACAGGCTTATATACAGTGGCCAAGCAGGGCTCTTAGCGCAGGTCTTCAGCTGGGTTTCTCCAAGTCCATGGGAAGTGGGAACCTGAAGGCTTGACTGTCCATGGGGGACAGAGCACAGTAAAATCATTGTGCCTGAATATAAAATAAAATTTGCACCCAGATAAAAAGATTCAAAACAGTTGAACACCATCATACCGTATTTTTCGCTCCATTGGATGCACCTAACCATAGGACGCACTGGACCATAGGAGGGGGAGAACAGGGAAATTTTTTTTTCTTGTTCTCCCCCTCTAAAACAAGGTGCGTTCAAGGTACATTCACCAGAGCTTGTGGGGCTGGCGGTGGGGGGAAGCGCTGCTTTCCCCCACCGCCAGCCTCAAAGATCCCTGAAGCCTTTGGAGCGCAGCGCCCCGCTGCCCTGCCGAGGTTTGCGTGCAGCCGTCCCCAAGCTAGAGCAGCGAGACGGAGCCCTCCGCCTCGCTGTTCTGGCTTGGGAACAGCCTTGTTGCTTCTGCAGGACAGCGGGGTGAAGGCACCCCGCTGCCCTGCAGAGGTTTGCGTGCAGCCGTCCCCAAGCTAGAGCAGCGAGACGGAGCGCTCCGCAGTGCTCCGTCTTCCTGTTCTGGCTTTGGGCTTAGCGGCGCAGCCTGCATTCGCTCTATAGGACGCACACACATTTCCCCTTAATTTTTAGAGGGGAAAATGTGCATCCTATAGAACGAAAAATACGGTAATTACAGACGGTCCCTGTATCTGTAAGTGTAGCTGACTGGAATTTAACTGGGTTCACAAATATTTCACCTCATGGGTAGCATTTCCCCTTCATTCAAAACCATCACGGTCAGTACCATCCAAGAAAGAGAACATGGACAGGGCTGATTCACACAACTGTTTCTGCCACTGTGAGACGATTGCTGGACCGTGATTACAGGACGGCCAGTTGCACAACAGAGGACAGGAATCCTAGAATGTAGTTTAGAAGAAGGGATTTGGGCAGGTGCAGTTTATCTCAACTCTGCAGTGCTGTGACATAGTATCACAGCTGCTAAAACTCTCTCTTCTGCACAGCCATTAAGAGCGTAGGACTCCTGACCTCTGTTGCATTTAGTAACCCTGTCATTTTATGGCATAGCTTTACAAAGAGCCTGTTATTGTGCGCAGACCTATCACGTACTCAATGATAAAGGTTGCCAGGAGCATGATGGTGTAGCAGTGAGATGGCTGGAGAAGCTAGTTCCGAGAACTGGTAGCACATTTATTCGTTGCAAAGAGGCCAAGCAGCAGTTGTGCAGTTTGTGGGACAACCAGCCTCATATACCAACAAGCTTAAGTCTAATTAATGCATGAAATGGTTAATACCATTAGGGTTCCCATATTCCAGGGATCAAAAACCCAGACACCTCCCACACCGTAGGGATAACCCCCCACCATCCAGCATCTCCCTAGCTCGCCCCCTCCTTGCTGTTAACCCCTTCCTCGCCTACCTGCTCCCCCCTTCTTCGTTCTCCTCTCTTATCGTGGAGCCTAGCACAGCCCCAGGAAAACTGCACAAGTTCCTGGCAGCTGCTAGGACCAGCTCAGGGCCTAGCGCGATCCCCAGCAGGCCACTCCAGGCCACCCGATATGTGCTTTCTGTTCCGGGGCACCGCGCCTTCTGAGCATTCATGTGCCCCACAAACAGAAAAGAAAATAACAACCCCCAAACCCAGACATTTAATCCGAAAAGCAAAAATCTGCCCAGATGGGGATGTTGACCCCCAAAACAGGACGTCTCTGGGAAATCCTGGACCTATGGCAACTCTGAATACCATAAGCTGCCCTGCTAGGCTTAGCTACCTCATTTCACCTTACCTTGGGAAGAAATAGGTAATCAAGCCTATTGTTTCTTCCAGTCTACCTGAGAAGCTCATTATGTGAAAAGGTTTGAGTTGGTTGCTCCAGCTCAGCTGCATGACTCTCATCAGCACTCTTGAGTTCCTATACCAATAATCTAGGAACTTTTACCATTTTGTAACTAAGTTCTACTGCTTGTGCAGCTTTTCTGACTGATGTTTGGAAAAGCACGTGAAGTGAACCTTTGAAAAGCTTGTAAGTAAACTAATTTTTAACTTGCCAAGCGTGTGGTATTTTTCTATGCTAGGGGAAATGGGAAACTTTGGAAGGAATTTTAAAGGGCACATTTTAAGGTTTTACAACCTATATTTCCACACTTTAATTAGCTGCTTATTTTGTGACTTTAAATCTCAGCTGGGGTTCTCTCACCAAAGTGTACTTGCCCCAAACTTGGATCTTGGCATCCAGGAATCCAGGAATCCCTTCTTTCTTTCTTTTGCATCAACACAGTTAAGGAACGCCCCCCCCCAAACCTACTACTGCTGGTAATGTGGTGATCTATTCACAAGGCTCCTCTGTGACACACACTCCTTGTTGGTCACAGCTGACCATTTAGAAATCATTGCCTTACGCTTGTTTTAGAAATTTTTGAAACATTCCTTATACCCATGTTGGTGTGGCAAACCATTTTCCATGTGTGTGTGTGTGTGTGTGTGTATATATATATATATATATATATATATATATATATATATAGTCTAAATATTTAGCAGCTGATTACCACCAGCTGATAACAACCTGTGTTCTAATAGTGGTCACTTTCACTTATCTTATCTACTCTTGCCCAGCAGCCAAGAGGGTGTCTTAGAATCAAACCGTCATTTCAAACTATTCCTGGAATACTAGTATTAAACGAACCTTTGAACCCATAAAGGAAGTTTTCATTCTACACTATCTGTTCTCTGTGATGCGACACTGTGACACATAGAAACAGCTGTTAATAATGTACTCACATTCAGAATTCAAAAGTGATATTTTTGGTCATTGCTGTAATATCCATGTTCAGATACAGTAAATGCATTTGGGATATATATGAATAAGCCTTTTGCCCGCATGTGGAGTTTCTTTGTCCTTCCCTTTGGAATGCATAAATAAATAAATAAACAAATAAACCAAGCCAGGAACCCTTTAATTAATCATAGTTCTTCTGTTTCATCCAAACTGAGAAACTATGGTTACCAGCTTTGAAGCGAGCCAGGATATTAAATCAACTTCAGACTGTGACTTGAAGAGCATTGTTGCTAGTACTGCATCTGCTACCATTGCCCACCTTCAGTGCAAAAAAGTAAAATAGAAAGCAAATACTAAAGAAACCACAATACGTAGGGCAGCTCTGAACCTTGTGGCAAATTTCAAGGCATTTCCGTACAGCACTGCTTATAAGACTGTGCCGAATATTCTAGGGTAAACATTTTCCATATGAAAAAAGTGGCTTTTGATTGGCAATGGGCACCCAGAAAATTACCTCTCTTTTGCTTTAGTAAATGGCTGCTTTCAGTTCTGATCAGCTGCAGCTTTGGCGCTTTACATACGCAGTTGAAAATAGCCCTTCTTCATGGTGGTAATATCACATGTCAGATTTGGCCGCATGTCACTGTTGATAAAAAAAAATAATGTTTCCTTTCCCTCAGTAATTTGCTTCAAAAAATTCAAGTTTTAAAAATATTTGTAACAGTGATAAAAACAAATAGCATTTTTCAAGCAAAACATGGTGTCAAAGTTGCAGCTATCGGGGCTATGAAGAGCTTGTTCTAGGGTGCTTCTAACTGAATGCCAGTCACTGGAAGAGATACCCAGGGCCAGGGGCGCCAACTAACCCTCCCCCCACACATTGAGGGGGTCCAGCGTCACATGACATCACACGCATGATGTTGTGTGCCCCTCCATGCATCCCGCCCCTGGAGCATGAGCGCTCATATGGTGGGTGTGGGGCGTGTGGAGGGCGATCTTCACCCAACATGCCCCCTGCCCCCTCCTGGCAGGTGAGTGCTGCCCGCGACTGTGGGCTGTGGCGGATGGCAGCCCCCTCAATTTGGGGGGGGCTTAGACCCCTACCCACAAATATCAAGGGGGCTGAAGCCCTTTCCACCCCCTATAGTCGGTGCCCCTGCCCAGAGCATAGGGAGCCACTTGAACATCAGTGGTGGCTAAGCCCTTACTATCAGATATGCACAACCCCTTTCTCCCCTGAAAATTGCTGATTTTGCAGGGGTGTAAATGTTCATGAATTTCACACATGCTTTAGCCTAAGCATTTTACTAACTTATATTATTAAACTTGCCCGCACTGGTGGATTTTAATGCTCTCTCTCTCTCTCTCTCTCTCACACACACACACACAGAGCAAGATTTTTCTTCTCAGTCTCTTAATTCCCAAAATATTGCTTAATATTGCTTTCCAGGTGCACACGACCTTGAAAACCAGTTACTTGGTATGTGATGCATCCTCAGAAATTGGAAATATTGACATAACATAGCCAAATAAGCCTTACTTTTTATAATTTAGTCACTGAGGTTGGCTCTGTCCTGTATATTGTATTTTTGTCTGCCTCTTCACCCTGACTTCTTATACCAAGTGAAAAGCGTGAGCGACATGTAAACTTTCATATCAAAAAAAGCACAAGAGTAATACAGACAACACAGATTTCTAAACACAGCAGCCAGATTTTATTCAGGTTTTCTTTTTAAAAAAGCATAATGTTATCTTAAATGATTTCTCAGTAAGACTGTAATCTGCTTCTCCCAAATAGCATTTAACAGAGCTGTCAGTGTGAAGAAGCAGGCTTAATCACATGTGGATTACATTGCTTTGTTCTTGGTCTTATTTTCACTCTCTTGCTGTCCTTTCTAAACAGAGAACAAGCTTGGGAAATGCTATCAGCAGAATGGCCAGCAATATGATCAGAAACCTCAATCCCATTTAGTTAGTGAGACTTACCTCCGGTTAAATGTGCTTTGGCAGATGCAGTCAAGGTCGATCTTCAACCAGGCAAAAGTCAAGCCTAACCTGGATGCCTTGACAGCTTAACCAGGTCAGGCCAGACCAAATCAACAAACACAGTGGATTTATAGGAACCTTTTGACCTGTAACCTTGGTTGACTCACTGCATGAGGCTAGGGAAGGGAAGTTTCCTGTTTCTAGCACTGGCAATTCCTGCCACCCTCTCAGCCCCTGGAAAATGTCAGTTTTGTGAAAGTGTACTTTGGTTTGGGGGACAAAAGGAAACAATATATATTTAAGATCCAGTGCACTAGCCAGAGGCCCCCACCCCACTCCAAGGGATATTCCAGACCACTTCCTTGGGTTATCTGCTTTCTTTAAAGCAGAAAAGAGAGTCTCTAGCCCAGGGATGGGGGACTCCAGTACATCTCCCCCAATCCCTGTGCACTGACAATGCATGCTAGCTGCAACTGATCAGAATTCAAAGTCCAGCAACATCTGGAGGGCAACAGGTTCCTCACCCCTGCTCTAGTTATTTACAAGGGGGGGGGAGGCAGGCAGGATTCACTAAGAAATAAACATTCTCCCATCTTCTAGCGTTCCATCAAATGCATGCCAATGCTGTGGGATGACTCTCACACACCTGGCAATTGGCATCTAATTTTTAGGAAATGTTTAATAGTATATTTGATTACTATTATAATCAAATAATAAATTAATTGATGGAGAAAAATGCTTGCTCCTTTCTCATAACGCTAGAACCCAGGGACATCCCACGAAACTGAATGTTGAAAGATTCAGTGCAGATAAAGCACTTCTTTGCACAGTACATAGTTAAGCGATGGAACTCACTCTCACGAAAGGCCGGAATGGCCATCAACTTGCATGGCTTAAAAAGAGGATTGGACAAATTCTTGGAGAATAAGGCTATCAATGGCTACTAGCCATGATGGCTATGCTCTGTTTTAATGGTCAGAGGCAACAATATTTCTGAATGCCAGATACTGAAAACCAAAGGAGGGGGAAATACTCTTGTGCTCAGGTCCTGCCTAAGGCTTTCCCACACATTTCTGTGTGGCCACTGGATGGTGGACTAGATGGGCCATTGCTATAATCCAGCAGGCTCGTCTTATGTTTTTATGACCAGTCTGAAATTTGTTTAATTTCAAATACAAGAGAAGGGGAGATTGCATTAAAAGGGACACACACACACACACGGTTAATCTCTAGTTCCTAACTTCTATAATTTGCAAGCAGAGTATCTTAAACTGATGTGCAAACATCATGGGACCTGTCCTCTAGGAGAGCAAGCAGAGATCCTCCAGGCAAAGAGAGGCAAAATACTACTTTATGATGTATTCCAGGAGGGATGGTGATTGATGAGGGATAGTAAGTATCCAATTAGGTATGGTCCTGGGGTTTGTCAGGTCCAACAAGTGTGCAGATGACAATACTTAGTATCTTTCCCATAGCCCATGGAAGAAGCTGCCTTTCTTGACATATGCTTCTGCTTGCAGTCAGGCAAAGCTCAGGATGGTGTGTGTTGCCTGCTTTGCTGTTACAGAAGTAGGAGTCTTTGGCCAACATGAGAATTCCAGTAGTACTTACCTGTCTCCCGACAGCTGAGCCAGTGCTGTTTATTAGGATGGAGGGGGCAAAGTCAGCACAGTGCAAACGCACTGGCAGGAGTAGCAGAGTGACTCCACTGATGCATTAGCATCGTGTTGAGCTTCTTGCTGCCTTGCCCATTCCCTCCTGGTAAGCAGCAATGACTCAGCTGTCAGGAGGTCCGGTAAGCACTGTCACTCCACCATGCTGCCCACTACTGAAGAATTCTTAGAGGGCTGGAGCTGTGATTTTTATCATAGTATGGTCCTAGGCGTTCCATACAGCCCTGTTAAGATACTTGTATTCTTGGTCCTCTGGGATGGATTTGAGCATGTGGAAGCTATCAGTCAAGTCATCTTCTTGGGCTTACTACCCTGTAATCTTTCCAAAGCTATTGTATGCCACTATCTTCAAGTGCAGGTTGCCAGACTTTCAGTTTGGGATGGTTTCCATTATAGTGACTGCCAGCATAATCTTGCCGGGTGTGTCCTGGAAGCTAATCTAGGTTGATGGTGAGTTGATAGTGACCAACAAAATCAGGAAAATTAGAGGTTGAAAGTTGTGGCCTTACCAGTGGTTGAGAGAAAGATCTGAGGTATGTGATATAACAACTGGAACTGAGTGGGACAATAGCTTCCCCCACTTCTGCTTCTCTTAGATTTATAGACAAATTATGGTGCCACTAGCTGAAGCAGACCATGGAGGATAAGCATCTGTGCAGCTTGGGGCCTGAGCAAATGTTTCACTCTTGGCTGGAGTCTACATTTTGTGTTTGGTGACTGATGTGATATTTATAAACCCCTCTTTCTGTAGATTAGATTCCGGCAAGTTTACTGAGCCTCTCATCTGATACATTGCACTTGTAAAACACATGGCCTTGACTACAAAAGTGTTGATGCAGACTTTCCTATACTCACTGTACTGACAAGACAGAGAAACTTTCACCCCCTGTCTTTGGAAACAGATTAGCGCTCTTCCAATTTGCTAATAATACACATACTTCCCAGTGATCAGTTAACAGAATGGATCAGCAGTCAACAACAATCTTCTTTTAGATGCCAGAAGCTTCTGCCTCTTCTTAGCTTCTCTCCACCCTCATGCATCACTGCTTCCTATTGACAAGGCTGGCCCTGTGACATAGCAGGGTGAACCAACTTCAGCACCAGAAGGAGAGATGGATGAAGGGCTGTACCGCAGCAGTGGAACATCTGCTTTCCATGCAGAAGGTCCCAGGTTCAATCCCTGGGGAGGGTTGCCAGTGTCCCCTGCCTGAATCCCTGGAGAGCCACTGCCAGTCAGGGAAGACAATGCAGAGATAGACGGACTGGTGGTGTGACTCAGGATCAGGCAGCTTCCTATGGTGCAGCAAGGCTTTTTGAAGGGTAGGGGTACCATTTAGACATCGCTCCAATCAGCAATGTGTTTTGAGGCGGCACTGCCATCTCAGAGGGCAATGATGCAGGGAGATGAGTGAGCAGAGGGGCTGGTGCCCATAGCACTTATTCAAAACTCTAAATGTCCCCACAGGCCTCAAAAGGGTTGGTGACCTATAGTCTTTTTTAAAATATATATATTTTTATTTTGCAACACAAACACACACACTAACAAAAGGAAAAAGGAAAAATAACACATAAAAAATAAAAAAATATCAAAGGTAAATACAAAAACTTATACTAAGCAAATATTAAACAATAATTATATACCATATTTCAGTTCTTCTTTTCTTCCAATTGACTTCCTTCATCCTCAGCACGGTTCTACTTTCATTCTCCTTTCATTTTTACTCCTTTTTCTTTCTGTTTATAGCTTTTACCCTATAGTTTGTTTTACAAAAGTTAATCAAAACAAGTCCAAGTATTAATCTGAGGGCACTGCTTTTTAAGGTACAGTGGTACCATGTGTTACGTACTTAATCCGTTCCGGAGGTCCATTCATAATCGGAACCGCTTGTAACATGAGGCGCGCTTTTGCTAATGGCACCTCCCATTGCTGCCGTGCTGCCGGAGCACAACTTCTGCTCGCATCCTGGGGCAAAGTTCACAACAAAGGCATCTACTTCCGGGTTAGTGGAGCTCATTACCCAAAGCGTTCATAAGGAGGATAGTACGTAATATGAGGTACCACTGTAATCTCTATATTTCCCCCATTCTTTTTGGAATTTATGTTTGGTCTCACCCCTAATTGCATCTGTCATTCTGGCCAATTCTATATACCAGTAGTCAAATAATTTATCTTGCCATTCTTTTTTTGTCGGTATTACTTCTTTTTTCCAATTTTTGGCAATTAATGTTCTCGCTGCCACTGTGGCATAAAGAAATATTTTCTTACTTTCCCTCGTTATATCTATATTCAATATTCCCAACAGAAAAGCTTCTGTTTTCTTGGCAAAATTTTGTTTGAACATTTTCTTTGGTTCTTCATACACCATATCCCAGAAGCCTTTGATTTTATCACATGACCACCACGTATGCAAAAGCATCCCCTCTACGTGGTTGCACCTCCAACATAATTTTGATTTTGTTTTATACATTTTACATATTTGGGTTGGTGTTAAATACCATCTGTAAAACATCTTTATCAAATTTTCTTTTATCGTTATTATAGTTTATAAAGTAATGCTACAATTCATGTGGAGCCTCTTAAAAAATCATTCTCCCATGACTATTTTGTAAAGCTGATTTACTTAGCCAGTTTTCTCTGTGGACAGCCCTGCTCATGGCAGATGTACCTAGGGGTTCAGTGTGTGTAGGAGAGTGTGCATGTCCGCACATGAAGTCTCCCCCCCCCTTGTTGCTGCCTTTCCCCTCTCTGAACGGTTTAAGAGAAATCCACCATTTATTTCTGGTGGAGGTGAACTCCCAAGTGGGGTTATAAACTTACAAAGAAAGGAATCTTCTTTTTCGAGTGTTTTGGAAAGCTTCTCATTCACCTATTATCTCTCTCTGCCAGAGAGTGCAAAGGGATGGAGCATGCATAAAGTGAGCTTTTATGCACCAGCAGAGAGGAGACAGAACATTCCAGGCACTTGTTATGAAGGAAGGATGGAGGGCAGTGCAGTGGGTAGGCAACATCTACACCACACTTAGGGTAATTGAAGTGCTTTTGGGGAACTTCCAGCACATCTGATACCTGCTGCAGGTGCATAACAAAGTGCTTCAGCCCACCCTGTCCTCCCACCTATCCACATTGCTGAGGCCTTAGAAAGCCCTAATTCTTGGTATTGTGTACTTTCCAACAAAGAAGTGAGTGGGCTTTCTGTGTTGCTTTTTGAAAAGCAGCATTTTAATAGCACAGGAGAAAATACTGAGGCTTAGAAAAAAAAACCTATGATTTCCTACTTACATATTTATTTATTTTTACAAAACACACATCAACCACTAGTCACTCATCAAGGGAATTGCTTAGGTTTGCCATCAGCTGGACAAAGCTGTGTACAGCGCAACTGATGCCAGGCAAATTGGGCAGGGCATGATAAAGATGAGGGGTGAGCATGGAGTTACATTGTGCTACTGTCTGCATTTAGCACTTTCAGTCAACAGTCTGATTATGTGTGACATTAGAAAGGAGCCATAATTCAGTGTTAGCGCATACCCTACATGCAGTGATTCTCAAGTTCAGTCCCTGACATCTGTAGTGGAAAGGATATTGGGTAACACAGCTGGGAACAACAACAACATTTGTACAGTGCTTTCTTCATATTGTCTTCTATTATCCTCTTCGTCATGAGTTGGTGAGGGTGGCTACCTGTTTTCTCTCTTGAAAAGTATTGTTATGAGTTTGTGGGTGCCACACTCCCCATAATTCCTGGACCCAGTAAGTGTTAGAAATTAATCAAGCCTCCTGAACACCTGGATCCAGCAAGGGTTAAAAAATAAGCCAGGCTAGATTCCTTATGAGGTAATCACCTGGGAGATGAGCTGTTAAGAAAGAACAAAAAAAAGGTGATGGGCCATTGGGAAAGCTAAGGAGTGGGGACTCTGGGCCAGATAGCAAGTGGGTGGTGCCCCTCCTCTAGCTCTTAGATAGATAGGAGACAAAGCCAAAGTTTGAAGTAGAGAAGAAAGAGAAGTTGTATGTGTGCACACAAACATAAAAGTAGGACTCGGAAAAAGGATTCTTTTGAAATTACATATTTTTGTGAGTTCCCCCGCACTGCAACCATAATCAAATCGCATATCGCACCTGTCTCCATTAGATGAACCATAATATGGATCCAATGTTTTTCAGCACTGATATGGTGTCAAAACATAGATATATGTTTTGCTCATCATCCTTCTCATCTTTTCCTCTGTTAGCTCAGTGGATGTCCTTGATATTATTAGATATATTGGAACAATATTTTATGACTATTGTTTTGGTTGTTCTCTTGAGTGTATGCCTATCATCTGCCTGATGTATATAAGGAAGGGAGGAAAACATGGATCTGAAGCATGGATCCTTATCAACCCTCAATATGTTTAGAATTGTTTCCCTCAAAGTCCACTGTCAAATCATGGCTGAAAATCCATTCAGGTCTGTGCCTTGGAACAACGAACTGTAGTACAACCCTCACGGAGCTACAACCCCCAGCACCCTTAAGAAACTACAATTCCCGTGATTTTTTTGAGGAAGTCATGTGTTTTAAATGTATGGAGTGTATGCATTCTCAGTTTTTTAAGACACACCCAGTTCATACCTTGTTGAAAGTAGCCTAATTACTTTCATTGGGGCCTGGTTTTTGCACAGACAGACACATCTTCCCACTCCCTGTATCTCACATATTGCCTGGTTATCTACTACCATGAAATAGTATTCTACATTCAGGGCTCGTCCTTATCCCTCTTTCCCCCAAAGCCCTGCTCCTCAGGAAAGGAGATTATAATATCTTCAGTGTAAGAAATGCAGTCAGTAGGGCACACTGGTTTCTGTAGTCTGAAACCTTGCTGTGCCAAAGGTGAGATGCCTGCAATTTTATTGTTCCCTCTGAGCTGTCCTGGAACAAATGTAGTTTGCCCTAAGCCTTCCATCTGGCAGAGATCTTTCTTTTTCTCTGTGGAGCGACACATCAAATGGAATATATATATATATTGTGGGGGGTTGGACAAAGTTTTAAAACGGAAACCCAAAGTGTTTCTGAATGCTCTGGAACAAAAGATTACATGGGATCTATTTGCAGCAATGGAAAGCATTAAAATAAATTGGTATTTGGGAGATCTGAAAGGATGCCATTGGTTGTCACTAACACAAAGACTGGAATGTCACAGATGCAAGTAGATGGATTCCCAGTCCCATTGAATTTCAAACTAGCTGAAGCAGGCAGGGATCAGGGTTTTCCTTCTCCTCTTGTCAGATATCTTAGATAGCATGTCTGATCATCATGTGGGAAAGGAAGTGCATGTTTAATCACCATGTGGGAAAGGAAGCATTTCAACCTCCACCTTTAACAGCAGACACTAAATTGTGTCTAGAAACATGAATTAAAACTACCAGTAGATTCCTAATGCAGCAAGAAGAGAGTGAAGCGGTTCTGCTGCAAATTGTGGTAATTGGTTGAAAATCAAGTGGCAGAGCTTCTACTTCTACTTTAATTATTCCCTGTAATGCAGAATGACTGAGCATATTTGGAGAGATTCTGCAAGCAGACAAAATGGAAAATGTACCTCTGATTGCATCCGTTTTGCATCTTGCACTCTATTTCCCGGGGCTCTTGCCAACATTCTCTTCCAGCAACAGGAGCTACATCTACATTTGCAAGTCCATTACCACAATTTCTACTGAGTTGAAAGCCTCTGAACTTTAAATGCATGGCTCTCCTGCAAGGACTGGACCATAAAGAAGGCTGATCGCCGAAGAATTGATGCTTTTGAATTATGGTGCTGGAGGAGACTCTTGAGAGTCCCATGGACTGCAAGAAGATCAAACCTATCCATTCTGAAGGAAATCAGACCTGAGTGCTCACTGGAAGCACAGATCGTGAAGCTGAGGCTCCAATACTTTGGCCACCTCATGAGAAGAGAAGACTCCCTGGAAAAGACCCTGATGTTGGGAAAGATGGAGGGCACAAAGAGAAGGGGACGACAGAGGACGAGATGGTTGGATAGTGTCTTCGAAGCTACAAACATGAGTCTGACCAAACTGCAGGAGGCAGTGGAAGACAGAAGTGCCTGACGTGCTCTGGTCCATGGGGTCACGAAGAGTCGGACACGACTAAACAACAACATCCTGCAAGGATAGGATAGTGTCTCCTCTGAGACATAATCCCTTCAACTTGCTTTTAAAAATATCTGTGTGAATTCTGGGATGGGGGAGGACACCCACACCCACCCACCCACCCCCACCACAAACCTTGCTGGCTTAAAGGTGATCATCTGATGAAGAACCGTCATAAGCCCCCAAGGAACCACAACTGGCTTGTCCTGTCATTGCTTCATTCCATTAATTTATTGGATGAAGATTATTTGCCAGCCATAAAAAGAAAGCCAGGACAACATTTAATCATATAAGCTTGCAAGAGCAGACAGTTCCAGATGTGAAGGGAGGCACATCTTTACTTTCAGCACATAGTATATTTTTCTTATTACGACAAAATATGCTTAAAATAATGCACAGGGCCCCTTGTGAGTTTCAGTAAAACTATGAAATTTTATTTCCGTGCTGATATGGCACAAGGCCTGTAGGCTGCCTGGAGAACGAAGGAACAAACAAATTAGAATAACAACTATGGCTTTATCACAAGGCGAATTATACCTTGTGTCCTCATGAACCCCCATTTTAGAAAATATGCTCCTATGGAGTTTGTCACTCTGTGCCTTAAGTTGATATTTGGCAGAATGGAAGCCTTCTGGGAGATTACTTCTGTGCCATAGACACAGCTGCACAGAGCCATCTGCACAGAGCTTCACTTGTGCTTGAATCCATTGTGCTGATTAAATCCGGAGAAAGGAATCGGGATACTACCATTGACCTACAATAAATACTGTTACCATGGGATGTAGGGGGAGATTGACAGTAACTTGTAGGTAGCAGAAATTTCACAGCCCCCTGGGTTACAGCCATATCCCTTCCTTGGCATTAAAATTTGGTGAAAGCAGCCAAAACAAAGCAAGTTGTGCATGCCTTGGGTTTGAGAGTCATTAGTACAACCTACTTGCCTGTAGAGGACATTTACTTTTTTAGGTCGGAAATTATTATTTGGCCAGCATTTAATTCAGTGGCTATGTGGAGCATCAGCTACAGGCTTTAAACTGCAGCTGGGACTATTCACCTCCTGTTTAACTTTTTATTTACCTTGAAGCTTTATCATTGGGGTTGAGATGCTTTCTCAGCTGGGCCTCCCCGCCAAAGGATTCCTTCCTCCCCCTGCTAGGGGCACCGCTTTAAGAAGCCTTGCTGCACCCTTCAGGTACCTATTCCTGCTTTTATCTACTCCACCTTCCACCAGAGATCACTGCATCACCCTGTTGAATGGCAGGACAAAGTGCACCTTCATCTGCTGGATGTTGCTGCTGATGAAAGAGGGAAATGAGAGAGACTGACATTGGTCTATAGCAGCTAACAAGTTTGTTGTGGTGGTTTAGCAGCTTCTGATAGTGAGCACTTGGAACTCCAGCAGCACTAATTCCCTTAATTCTGTGTTGGTTCCTCAGGGAGGGAGCATAGAATTGGGAACTTCAACTGAATGGAGAAATGCCTTGTTTTGACACGAAGGCTGCGTACACATGATATTTTATTCTAGAATCAATGTAGACTGAGCACTCATTTTTCCATATAGTCCACACACTATCAAGAGCTATTGCAAATTGTTTGCCCCTGAAAATTTTCGCTTCTTGATATTCCCCAAAAGAAAAGTTCACTGTAGATTCAAGCGTGTCCATTAGAAAACAGATGAAAACAGTAACAGTTGTAGGTAGTCCCAGCAACTGGGGTGAGTAGCCACACCTGCCCAATAACATTGTAGGTGAGCATATAGCAAGACTGCCACCACCACTTCCTCCTTCACTCACCTGGGGCATGTGAAGGGGAGAAAAGGCATGGATAACTTAAGCAAGGGGAGGGTTTTCAAATTCATATCAGGTAATCATACTTGCTCTTGTGGACAGCAAATTCTAGAATCAATCTAGATTGAAAGCAGCGTGTTGAGGATGAGCATGAGCGATTCAAGTCATTATTTGTGCTAAAAACAAGTTAGTGCGTATGTGGCCTGTGTATGATGAGCACCCAATCAGGAATGTGAGGTGGAGGCAGCTATAAGTGGAGATGGCCATAGGGCAGAACAGCTCACCTCTTAATTAAATAGTTTCACTCTGCTGTTGGTTTCTGTCTACTTTCTTTTAGCCTCTTCATCTCTAGGCCATCCCAGAACAGCACTCTTGATGCCTTCCCATCCTCATCTGAATCAAAGTCTTAGAGTCCATTCATTATATGTACAGTGGTACCCCAGGTTACATACGCTTCAGGTTACAGACTCCGCTAACCCAGAAATAGTACCTTGGGTTAAGAACTTTGCTTCAGGATGAGAACAGAAATCATGCTCCGGCGGCGCGGCAGCAGTGGGAGGCCCCATTAGCTAAAGTGGTGCTTCAGGTTAAGAACAGTTTCAGGTTAAGAACGGATCTCCGGAATGAATTAAGTACGTAACCAGAGGTACCACTGTACTCCCATTCAGCTTCTCTTGCCTTGCCTTGCCTCTTCCTCCGGCCAGCTCTTTAAAGTCTCTCCTAACTGCTAAAATTTAGATTATAAATTCATTTTGGGGGGCTTATGTTACTCTGTAAAGTGCCATTTGTGCTTGCGTTGTTGCCTGAATTAGTGCATATTAAATAATAAAGTAAAAACAGTATGGAGCGGTATGACAAACAGCTGATTCAAGTGCCAACACAGCTTTAAAATCACCTGTCTAAATTGCCGAATCCCCTAAAATGTCTGAAAATCTCAGACGCAGTGTTGAATTCATAAGGTGACCAGCAACCTTTCCCTTTTTGTCTTGTGGTGAGCTGTTTGTCAGATGGGGTTCTCAGGGTGGGGTGGGGGTGGGGATGGGGATGGGGATGGGGAATGGCTTTCTCTAACATCCTTTGTATGTCAGGAGGAGTCATACCGGAGGCAAACCTGCACAGCATGCAGACCATTCTGAGGTGGATTGCCCCTGCCTGTCAGACAGCAATCACTCCAGGAACACGATCAGCACTCCAGAGATGTCTTCGGCTGATTTGTGTTCCAATTTGAATAAGTTCCAGGAATACCAGCCCTCATACCCCATTACATTCCCTTAGTGTATTTCTAGCCCAGTTATTTTTTCCGCTTCGAGAAACCATTCATTGTTCTGCTCAGACAGCTTTGATAAGGAAGCCAGAGATGATCAGGTCCTTTTTAAAAAGTTAGTCTGCAGTTAGCAATGTCTGTCACATAATTGCATGGGCTCAGGTTGATTCCTAGCTCTCTTGCAAATATGGAATCTTTAAAGGCAGCAAGCCTGGGCTCACTTTCTCTGAATGGAGCTGCTGGTCTGTAGGCAGCCATGCAGCTTAAGACAGAGGGGGGCAACTAGCTATTTTAAACCTGTAAATGGCACCAGCTTGCTCTTGAGTCTACTGTTGTCCTATTCACACAGTAACTTCAGCATCTTTCTACATTCCCATCTCTTTATGCCACCTTCTGCTCTCCCCCAAACACAGCATCTGTTCCACAGCAGTGTATGCGGAGATTCTGCACCTTCCCAGGACTTTGCCCCCTTTTTAGGTGTCTTCTGTTTTCCCAAGGGCGACTCACCAGACAGTTATATGCTCACTAATTATCTTTGAAAATGTGATACTGCCTTCTGGTTAGGAATGGAGGAATCTCTCAATTTCAGTTTCTCTAAATTTCTAATCCCCCCCCCCAACTTATGTGGAAGTGCGACAAACTGAACTTGAGTTTGTACTTTTGTAAAACTCCCTACAATAATGATTCAGTTGTCCAGTGTACATTTCCCCTAACAGACACATTTTTACCTAATACACACATTTGTGAAAACAATTTTCTCCTAATATAATGTATTTTTGTCCTTCTCCATTAATATATTGTTATAGGACTGGGGGTTGGTTTAGAGTTAGATGATGTCCTGGGAATCCCAACCAAGCCTGTAATTGTAGCAGAGGGAACCTCCTGAACTGGTTCAACTAGTCATTTTGCAGGATAATGCCCCTAGCTGGCCTAGCTAAATACCCCATTAGTATTCTAAAGAGTGGGCCATGTTGCCATAGAAACAGGTGAGTGGGCCCTTCCCACACCTCCACCTGGCTGGATGCTGCTTCATCCTAGGAAGAACAATTGGCCAATATTAGGTAAAGAGGTAAAGGCGACTATGGGGTGCAGCGCTCATCTTGCTTCAGGCCGAGGGAGCCAGTGTTTGTACACAGACAGCTTTCCGGGTCATGTGTCCAGCATGACTAAACCGCTTCTTGCGCAATGGAACATCTTGATGGAAGCCATGGCACACGGAAACGCCATTTCCCTTCCTGCCACAGTGGTACCTATTTATCTACTTGCACTGGTGTGCTTTCGAACTGCTAGGTTGGCAGAAGCTGGGACAGAGCAACGGGAGCTCACCCAGTCATGGGGATTCAAACTGCCAACCTTCCGATCAGCAAGCCCAAGAGGCTCAGTGGTTTAGACCACTGCACCACCCATGCCCCTAGACCAGTATGATACATGAAGACTCCATGATAGTTTGAAAACTAAGAGTGTGAAAGGAATAATTGTAAATTGCAGCTTGGAAAGTTTTAGGCTTAGCGAAGTTCAGATAAGATTAGCTTTATGCTGCATAGTGGCACAGAAATATCAGGCCCTCAGCTTTGCCACTATTTGATCCTTTATTGATCTGCTCCATGCCTTTCCAATTTTTGATACTGTAGGTTATTCCATTCATGATTGCACACAAATAAATCCCCTGCTGCATTAGCCCTTCAACTCTGGGCTTGGTGAGATAAGGCAAACTTCACTTTGTTTACTCCTCCGTGCAATAAGTCAGAGGTATACAGCATCTTTGCTCAGAATCCTGCAGCCACTTTCTAGCATTGACCTTTTATCCCAACCCAGGTCTGCTGTTGCTAGTTTAATGTAATTGTTTATTTTGCAGTCTTGCTTTATATATCCAAGTTCCCGAAAGGAAAGAGGAATTATCCCGTAACAGTTAATACTGGCCCCTTTCAGGCTTTTGATCCAAGGGAGAATCGGGCATGACAGAGCCAGGACTACTCAGGAAGATGCAGATGAAATGAAATCATTCTTGAGAAGTGCCACAAACTGCTCTGGCTAAAGGACAGCTAAGAGATAAGAAACCCATTGATTTCCATGGGGTTAAGCACATGTAGCTCTGCGCTAGTGTGTTTATGCACCGATGACCTATCCATTGTGTGCCTCAGTTGTGCGACATAGCATACCACACATGTTTAGAGCAAGTATTATTGTTCAGTCCAATATATCATAAGGTCACTGCTTACATAAATACGTGCCTCCTGTTCATACATCATTCATTTTGCTGTGCTAACGCCGTCCCATTCTGCCCAACACACTCAAGAGTTATGAATATGCAAACCAATTATTGTTATTATGATGGGTAGGATGCGTGCAGAGAGAAGGGGTGTCCATTCCGGGGACCCCCATGTCAGGGCTGGAAGGAAAGAAGGTCTTATCCTTACAGCAAGTAACCTCAACTGCAGTATTTTGCCCTTCCCACTCGTAATGAATGCCAATCATTTGCTTACATGTGAGATAGTAAAAGGGTACACTCAGAGAAGAAGCTAAACCTGTTTCCCCCCTGGTGACACAAGAACTGAACTTTCTCCTGTCTGCATAGTTTCACCCTAGTTTCTGTATCTGACAGGATGTTGGGGGAAAGTAGCCACATGCTGGGAAGTGGTTTGCAGACAGAAAGAAAGGTTATTTATTAATTAAATGCCTTTTGAGTTAACATCTATAGGATGGTGTAGTTAATCTCCTTCCTTTGATCAATCCAGGAGACAGCGATTGCCAGTCCAGTCTGCCATTAGGATAGCTTCCCCTTGTAGAAATTAAGGTCAACTACCCTTAATAAGGCTGCCCTCCATCTGTTTTGTCAGGGTAGAAACTCTCTCACAGTGCTTGTAGAACCTGGACAAGGTAGGCCAAGACGTTTTGCTGCCTGAGGCTGAGCAGCAAATAGCGCTCGCTTGGAGTCAAGGTGCATAGTACCTACCGGTAAGTTGTTTTGGCACTAGGACAGAAAGTCCTGCAAATTCTTCTCCCTCACTCTGGCAAAAAATAAAAAAATAAAAAAGAACAGTAAGACTGCATAAACACCATACATTTAAAACATATTTAAACACTTTCTCCCACTTCCAAAATCCTAGAAACTGTAGTTGACCTCACCACAGAGCTACAATTCCCAGCACTCTTAACAAACCATGGTTCCCAAGATTCTTGGAGGGGGGAATGTATGGTGTACATGCGGAGTAATACACTAACAATTTACTGCTGTGACTTCCCAGACTAGCTACCTGAGGTGACCACTTGAGTTTGCCTCATAGTATGAACACCTCTCTTAAAAAGCAGAGACATCACCTTGCCAACACAGGTCAGTATAGTTAAAGCTATGGTTTTCCCAGTAGTGATGTATGGAAGTGAGAGCTGGACCATCAAGAAGGCTGATCGCCAAAGAATTGATGCTTTTGAATTATGGTGCTGGAGGAGACTCTTGAGAGTCCCATGGACTGCAAGAAGAACAAACCTATCCATTCTTAAGGAAATCCGCCCTGACTGCTCAGTGGAAGGACAGATCGTGAAGCTGAGGCTCCAATACTTTGGCCACCTCATGAGAAGAGAAGACTCCCTGGAAAAGACCCTGATGCTGGGAAAGATGGAGGGCACAAGGAGAAGGGGACGACAGAGGACGAGATGGTTGGACAGTGTTCTCGAAGCTACCAGCATGAGTTTGACCAAACTGCGGGAGGCAGTGGAAGACAGGAGTGCCTGGCGTGCTCTGGTCCATGGGGTCACGAAGAGTCGGACACGACTAAACGACTAAACAACAACAACATGAACACCTCTGGACCTGAACAAATATTGCACTACCAGTTTAATGGAAGGAAAGTACAAAGATTATCACGGAACAAACCTCTTTTGGGGCATTAGCTTTCAGTTAGAATTCTTTAGATTTGTCAATAACATCAGTAAACCTCTTGTAGAGGTCAAATAAGTTGTTGCAAAGGCGACTGAAAAATAAAAGGTAACACTTGCAGAAACCAACTAATTTAGCAATATGATAATGAGCAATCTGTTTTGACAGCTACAAATGGGGTTATCAAACATAACACGTTCTGGGAAATTGTTAAGCGATGTTTTCTTAAATGTTTTTGACCTGCCCATTAAATTTTCCCATTCTCTGTTTTCGTAATGAATAAAAGAACTCTTAACAAGGGGATTGTAGGAAAATCTTCACTTTAGTTGGATGCCCACAAAATAGAGTTGACGTTGTAAAGTTAGAAGTATGAATCCCCAGGTATGAATCTAGGCAGTGAGCCATGCAAAAGCTTAGACTTGGCTTGTTTGGGTACAGAGATGACCTCTCTTAATGAACAGCAGCCTGTAAGGTCAAACCAATTAACCGATAAGCTTTTAATTAAAAGGGCTGCTATGGCTTAAAGATCACTGTCTGGAGCCAGGTAAAACAGTTTATTTCCAATTTATAGTTGTTTTCCACAGAAACAGGGAACTGCGTATTAAATGCAGAAGTCTGGGTTCAATCCCATCTCAGCCATGAGTTCACTGGGTGGCATTTTCTTTCACTTAGACCTCTATTTGTGAAGAGGGGATAACACTAAGCGACCTTCCTCCAAGGTTCGCTCTAAGGTTCAGTACAATAAAGACTGCAAAGCAATTTATGCAACATGTAAGGGTCTTTGCAAATGATTATTACATGCAGTAAAAATTAGATAGTATTTTGAGGCAGAAATAAAATCTTAGGATTTACAAATCAAATCTTCTTTCAGTGTTTCTTGACCCCCATAAACACCTGTCTTCCACCTTGGAGACAGGGACTTACCACCTTATTTTATTTACTTGACTAGTGAATGATCTATCACAGTCGATGGAGAATAATGGACAGTTCATCAGTGAGCAATTCTTAGCTCCATAGAACTCAGTGGGAGCCTTGGTTAGCCATTATTGCCTTTAGCTGCGTAGTACTGCCTGGATTGGATGCGGGTGGCACTGTGGGTTAAACCACAGAGCCTAGGACTTGCCGATCAGAAGGTCGGTGGTTCGAATCCCCGCAACGGGGTGAGCTCCCGTTGCTCGGTCCCTGCTCCTGCCAACCTAGCAGTTCGAAAGCACGTCAAAGTGCAAGTAGATAAATAGGTACCGCTCCGGCGGGAAGGTAAACAGCGTTTCTGTGTGCTGCTCTGGTTCGCCAGAAGTGGCTTAGTCATGCTGGCCACATGACCCGGAAGCTGTACACCGGCTCCCTCGGCCAATAAAGCGAGATGAGCATCGCAACCCCAGAGTCGGTCACGACTGGACCTAATGGTCAGGGGTCCCTTTACTGCCTGGATTCTATTTCCTGAAGCCACTGGTCTGACAGAATGCTGTCAGTTGACTTGTAGATACTTGTATGCAGGGCTTTTTTTGAACCAGAGCACACCTCTTTGGTGCGTTCCGGCACCTCTTTGTAGCATAATGGCAGCTGTATCGAGAGAGGCACAGTGCCCAGAGGTGCCCAGAGCTGCATGTTGGAGGCTTCTGGGTGGGAGTTCCTGCACCTCTTTTTCTAAAAAGAAGAAGAAGCACTGCTATTATGCATTCCCCACCTCCCTGGGTGGTGAGAAGTTCCAGGGACAGCGCTTACCAGGGCTTGTTTTTGTAATATTTGATTTAATTACCAGTATATAAGAACAGTGTAATTGGAGGCAAGGAACACTGACTCTGCTAGTGTGAAGCATATCCACTGCCCCACATCAGATCTCCAGAGAGTGAGAGACCTGCCCACATACTCTCAGTACCTTCACTGTAATCCTCTTCTCTGCCCCCAAGTCTTCTGGCATCTATCTTTATGTCACCTTTGCCTCCACACTTTGTATATGTGCTGGAGGGCCTAAACCAGGGGTCCCCAAACTAAGGCCCATGGGCTGGATAAGGCCTGAGGGACTCGTTTATCCAGCCTGCGGCGACCCCCGCTACCCGCTCTTACTGGCGCTGCACTGTGTGGCTGCCCACTTCTGGGTCAGAGGAGCACCGGAAATAGCTTGTGCACATGCGCACAAGCTATTTCCGGTGCTCCTCCGACCCGGAAGTGCACCGGAAATAGCGTGTGCGCACGCGTATGGGCACACATTCCCCCGCCCTCCGGCCCGCTGCGCGATTGGTGCTGGAGACACCGGCCCGAGGCGCAGTAAGTTTGCTGACCCCTGGGCCTAAACCCACAGTATTGTAAACACTCCTCAGGGTTATATGCCTGCTGGGACAGTGTCAATACTTGTCTAAGCCCACATTCACGTCACACATTTAAAGCGCCGTGATACTGCTTTCAAATTGCATTGCTTCCCCCAAAGAATTATGGGACTTATAGTTTGTTATGGATGCTGAGAGTTGTTAGGAGACAATTCCTCCCCTTCCAGAGCTACAATTTCCAGAGTTCCCTGGGAAGAGGGATTGATTGTTAAACCACTCTGGGAGGGGAATAAGGGTCTCCTAACAACTCTCAGCACCTTTAACAAACTACAGTTCCGAGAAGTCTTTGGGGGATGCCCTGGCAGTTTGAGGTGGTATCATAGTGCTTTAAATATATGGTGTGAATGTGGCTAAGCCTACCTCACAGTTTTCAAGGTATTAAAAAGTTCTTTGGCACAGGAGGAAAGTGAGGGGCAGTTTCAGCCGCTTTAGGGAGTTTGTAAAGCCAAGATGCGCTTAAACAGCTAAAAATGGAGAGCTTTATTTTGAGTGAGGGAGTTGGGGGGCCTTCACAAACATCATCGCTTTTAATTGTTCTAGTTTGTCTAATGTGTTATGAATCTTCATTCAACATCCTTTCAAACGCAGATCTGCCTCACACCTGCTGCCTTGCTGTTCTCACAATAAGAGCTGTCTCAGCTTCACACCTGCCAGCTTTGCTTTAACAGACTCTGCTGCTTTTTATCATATCGGCAGTTTTTGTAACACTAATTAAAAATAAGTGTGCATATTTTCAGCCCATTGCCATTTTTTTTTCTGACAAAGCAGTAATCCAGTTCTTAAGGGAATGGAAATATATCCTGGAACGTTTGTAGTCTTTCTAAATTTCATCCAGCCATGCTTGTGTTCATGAGATTCTCATCATACTTTATATCCTTGGAAACATTTTTTGTGGAAACTATACAAAGCCTAAATGTTCACTCCTTTCCCTGTTTGCTTAACTGCATGGCTCAAGGCAGAGATCTAAAAGGAAAAAGACCATATAAATTGAGGAAAGCTTTAATTGCAGCCAGAAGGTTTAGTAAGCAGACATGATTTATCAGGAAATATTTAACCATTATGAAGCCTTAGGTGTAGTAAAAATAACCACTAATCTAGTAGAATTCAAAGCTGATGATCTCTGTCCATCTGGTTGTGAGGTTCTTCACATGATGTTAAAAAGATGGTAAGTTTCCACACATGAATTCAGACCAATAACCTATCTAGTTCCATAAAGTGTTGCCACCTTTAACTTGGCAGATAATGGGCAGTGTTAAACCTTCGTCCAGGCTCCCACCACATAAATTTCGGGCATATTGGTTTACTCAACTATTTTATATCACTACCTAGCAGGTCTGTTAATACAGGCCTGCAATTGGTGTTTTCCCCTAGCCTAAGGGAAATGAGGGAAGGAGATAGTCTGAGAACTGGGGAGGGCTAGACCAAGACATTTGCTGCCTGAGGAAAAGAACACCACACTTGACCAGCAGTTAATTCCTTCTTTTGTGCTGGCAAAATGTTTGTCTTCCACTGCACCCCAGCTTAGGGGGCGCAAAACAAGCTGCATGCACATACAGCTCCTGCCCTCCAACAGAGGGGAACAACTGGGGGCTCAGGAGAAACAGCTGGAGGTGGGGGCTGCCACTAATGGCGCCAGCATTTGCCACCTGAAGTGGATGCCTCACTCTGCCTAACAGTAGGGCCAGACTTGAGGCTGGGCTGATCTTAAAAGAGTGCTTTTCAGTTAACCTCATTGAACCTTAATATAACACACAGCCTTTGTCCGCATGTCTGCAGGCAAGACTCAAGACATGGAATGACCTTGCTTAAGGTCATACAAGAAATGTATATGGTTGAGATTGGAACCAATCCCACTTTCCTTGAACCTGAGTCTTAATCACATTATCATCTTTCCTGGGAGACTATCTCCCTCATCGAGCTAGGCTATCTTGACATCATACAACCTTTTACAGCAGAATAGGAAAGGATGGAGGCGAGATACTGGTTTGTGTGTCATGGAGATAATCTACTTTATTACAAAGACAGATGGGACTCCTGGTATTTCAGTGACTGGAAAGAGCTCTGACAATGACATATTGAGGAGCTTGCTGCAGCCATTCTGTGCCAAAATTATTTGCTACCAGAATTCCTGGTGACAGTTAAATACACGCTGGGAAACCTCTAGAGATGAAAGAGCCTCTTGTGAGGGGCCGGATATGTGACAAGCAAATAGCTTTATCCCTTGTGAAATACAGTTTCACACCAATCATTTTAATACAGTAGGATGTGAGCGTTGCATCTGGCAGGCAAGGATCTCATCAGCAAAAAATAGCTGTTTGGCTCAGGATGGCTGCTTATTCTATAAATACCTTGGAACGACACATATCTGCATTTTCACTTCCTTTCCCCTAATGGATTGGGAAAGCAATAACTATTTTCCCCCTACCTAGCTTGAGATTTCTCTGCCCTCTCTGTCACCCATTGTAGGAGCAATGCTGCAAACTAAGTGAAGAAGCCCAGGGAGGTTTCTGAGGGACTTTCCACAGAATGAAAGTGTGTGCGATCTGATCTAGACTGCGAAACTGAGGGATGTTGTATTTATTCATTCATATGTATTTATTACATTTATGCTCATCTTTCCTCCAAACTGACAAACATGGCTCTCCTCCTCCTCCCAATTTAACCAATTTAACCTGTGAGGTAGCTTGAGCTGGGAAGCAGTGATTGGCCCAAAGTCACCTTTGAGTGGGGATATGAATCTTGGTCTTCCATGTCCTAGCCCAGTACTACTATACCACACTGGTTCCTACCGCTCTCCTCACTGCTCTTGTATCGCCAGTACTTCCTACCTGGCCTGGAATTGGTGAGGTCTGACTGGATTCTCTCTACTTAAATATTTTATTTAAAGGTAAAGGGACCCCTGACCGTTAGGTCCATTCGCGGACAACTCTGGGGTTGCGGCGCTCATCTCGCTTTACTGGCTGAGGGAGCCAGCGTACAGTTTCCAGGTCATGGGGCCAGCAAGACTAAGCCGCTTCTGGTGAACCAGAGCAGTGCATGGAAACACAGTTTACCTTCCCGCCAGAGCGGTACCTATTTATCTACTTGCACTTCATGCTTTTGAACTGCTAGGTTGGCAGGAGCAGGGACCAAGCAACGGGAACTCACCCCGTCGTGGGGATTCGAACTTCCAACCTTCTGATCAGCAAGCCCTAGGCTCTATGGTTTAACCCACAGCGCCACCCACATCCCTTATATATTTTATTTATTAGTTGTTTATTTTTTAAAAAATTAACCTCACTCTTCAGCCAAAATAGATCCCAGAATAGCTTAAATAATATTAATAACAAACAAAGCCCCCAGGCTGCCACAACATAAAAGGAAAAAGGGGATGAGGAGGGAAGAGGGAAACTGTCAAACTCAGTTCTTAAAGTTACGTTGCTCTTATAGAAACTGTTCAGGGAGAGTAGGAGCCAAATGGAGTTGGCGTTTCAACAGCACTGATGAGGTGGACACTGTTTCCCATCTCTCCTGCTCCAGCTGGGTGGAATGGTTGCTGTTGCTTGGAAGAGATGGGTTCGCAAGTCTGTGCTGTGGTAACATGGTAAGCCAAACCACCAACCTGTTTCCCAACAGCAGGATCAGCAGCGTGCACCAGCATGTTGTTTGTACACCTTAAACTATCATTTATTTTAGCTATGGTTTAATGTGACGGGCAAACCAGGCAAATGGGTGTAATGTCGGGCAGAAAAAAATGGCATTTTCAAATACCGCAGTTTGAGTACTGAGAAAATGCAACATCTTCACAACTGAAGTGAAGCCTTGCGCTAAGATATGTGGCCTTTGTGAAATGAGAAACAAGTGCATATTTATGTTGTGTACTGCAGAGGAGAACGATTGTACAGAAGGGCTCTTAAGAGGGAAGAATCACCACGTGAAAGGAAACATTTATTGCTATGCATAGCATATGCAGTGGGCTTAGTCTTGAATCTGTTTTCTCGCGCTGCAGGACTGCAAAATAGATTTCTTTTCTCTGTGGCTACTAATTGGATTTAGATAAGCAGATTTAGAGATGACCATTAGAATTTGTAGGGGAAATGAATCAAACACTATCTTTGATCTTATTCCACTGAAGACAAGGGACTTTTTCCTGATACGTTTTAGCTCAATAGCAGTTTTAGACTTGCCCTGCTTAGAAGCCTTGCCTAGACTTTAGAATATGGGAAAAGCAAACTATTCCTTATGCCCTTCTGACATGGGCAAGATCAGCATGGTTTATTTTTCCCTATGGGCCTTTTTTCACCTGTGGTTGCTGATCAATAATTTAATCAAGGTTTCCTCCACCTTACTTCCATTTATGTACTAGGCACCTTACGGGGCAATCTGTTTCCAAGGTCTACATCAGTTTATCCCAGATGAGAATTTGGCTCCCTAACTATATACAGTAGCTGTGATCAGTGCAGAAATATGGATGGAAATACATGGCCACTTCAGGATGTGTTTAGTATGTGCCACACAGCAACTGTGATCGCATGATTTCATCGATGCATGCTTAATATCCAGTTTCACTGGTTGGACAAAAGTGGGTTTTCCTGGGGTATGCAGTATGGTAACATGATTTGGCTGGTTTTGTAACAGCATGCAACATATTTAAAATGCAGTACCATGGAGACTTCTGTGCACTGTCCTAGTTTAATCTTCATACCCTCATTATTATGAGGCATTTGGTTTATTATGTTTTGGTGCTGAACTAAGCACTTGTAAAATGAAGGACTCTGATAAAGACATATTTGATAGATGAAATACAACATTTTACATTCTTCAGAAAGAAAGAAAAAAGACTATCATAGGTTTCTTGAGAATTTCATGATGGGAAACAATAGGAGGTAAAAATCCACACCCACTCCAGTTGACACATAAGTATTAAGAGTACTAAGTATTAATACACAAGAGTATTAAGGGAGGTGGCATAAACTGCAAGTATAGATATGAATGGTTGTCTAAAATGGGGCATAAACACACCATTTGGCCCATTAGGTCATTCTCAGATACCAGTCTCTTGTCCTACTGGTTGAGTGCTTTGGCACTTAACCAGGAGTGCAGAAAGGATCCTTGGGAGAATAATATAACATATCATCAACAACAAAATAAGGTAGAAGGAAGATTGCACAACTGGCATTTGTTCTGTCCTGGTTCCCGTCAGCCATGTGGACAGAAAGGGGTCACACCACCATTTTAAATCTGCAAATCTGAAATGCAGTGATGTGAAACATTGAAACACTACACTGGTCCTGAAACAGAAGTCATCTGGAAATGCCTTTGGTAAGCAGCACTTTCAATAATGTCCTCATCAATTCTGAATTAGAGTGTATTGAAATATTTAATCTTTGTGAGGTGAAGCATCATTGACTTCCCATAGCACTCTCAGCTATCTTTCCAATCTGTCTTGAATTTGAAGAGACCACCCTGCCTGCCAGCTACAAGGGCAATTCAAAATCCAAATGTCAGTGTTGGCAAGCCTAAAATAGAAAGAAGCAATAGGAAGAACTCCTGGCTTTTACAGATATCAAACCCTTTCATGATATCTGTAAAAACAATTCCATGTCTTCACCACTAAATCCAAATGTGGTTAGTCTGTGGGGTGTGTGTGTGTTCTCCTTAGCTTTATGAAGACTTTTCTAGGTGGACAGTTTGGAAGACTTAATCTTGCATGTTAGTAAGTCTAGCAAAGGAGTTTTTTCATGACAAAGATAGATCTCAGCAGAATGTCCTCAAGTATTTCTCATAAATCACTGCAATAGAAAGCTCAATTATTCTCGGGGAAGAAAGGTATTTACACAGAAAAACAAAAAACAAAACAAACATGACAGTGTTTAGCTGTTCCACATTTGGGCTTTCAAAAACATTTTTTTTTGGTTGAGGACCTTCTTCATTAGCAGTGCCAGATTATTCTTTCGGATATGCGTTTTCCGGGTAATTGTCCACTTAACAATCTAGTGCCTTAATGACAGTACAGTGTGGAGAGCTCTTTACTTAGATTTATGCCTTTCCTGGACCTGGGTGTATGATGCACAGACAAGGATTCTGGGATGTGTAACTGGTTCTTCCACGTCAAGAGCCAACTGTAAAGAATGAGTGCCTCTACCTTTAGGGCTATTCCTGAACTGTTTTGCAGGAAAGTTGGAACTTCTCTTTTGAACGTTTGCAGGTGGCAGTGGAGTTATCCTTTTCTAGGGACGGAAGACTAATTGGTTTGGTACACCTATTAATGTGAGCCCACCTAATTTGGACCTCTTGAAACAATGAATGAATTGAAACACAGCTATCCCCTCCCCCCCCGAACATGAGCTTCTTTGATTTTTACAATGTAGTTCTCCAACTAAGTGCATATACTAAGGGAGAGTGTGTGTGTGAAAATCATGTCTATGTGAAAACATTTAAAAATGCATTATATTAGGGAATATTGAAAACAAAAATATGTATGTTAGGATAAATGCACACAAAAATGCTGATTAAGTTTTAAGAGGACTTAAAAAATAAATCACAAACTGATGCAGAAATGTGAACTGCACTTAAAGTTGGAAAAATGAAAAAACTGGGAGAAACTGATATGGACAGATTCATCCATCCCTAGCTTCTTCACAATTGATTTGTCTGTCAAATAACCTCTGTGTATCTGCAATGGAATTCTTGCATGCTGCAGAGAATGCAGTTAATAATGGAAGCCATGCTTGTGGGAGGGGGTAAGATGAAGCAGACGATGTGCAGACAGGAAGAAACTAATGCAGAAGAGTGATGTGGAAGAATGATTAGGTGGTAGAATTTGTCTCAGACTGCAGGTGGGGTTTTTTTTTTACAATTTTTAAATCTTCTATCTGTCTCAAAAAAACCACCCCTATTTAAAAACAGAAAACTAGCATACGGGAAGAAACAGCCCATTTCATGTCCTCTTCCCCCACATCCTCGCTGCATTGGAGTGGAGGGTCTGAAGTGGTGAGCTTACTGGGAAGGATCTTAGCTCAATGGTAGATCTCAAGTTCAAACCCCGGCTTCTCCAGGTAGGACTGGCAATGCCCACTATCTGAAACCCTGAAAATTTCAATACAATTGTATTTATGTGAGGAGAGAGTGTCTCTCCCCCTGCCCCCAAAGGGCAAGTATGGCTGATCAGTGACTGTAAAGTGCCTTTGCAGGAGCTGACAGTCCACTGAGCTTCACCGGATATAGTAGTGATACCAGGCGACTGACAGTTGGGTAGCCACGCCTCCTAGTCACAATTGCCCAGGGTGGTTGGGGGGAAGTTAGGCTCTGGCCTCTATTTTTTTTATTTCCCCTTTTTCTGCATTCTAGGTTTTAGTCTTCTTTCTACCATTTCCTGAAGGCAATATTTTTCACAGAGGGCTGCATATAACTTCACTTTTGAGCTTTTGATTGCTAACAACAACAACAACAACAACAACACCAATAATAATAATAGTAAATTTTATTTATACCCTGCCCTCCCCAGCCAGAGCTGGGCTCAGGGTGGCTAACAACAGTAAAATTACAGTAAAAACATAATAGGGGGGAAAACTCCAATTTAAAATACAGGTTAAAATGCAATTTAAAATGCAGCCTCATCAAAACCATAAGGGGAGGGAAACATAAGGGTCAGACTGAGTCCAAACCAAAGGCCAGGTGGAACAGCCCTGTCTTGCAGGCCCTGCGGAAAGATGTCAAGCCCTGCAGGGCCCTAGTCTCTTGTGACAGAGCGTTCCATCAAGTCGGGGCCAGTACTGAAAAGGCCCTGGCCCTAGTTGTGACCAATCTAACCACCTTGCGACCTGGGACCTCCATGAGGCAAAAAAGAGAGATTTTATTAAATTAATATTGCTATTTGAATGAGAATACACACACACACACTACCCAGTCAACCCTTACAGGTTATGTTTTATCATATGACTGCATTCCCTGGGTGCATTTCATCTTAACCCCCCCAAAAAAGAGTGAATATTATGGAATGAAACATGCCTGCTCATAAAAATGATCTAGACAATTATGAAATTATGAAATCCTTCAGCCACCTGGTTTTATTGACCTGTTCCACACTCTGATTCACATTTCTTTTGTGACTTGAGCCAATGTGGCTGATATGTAAATTATAAACATGAAGCAGTTTGAGGAAAATTTATGAACTCCTATTTTGGTTGTGGAAATACAATTCCCCCTTCCTTTCCCCCCCTTCCCTTTTCTGCTAGCTTCAAGATTTGCAGGTTAAACAGAGCCTCATTAATTCTGCAGAGGGTGCCAGTAAGAACTGTGGAGATAATTTAGAGACCCAATATGTAGATAACAAATCTAGGAAATTGCAGCTACAGCAACAAGACTGCACTTTAATGCCTTTCCTTTCTGATGTACATAACTCCATTGTATTCTTACCAAGTAGATCCAAATGTCCCTTTAGAAAATCATATCAGCCGATAACTCTAATAATCTAGATATGCTTCTAATGGAAAGCCTGGTGGCAGGCTGTGCAAGCCAAGTGCACACTTAATGACAGGCGGGTCTCCTGGACCTTATCGGAGGAAAAGGCTCAGACGTTGTGAAACTTCACAACTGCATTAAACTGTTGTAGTTCATCTGAGAATGAATTATTCCAGAATGCAGCCATCCTAATTGGACAACAGCAGCTCTACTAGCATATGTTGACAAGGTGCACCACATGTTTAATGTACCCATGTTTGGGCACCAGACAGCTGCATCTGGTGACAAATAGATCCATAGTTAGACACCTCCAGTCAGCGGTGTATCTAGCTGCTTGGGCACCCGGGGGCAGTGTTTGCACCCTGCGCACATGCACCACACATGGGGCGAGGCGAGCCATTGGGGTGGGGTGCGCCATTCTAGAGCCCCGTTCGCAACCTGAGCAGAATGCAACCTGCGTCTGTGCGTGCGCAGGTCGCGATTTGCCGCTTCTGCGCATGCGCGTGACATCATTTTGAGCGTCTGCGCATGCTCGAGCGGCGAAACCTGGAAGTAACCCTTTCCTGTACTTCCGGGTCACCACGGGACGCAACCTGAAAACGCTCAACCTGAAGCAAACGCAACATGAGGTATGACTGTACTTTTTTGAGCGGCGCGGAGCCTGCAGAGAGTCTGTCCGCCGTCTTCCCCTCAGTACTCCAAGCCTGATGTTTATTGTCACCCCCCAGTTTTGATGCTGCTTCCTGTATGCAAGTGTTTCTCATAGCATAATGTTTGGACTGACTATGAAATGCAGCAAAGCTGGAAGGACCAACAAATCTATTTTAATTTATCGTCTCTTTCAGTTCTCTCCCTTATTACTTCAGATGGGCTGCTCTTAAATTCCAAGATGCAGGCTCCCAAGACCTTAAATTAAAGCCTGGCTGTCTCAGAGCAAGTATATCTAGCAATCAGGCAGATCTCCACATCAGTGTGAAAGCTCTGGCCATTTAAAGCAACAATACCCCCCCTTCTTTCCTTTGCTCTTTTGACTCTATCTTGTTGGTGAGGGTATGCATTTATTTCTTCCTTTCCAACACATGGACTACAAAGTTTTTCGCTGTGAATGTTCATGAGTTAACAAACATGGTCATGTAATTCAGCAAGAATCTTATCCTTCCCCCAAAATGAAGAACTGGTAATAAAACCAGGACAACTATTAATATATAAATAAATGATGATTGCAGTCCCTCAATCTCCAAGAAGTTGGCTGAAAAACAGATTTACAAGGCTGAGTGGCATTTACTTTCCTATCTGTCAATATTTGAAAGGACTTGTTACAGTGCAGTGCCAAGTTTAAAATGAATTAAGTGGTTAATGGAAATATTAAAATAGAATTAATCTGACTAACTAAATAAACTCAGTAGTCTGTGTTCTGTATGCTTTGAGGTGGCTTAATGCACTTGCTGAAACAAAGCCATGGCATAAAACTGTCTTGCGCTTTCTGTTTTGGTGCAGTTGGTTATTAATTTGATGTTCTGTTGCCAAGAACTGTTGGAGCATACTTATGGATCAGCTCACAACTAATACGGAGCACAAACGTGCCCTGGCCACAGGTGTCATGCACTCATGTCAATGTGCTTTTGAGAACACAGACCTGACAGGCAGGCTTTCTGGCTGGCGAGCAAGCATTCTGGAGGTACTATTCTGGAAGTAGGATGGCTAGGCGAAAAAAGGCGATAGGACACCTGTACCTTTAACTGTTGTGCTGAACAAGGAAAAGGTGCTCCTACACCTTCAATAGTTATGCGGAAGGTGGCGTTTCTGCTGGAGTAGATTGCATGACCTGCTAAATTTCCCACTTTTACAATACTTTGAAGGATGCAGCAGCCCTGTCCCCTTTTTAAAAAAATCTGGCTGCCTCCTCTCCTTGTGATAGTCACATTTTAGACATTCACTACAACATACATGTTAAGTTGTGGGTGAACATATCAAACGACACAGCGATTCTTCAGACAGCTCTTGTTTATTCACAGGCCAGAACAGAACTGGGCTGAAGGGTTCAGCCAACCTGCTTATATAGAGCTCAACTACAAAGCAACAGTAACAACTCTCTGTAACTATCCAATCACTGAATGTCACTTTCAATTCCTTATTTGCATATGCGGACCTGAGTGAAAACTATCTACAGTATCCCCCTGCTGGCTCAGGGTGAGAACTTCAGTACATAACAATACATGTGAAAGGGAAGGAAGAAATCTCTGTTAATGTGTATGGTGCTCTATTTGTATGGTGCTCATCCTATGCAAGAAATCTGGTGGAAGAGAAAGTGCAGCTCACTTTTCAGGCTTCACAGTAAAGTTTTTCTGTGCTGCTGTGCCAGGCTGATGCCAGCTTTGTGCATCAGCCTGGCACAACACCACCTCGCACCACCCCGGTGATCCTCCCCAGAAAATAAGGATAGCAGTGACTGCTGCTGCCACAGCATTCTCTGCAGAGCGCTGTCCTTGGTGCCATCTTCTCCCTGCATCCCATGTAAGCTTCTTAAGTTAAGCAGGGACAAATGGCAGCACTCAGCTCAGCAGAGGAGTGGAGAATGACATGGCTGCAGCAGCTGCCATGTTTATTATCCCAGCATGCCACTGGGACACAACTCATACTCTACTGGGGCCTAGAAGCTTTCTGGAGTAATAGGGATGATGGTTGCTGCTGCAGGTCATATGTACCCGAGAACATTACCGCATGGAAAAAAGTTAGGTGCCACATCTTTGTGCTTGGACAATAGATCTCAGGACAAAAAGAAAAGGGTCAAAAGACTACAACAATGTACAAAAAGGTCAGTGTATGCATGTGTGTGTCTGTTACTGATTTGCTGTACTTTTTCTTGTTGCTGAATAAACTGGTAGCTTGTATTTTTGTTCCAAAAAGAAAGAAAGAAAGGGAATAATAGCTAAGCAGTTGATAGACTTCAGCAGTTTCTCTTCCAGCTTCCTTATGGACAATGGCAGTGCTTCAGTTTTAATTTTTAAATTAAAAAAGGTAAATGTTTTGAGAGTAGCTGAATAGAGTCCCTTTGTTATTTGGTAAGAATGAGAAGAAATTTGGAATGCTTTGAAGGAGCTGCGAGTTGGACAAAGAGAGATGGCCAGGAACTACATCCAACACAAAACCCAAAAGCAAACCTAAAGCAAATCACATAAGCCACTGATCACGTTGCCAACAACAGATCACAACACATCTCAGAGGAACACATAACAGAAGCAAGGCAGGAAGATCTGCCAAATGCCTGACCGTTTCCCCCCGCCAGCCACCACAAAACATTTGCCTGGGCCCACAGACTTTAAAGGGCCTTTATTTCTTATACTGTCTTAACATCCAGGAGCCAGGTAGCCAATTTATGCACAGCCCATTCAGTCATTTCTGAAACAAGTGGTGCATGGCGTTTGATGCACAATTAACAAATGCTGTTTTAAGTTTCACCACAAAGTATTGGAAATTAACAACAAGGCAACCATAATTGTGTTTGTGAGATTGGGCTTTTGCTTCTTCTTTTACTTAAGTTCCCATTTCATAACCAAAACAACTAATGTGTTAGGAAACAGCTGGGAACTGTTAGGCAGAAAACCACCCCTACTATACTCACAATGTCAGGTAGTATCTGCTGCTATCATTATCCCAATCTTGTTGTACTAACAATAAGATCATAAGTAATTAGACCACTATTTACCTGAGTGCCCCCCCTCCCGCCTGCTGGGACACAACAATTGGAAGAAGCCCCACTAATAGTTAGGCCCACCTGCACTATATATTTAAAGCAGTATCATACAGAGCTACAGTTCCAGAGTGGTTTAGCAGTCAATCCCTCTTCCCAGGGAACTCGGAGCTGTCATTCTGTGAGGGGAATAGGGGTCCCTGTGCAATTCTCAGTACCCTTAACAAACTACCACTTTAACGGCTCTTTGGGAGAAGCCAAAGTGGCACGATCCTGTTTTAAATGTATAGTGCAGATGTCTAGTCACAGTCACAGACTGTGGGCTCCTTTGGGCTTTTGATACCATCCATGAGATATGCCAAAGCCCTGCTTAGCTTGTGTAGCACCACCTCTGTGTCACGCTAGGGAGCCCAAGGAACAGTTTGCAAGCCCTACAGATCCTCTGCATGGCCTCCTCTTCCCAGGGTGCTCTTCCAGCGCTGCCATGCATTTTCTGGTTAAGGAAGGCCCTCTGGTGGCAAAATCCAAGGGAATGTTAAGCATTTAAAAATGGGGCCTTAAATCCGCTGGCTAATGTCAATCCTGCTCAAGGCATACTTGGTTGCAAACTATACACCTCTGCAGTCTGACCTGGTTCCCCCTGAAGCTATTGAGAAGCTGCTGACTTCTCTGGAAGCAGAGCGAGAATGCACAACATGGTATTTTATGAGTTTCAGCAACTGGTATGAGAGAGAGTGTATTTCAGGGCAATTAGCTTGATGTGCCTCAGGTGGTGTTTTGAACCATTGAATCCAAAGCCCAAACAGAACAATTTTAATCACTTGAACATGAGCAATAATCCCCTAGACAGTCACTGCCTGGACTTGTTGGGTAGTTTAGTCATAGTGCCCTAAAGAGACAGACGGTGCACCTGGGCGTATAAAATAGTTCCATTCTCTCGCCTCTCCCTCTCATCTGCTCTGAGCTAGCAGGTCTTCAGATAGATGAACAATTTGGACGGTCAAAATACCTTAACCCAAGGGCAGCCAGTGTTGCACCCTTTAGATGTTGTGGACTACAACTCCCATAATTTCAGACCGTTCCTAGGGTGGATAGCTGTAGTCCATAACATCTGGAAGGCAGCTCAGCCTTAACCTATGCCACTCTTTACTATCTTGACTTTCCCTTTTTATAGCTTATTTTTGGCTGTATTTTATTGTCAATGTATTTTTCTAACCATGTGAATTGAAAAGCTTTTGATGAAAAACAAAAACTGGGTTTGCGATCTGAAAGCGGAGGATTTCACTTCTACTTTGTTGTCATGGCTGGGTCGCTTCCTGCTGAAGCTGAGGCTTACAGTGACTGTTCCCCTTTGCAAGGGTGAAGGACCCATTCAGATAGTCTACTCTCAGAAGCTAATGGATTCTAGTGGATTATGGGACCCTAGGGCAGAGGTGAGGAAACTTTCTCAGCCTGGGGGCTGCCATTCCAAGGGCCCTATGTCCGTGGCGGTCAGAGCCAAAGGCAAAAGTGGGATGAGCAATGAATATAAATGTTACCTTTGTATAGTAGGTTACTTTCTACACACACACTCGGACAAGCAAGAGGCGTTGGGCTCATCCACACTCACTTTTTGCCCTGCTATTTCCAGGCAGAAGTCCTTGCTTTAATGTTCCAGATGTGAGCATTTCTTTGTTTCTTTCTTTTCACTTCCAATAGGACGACATTTGTTTAAGACGTTGGCAGAACAAACCAGATGTCCAAATTCATAATTAGACTGTGTGGTCATGAAATAGGTGCTTGGAATTATAAGACTTTTTAAAAAGCAACAAATTAAAGTAATTTTATATCCACCCCTAAATCAGAATTGGCATCCCAATGTTCTGTTGAAGACCCAGATTTTCTTTTACACCCTGGATTATGCTATTTACCAGTGGGCACTGCCTTGTGTATTCAATTCCAGGTAGGGATGGGTGAATGTGCCAATTCCAGTTTCTCTCATTTTCTCATTTTTCCAATCTTAAATGCCTTTCTTCACATTTCCACATCAGTTTGTGGATTTTAAAAAAAAAAATAAGTCCTCACGAAAATTCTTCAGTATTTCTCCTAATACACACATTTTAAATGCAATTTTGCCTAATATACACATGCTTGCAAAACAATGCCCTCTAATATAATGCATTTTTGTTTGTTGTTTTCACCAATATATCAATTTTGGCGTACATTCCTTGGCTAAATAACTGCATGGCAAAATTCAGAGTGATGCACATTTCACAGGGTGGGTCCCTCTTGGTTTTGCCAGGTACAAATTAGGTAGGTTTGCCTCGAAATGCAAACTGGACTGGATTTCTCCTCCATCCTTAATTCTAGTACTGTTCAAGAGCCCTGCAGCCCACCTCTTTCCACAGTGTGCATACCAGCTGGAAAGAGGAAAGAGTTTTCTTAGTTGTTTCCATTAAATCCAGTCCATTAACTAAGATGGTTAAGACACAGCAAAGAACCTTTCTTGGAAGCAGAGCATAGAGGGATAAAAGAGCGGAGGGCAGGAAGGAAACATTATGGAGGTTAAAGGTTTGTGCATCTCTCTTTTGAGGAGGAAGCGTCCAAAGCCACAGCCCTCCAGCAATCTATCTTTTAAGCATTTTACTGGAATGGTGCCAGATAGGGTTTTTTTTTAAAAAAAAATAATTAGATCATGATGCTGTACTTTGGGATGTTGGAATGCATTCTGGCCCCTAAATTGCTTAGGCTCTTTATAATCTATGGTAAAATCCTTATAATCTGTGATCAACAAAGATGCAGTTGTAGTCAACCAAGATGCATCTTTGATCAATGAATAGATTTCCTTGTGCCTACAGCATATTGTCAAATCACAGGTGGGGGTTGCTAATACTTGGCCTTGATTGCCATGGTGATAGTCTTGAAGGATGTTCCCATACCTTTAGCTGCATACATCTCAAATGAATGGTTGCCAGTTGTGTAGCACTGTGGGAAGAAACATCACACCTGAATAGGAGCCCTCTTGTGGCAACCTTTGCTAACCCTGTGCCCTCCAGGAGCTTTAGACTATAACTCTCATCAACCCCAGATGAAGAAAATTATTATGTCATCAGTTTTCATGGACTGTAGTCTACTTCATCAGATGTTTATCCTGAGTTACAGGATTTTTAGGAGCATTGGGACCACTTGATCTAACCACCCAGCTGCTCAGCAGACAATTCATTTAAAAAGGCAATGTAGCTTTTAGGGAATATGACACTCAATAGCATCATCTAAGCCTTTATGTAAGTTCTAGAGACTTCTTTTAAAATAACTGAACAAAGCTTTTGAAATTTAGTTTTCTCACTGCAGATTTAAAACTTTACAGGGATCCACAGAGCAAGGGATGCTCATAGGTTTATAGGGGGGCAGATGAAATTCTCCCATGGGCTGCATCTTGGCCTTGGACATTCCTGCTTTATGTTGGAAATTCCTGCTTTAAGAAACTGCATCAGTACAGCATCTCATAGAATCAGACTATAAAACACACACACACAGTGGAGAAAATAGAAACACAAAGAGCCCATAATGATGAATGAAGCTTTTAAGTAGGAATGACAGGGCCAAGCACACACCCAACAAACTTAACAGCCTTGAAAAGAAAGTTGATGCAAAATATTGGTGGTATATTTAGGAACATAGGAAGCTGCCCTGTACCAAGTCAGTCTATTAATCCATCTAACCAGCAACACTTCTCAAGGATTTCAGAAGGGAGTCCCCCTTCCACCTTACCTGGAGATTGTAGGGATTGAACCTGGAACCGCATAGCTAAGGCTTTCCCCTTATTTCTCTGTTGTCTGTGAAAGAACAATTTCAACATCAACCTCCTGAATATCAAGAGGTTCGGTGCTATCATTTGTAGATGGAACTGAGACAAAGGACTTTTAGCACCCTATATGTGTTGGCTTACCATTGACAGTATTATCCATAAGGGTCTTGTTAATTAGGTACTTGCCACTTGTCTGTATGTTTCTGCATTTCATTTCTCTCTCACCTCACTGTTTGCAGCTATATGCTTCAGGGTTCGCAGTCATCACAGTTATCTAGGAATGGTTTCCTGGAATTGAAATACATGCCTTTGTAAGTACAGTCAACTTGAATACTGAACTACAGCCAGGTTTTCCCGGATAGGAATTGGATCCAAGATCTTAGTTACACTTACAAGTGTGCTTGAACATTTTCAGTTACTCCACAAAGAGTCAAAGAGTGCTTTGTTGTAAATGCAACCAAATGTGTCTTTTAAGTAGGTTTTTTCACACACACACACCTCCCCGTTGTCCTGGCTCCTACCCTCAGACACAATACTTGAACCTTTCTGTTGATGCTGAATGTTGCTATGCTTTACATTTTGCATAATGGTTTCAGTAGTCTGCAAGGCACCATGTTCTGTTGAACTCCTCTTCTTATGGCTAAAAAGCTTAAGTTGTCCCGTTGTCTAGTTTCCCTCTTTTTTTCTTCAAAAGAACGATGCTTATAAACATTGCTGGGTCTGCAGGTGAATGTTTGCTGGCTCAAGGTCACAGACAGGAGTATGGGGGCAAAAGCAATAGAGATCTGATTGCACAACTGACTTGGCTCTGTATGACTTTGATTTTTAGTCTCTGCTTGCAGCTGCAATAAAAAAATGGTTAGAAAAGTTTGGCATTTTATCACAGCCTTAGTTGAATTCTTTCTGGGTTTTCCCCTTTCGCCTAGAGCATCATATACCCTTAGCAGAATGAGTTTTGGAAAGCATCAATTGCAGTAAAAGTCTCCCCTCCCCCCAATGCTGCAGTTACCAGCAGTTTACAAGGAAATAATATAGGTGTAATTGTAAGGTGAGAATAGGATTTCGAATACTAATTTTCAAAGGGTTAGGCTGGTTTAGGATTATAGACATTTGACAATGCAGTCTTCATAGGGGGAGGTGGAATTTGATTCAGTTTGCATTTAAAAGTGTACCTAATTAATACTTTCTGAAACAATAAGCGAACCAAAACACAGCCATTCTTTGAAATTCACACTTCTCAATGCAGTTCTCTAGCCAATTTCTGTGTACAAAAATGGATATACTTGTGATCATAAAAATGCACATTAGTGAAAATAAATTCTATGCAAATGCTGGTGGATTTTCATTTGGACATTTTCATTTTCAAAAAAACATATATCCAAATGAATGTGGAAATGTGGAGAACTGGGCTTAAGATTGCAAAAATGAGAAACGGCGAGAAACTTAACGAATCACTGTGTTCAATAGGAATCAGTGGGCTTGGGCTTGCATCTTAAATGAGGCAACACAAATGCTGGCTTTTGGCCTTTGCAGTTGTGCTCTGTGTGGAGTCAGGAGGACACAATTGACTGAGCATGTTTGCACATTCATTCAGGTGGATAGCTTTTGTAAAATGGTCGTGTTCACGACATTACTCAGTTTCCTCTGTGTAAACATCCTCATGAAAAAGTATCTGCCTGAGTTTAGCTGCAGGAAAAAGTTTGTTACATTCAGTGTGCTTGTGTACCTTCTGCTGTTGAACAAGGAAAATGATGTCACCTTGCATGTTTCTCTATTTGTGTTGGGTGGCAGCAAACCGAGAGCCATATCTGTGGCTCAGCTCTGAATGTATTTCCCCCTCTTAGTTATGTTATGGCTTATAACTAAAGAAATAAAACTGTTACTGCCATTTAACACACTGTAGCCAGCCCCCTTTGCCTTCCCACACATTGCCTGGTTCAGAAGCAACACTGCTGCTTGGTAGCTAAGAGTTGTGAGGCGACACCACCCATAGCTATAGCATGAGATGGGAATATCATACATCCTTATTTTCAAGATGAACCTGACTAGCCAATAGAAGGGCTTTGTCAAGAATGTTGAAAACCCTTGTCCTGGGTGATAATCTCTTTCATCTTCTTGAGAAGTCCCACTGGCAAGGTTGCAGTCACAGCGGTAGAGCAAATTACTAGGGAAATGGTATTTTAATAACCTTTCCTTGATAGCTGATATTTCATTCCTTCTTTGACCTGCCCTTCTGAATTTTGTATATATATAGAGAGAGAGAACATGCAAAAAAACCACCCCAGCACAATCCCACACCCCAATGCAGCACTAAAAATTGTGTATTATTAAACTACTTTTAATAAAAGAGAATACAGTAAGCTGTGAAATTGAAGCCTGGAATCTCCTGGGGATTTCAGACTGAGTGCAATACTAACACCCAATATTTCCTGTTTTTTATCACAAGACAGTAAAGAAGAGAGGAGAGTAATCTTTTCCCCCTCCTATTATTAACTAGGCAACTTCAAAGTTTGCATTGGCATTTTTAAGAGCACTGGTAAAACAGGGTCAGATGTGAAGAACAAAGTTCTACAAAGGCACTTTTAAAAAAAGTAAGCAGAATTTTTTTAAAAAGTAGAATTCTTTGCTACTTTCCTCTTGAGGCAATGGTTCTCAAATTCCCCCTCCCCTCCAGATCTCTTGTTGGGGTTTTGGGTGGATCTTTTGTTCTCATTTAACATACCTTCACTGTCAAAACCAGCGTTCTATTCAAATCATGAGCCATAGCTAGGCCACTGAAAAGCTCATTTTTATTGTTTGAAGGAAAAACTAGTTGATTGCACCAACTCTGAACTAATAAAATCATGAGTCTTAGGCCAGGGCTTTGATAGCTGTTATGTACTAAGCTTGGATCCAAGAACAATAGGCAAGCAGGGTCCTAGAATGCAACAACTGATTGGCTTTCAGGAAAAGACCAATCAGGCTCCAGGAGGAAGTTAATCAGCCTATTAGGCTGGTAGGATGGTAGAATGCAACAACTGATTGGCCTGCAGAAAAAGACCAATCAGGTTCCAGGAGGGAAGCAGAATCAGCCAATCAGGCAGGACTCATTGTGTAAATAATGTATACAAAAGCCTGAGGTTTTGGGGGGGCAATTCAATCACTGTTTTACAAGCTGCAATAAAGAGCATGAAATCACTACAGGACTCCGAGTATATTTCAATAGCCTGTTTGATAAATCCAGCCCTTGTTAAAATGGCCTTGGTCTCTGTTATCAGAAACATAAATCAAGCTCAGCATCATGTACAAATATTTTTGGCTGTTCCACAGACTTTCCATGGCCCATCTGAATGGAGCTCACAGACCACGGTCTGAGAACCTCTGCTTATGGAAAGCATGCAATTACTATGTAGATACTGTACCTGTATGCTTTGGGGAGCAAATAGCAACTTCAGGGAGGGAGAGATTTGAGTCAGAGAACCAACATGGTGTTGCAGTCCCATTCCAAGTTTTGTGTCCTGCAGCTGCATTTATTCTTCAGAGGAAGCATGAGAGAGAGAGATCTAGTTACGGACCTTCTGCCGTCTTGTCTCAACTGGTACCAGGGTCAAGAAAGTTCATAATGGGGATCTCCTGCCATATTAAGTCAGTGTTGGCCAAACTTGGGTCTCCAGCTCTTTTTGGACTACAACTCCCATCATCCCTAGCTAACAGGACCAGTGGTCAGGGATGATGGGAACTGTAGTCCCAAAACAGCCGGAGACCCAAGTTTGGCCAACACTGTATTAAGTTATGCCAACCTTCTTACTTGTGCCATGATCTAAAGTAATAAACCATAGGAAAAGTTTGAATTAACACAAACCTATCTCTCCCGCATCGGTCTCTACAGCCACAGCAGGTACTGCAGGCTTCCAATGGTTTGACCTCACCTCCATTGCCTCCTGAGACAGAGAGATGCCAACAATTCACAGTCTTGGCTCCAAATGAAGAGTTAGCATCCATAATAAGCAAAAAGTGTGGCCACAGGGGACCATCGTTCATACTAGTCCCATGCCAGCTGCAGCGGGCCTCAAAAGAGTTTAATCTGTTTGAGGTATCCTATTGGGTTTCTTCTGTGCTGTGCCCTCTTGCCTTCATAATTGCTCAAGGGCATGGATCATTGTGGTAGGGCTCTGACTGAAAACCATATTTTTAATTGTTCTTGTAGTCCGGTATTTTGTAGTGCCATCTGGCATGTCTGCTTTCCTGCAGTGTAGGTCACTACAGGTCACTGTGACCTTCTCACCTGATCTAGTGCAGTGCCCAGAGCACCAGCAGCTCTCCTTAAAATAGCTGCTGCCTCCGCAATAAAAGGCCAGGCAAGCCAGCGCTGTACACATGGGCATATTTTATAGGCAGTTTAGTGTTGGGCATTTTATAGCTCTTTTACACACCCCTTCTGGAAAGGGGTCATTTCTGGCACTGTATATATATATATATATATATATATATATATATATATGGACTGCAACTCTTACTTTTGACTCTCTAAGCTCTGGAGACACCAGGGACTCCTAAAACGCTTTTCTTCTTGGCATTCATGCATTTGATTTCAGAAGTTTTTAAAAAATTAAGTTGCATTTGTCATTTGTGACTTTGTAGCTCTCGAAAGTTACATCAGTGGCACCGGCTTGCTTCTAAAAGTCTAGCAGTATCGTGCTATCAGACTGCCAACTTCAGAATAACACTTCCTAACCAACTGGGCCCTAGTCAACCAGACCTTATGCCCCAATAAATCTGTTAGCCTTTAAGATGCCAAAAGATTATATTTTTTTTCTGTGCTAGAAGAATGATTTATTCTCTTAATACTGATACACAGTGACAGAAGGAACTGGCAGCCCGGCAAGATGATAGCACATGTTGGCTGCCGTCTATGAAATGCTTCTTCCGTGACAGCCCCAGTCATTGGTAAGAAATGTGTCCTATCAGCCTTCCTTCGTCAGGTGCCCGCCAGATGTTCTGGGCTAAAACTCCCACCAGCCCCAGCCAGCATAACACTTTACTATTAGCCTCATACATTTATTGACTCCATAAAATGCACACGAAAAGGACAGAAATTTGTTAAGGATGTGCAAAAGTGATCAGCAGCACTACCTCTAAAATTATTTCTTGACGAAACTTAATTTGGAGTCCAGGTTTCTTTGCCGCTCCTGGGGTGGTAGCTAAGTTATACTCAGAGTAGACCTATTGAAATTAGTGAAACTAACTTAGTCATATTCATTAAATTCAGTAGGAGGAAAAATTTGTTGGATAGCACACCCCTGGTGTTAAATTAGCATAGCATATCTAGAAAGCAAGTATTATCACACTGTGTGATATTGCAAATAGGTCATTCTGTCCTTATGGTGCATAATGTACCTTTAGGCTTTGCATCAAAATGCTACTGACCTGTTGCTACACATTACATTTTATGGCCCCCACTGTTTCCAGTTTTTCTTCACTGTGTTTGTGTGTGTGTGTGTGTGTGTGTGTGTGTGTACACCAACTGAAGACCACAGCTAATGCACTTGATGAACGGGTCTAGTCTATGGATGCTTCTGCCACAAGAAATTTGATCATCACAAATGCACACCCTGTCTCTCTGTTGCACAGAATTAAAAACAGTAGCACCACTGGAGCAAATCACAATATAATGCAAATCATATCTGTTCTGTAGTCAATCATGCTGTTTACTAATCTTCAACAAGTCATATTGTATTACTTCATGAATCTCCTCCAAAGGAAATTCTTTGGCTCTATCAGAATAGGCTCCTCCATCCAGCAACAAACAGCAGCTATTGTTTTGTTGAGCTCTTTGCAGAAAGTTCCAATCGTCTGTCCAAGTTGTCCATTGATCAGCCAAATTGTCTCTCTTTTCAAAGGAGTTGGCATTCTGCCTAGCTAGCTATTTGTTTTCCTTTTCCATCTTTTGTGTCTTTTCCTTTTCTTCTCCAGTAGTGTCTTCTTCTTCTCTGCTCCCCTTATCTCCCAATGCTCATTTGCTTTAAAATTCCCCAAAGGTCTTTCTCTCTGTGTCTCATGGAATGGCAGGACAACAGGGAGGAGGGAGAGGATTCCAATGAGGGATGTGGCCGGGATTGGGACACACTGGGGCCAGCTGGGCATGGCGAAGGAGAGGTTGGTGTAGGAAGTACTCATGGGGTGACAGAGGATGATGAGGGGATGGGGATCAGTGCACAGGAACCAGAGCAGCAGGACACATCACCAGAGCCAGAGGGGCTCCTGTCTCCATGAACATGGTGGACTCTGATGTGTAGGAAGCAGCAGAGTGGCACTGTAGGAGGTTGAGGCAGGCAAGAGCCCACAGCCCAGCTCCCTAGCTGGCCAGGTGGGGCTTACTAGCTCTTCAGCTGGAGTAAACTCAGAACAGGTGAAGGTCACATGCCTCATCAAGCCCAGGGCAGCAGAGCTGAGGTGCTATGTCTTCTCAACTGCCCATGTTGAAGGATCTCAGTTTGGATGTGCCAGGATTTCTGTAGGATTTTGGACATGTGGATTGACCCTGGACTGGGGATTTGACATACTGACTTACTGCCAGGTAGGCCAGCGGTTCAGGACACTCTGCTTCTAACTTGCTCTCTCATTGGTCTAGTTTAGGCATGGGGTACCTGTGGCCCTACAGATGCTGCTGTACTGTAGCTCCCATCATCCCTGGTCATTAGTCATGCTGGTTTAGGAGTTATAAGACATCAGTGCCCTGACCAGGGCATTGCACCTCCCTTAAACATTCCTACCAAGGCAAGCCCTACCATTAGGCAGAGTAAGGCAGCTGTCTCAGACATCAGATGCTGAAGAACAGAGTAGATAAAGCTATGCGTGCCGTGTGGCTTGCTTTGTGTCCCCTAAGCCAGCCTACTGCCTTGCTGCCAGTGTCAAAGTAAGATTAAGCTTCAAGTCTGTATAGCTTTTGTACATGCAAGGTGCTATCTTGTCCTTTATCTCAGGCAGCAAAATGTATTTGGCCAGCCCTGATTTCTGGTAGTGCTTCAGTATTAACTGTAAGTCGGACACATTCCTCCAAATGGAAGTTAAGTTGATGAATATTTCTTAAGGGGAGGATAGGAATGGAACAGATGTGCTCCTTGAACATCTAAAAAAAATGTACCTTTCTGGTGGACAAATCCAGATATTGTGAAATATTCTGGTTCAAGATGGAACATCAAAATGGGCGGGAATGGTTAAGCTAAAGAAATGGCCCTCTCTGAACTGAAGTGGCTGGTGGTTCTGTCAGCTGGGAAGCCTCTCACTTGAGGGCCTCCAGGATTGAGTTTACTGTTTCTTAGGCTCTGTTTTATGCTTCTAAAATGGAGATAGTTTACTTATTTCCTGATCCTCTGTATCTTGTCTATCCTATCATTATAATATTATGAACAAGAGCAGCCTCTCATGGACCATATATAGTGAGAGCGGCCAGGGTCATTTCTGAAGGGTCATGGGAAAGCAGCTCTAAGGTGGGCAGAAGTGACTGGGATGTTCCATTGGCATTAGCCCTACTCTGGCTTTGTTGTTGCAGGCAGCTGAGAAGTGGAGAATGGTGCTGTTTCAATTTTTAAAAAATATTCCATTCTAGAAAAAAAGAGAGTAGCCAGTCTAGCAGCTCCCATGGGATGCTGAACTGCCGATCCAGCTCTCATAACAGTGGAGTGAGATGTATTCCTTATTTGGCAGGTTGGATTCATTTTCGTGCCATGTTTTCCTGAAGTTATACTGTATGCTAGGGTCAATTATTCCTAATGAAAGGTCCAGAAACTTAAGAGGAGGGAGGAGTCTGTGGAGTTCAGATCATCAGAAAGGCAAAGCATGAGCTGGCTTTCAAGTGCTTTCGGCAACCTCCGTTGCTCATAATCATAAATCAGAACCAAGAAGGAAAACCCCATGGATTTAATGATTAATAAAAGTTGTTAAAAAACCAAAAATTATAAAACCTCATTATGGCTTCTTATACAGTAAATCATTTTGCTATCCACACTTGTGTGTGCATGTGTATGCTATGCAAAGGTTTAAAAAAACCCTTTAAAAATGGAAGACATGGGTATTCTGATACAATGTTCAGCATGAAGAGTCTGGGAATGCTCAGTGGCTTTACATGACTGCTGCTGTCATATGGGCAAAAGGGCCATAGGGGGTCACAGGGAGCAGGGGTGATGTGGCCAGGAAGGATCTGAAGAACACCTAGTTCCAACTTCCATCCAGGTGGGCAGTGCCTGTTCTTGATGAGCTCCAGTGCAATGGGTGGTGCAGATTATTATGTTTTATTATGACTTTGTTTGGATCAGATTATTATAAGGTGTGTGTTCTTTGTTGTATATTTTGCTGCCGTAAACCACCTTATGTATAGTAATGCGGAATGGTGGTATACAAATTTAAAGTGTAATGAAATGAAATATAGTGGTACCTCGGGTTACAGACGCTTCAGGTTACAGGCTCTGCTAACCCAGAAATAATACCTCGGGTTAAGAACTTTGCTGGGACCTGGGACCTTTATCTTCTCTGAGGCCAGGGGCAGTCCTGGCCCCCAGGAGACCCGCCTCTCCTGGCCTTAAGGCGACCACTCCTCCTGGGAGAAACCAGTTCCCTCCACCTCTCTGCCCTGAGCCTCTGCAGTTCAGGAGAGGCTGGAGGGTTACTGGACCCAGGGGGAGACTCCCCTTCCCCTGACAGGGCTGGGGGAGGCGCACCTGTAGGCACTGTGTCCTCAACCACCTCCGGAGCCAGGGTGGATTCACCTGGTGCCTGCTCCTGAGGATCCGGCACAGGTGCAGGCGCTTCAGAATCAAGGCCCTGCCCCAGTTCAGCCGGCCCTGGAGGCGGGGACTCCTGTGCAGGCTGGGATTCCTCCGGTTCAGCCTCTGAATCAGATTCCCAGGCCATCACAGTGCCTTTCTGATGTCGTTAAGATGCCAGATGATTGACAGGTGGTCACCCCACCCATCTGTCAATGTGGCCCATGAAAGGTGGGGGAAGGTCAGTATCCGGTCCACCAGCCAGGAAAGATTCCCCATCCCTGACTTAAAGGCACAGCAATGTAGTAAAGGTAATATGTAGTCTGGCCCTGATCTCATTTAACAATGAAGATAAGATACATTAAATTCATGCTCCAAAGTGTCGCTTCTCTTGGAAAAAATTTCATGCATTTGTTATACGTTTCTGGAAAGACCTCCTGTGTTCCATCTCTAAATTGCAGGATATGGATTGCTGTTTTTTTAAAAAAAAATCTTTGGGATTGTCTGAAGGAATTATTTATGCAAAAGAATAGAAGCTTTATGGCATATCTTCTTGCAGCTGCAAAAATAATGTGGGCAAAAGACTGGAAATGATTTACTCACAGCACTAAATGCTTTCAAATTGCTCTTTCAAAAGCTGCAGTTCCAGGCACCGCTGTTTACTGGCGTTTCTCTGGGGTGGGGGACAGAGGACAAAGAAAAGAAGGAAGAGCAAACATTACATTTTTGACCACTTTCCTACCTTACCCTCATTGCTGCTATTAAAACGGAGTTTAAATCCAGATTCTTGGCCATTTTGAAGTTTTCCTTTAATAAATAATCATACTGTTTTCCTGTGGTTGAGCTATGGTTTCACACCAATCCTCATTATGCTGGTCCAAATAGTGATGTTTTCAAGCTTTTAGAAAAAAACCCAAAACATTATTATAATCTGAGGACACTTCCAACTTGTTGCAGTTTTCGGGTAGGATTAAATCACATACCAGCAAATTCAGGCTGCTCGCTTAATGCTGACTGATTATTTATTCACCTATTTATAATCTGCACTATCATTAAAATGTATCAAGGGTGGTATATGACATGTAGCAAAAAGCATGAGCTAAAGCACCCCCCCAGAACCCCCCTGGCATTTTGCAGTATAGAAAGTGATGGGAAAATGCACAGGAAAGTGTAGGAATAATGTGGATGCAATGGTGTATACACTCCCCACAAACAAATTTTGTGGTTGAATGCAACCTGATAGTGTGAGTTCAGGATTCAAAACAAGGTTTAAAGTTCAGATTCCTTGCCCTGGTCCTCCTCAAAAGTTCACAAAGTACAGAAGGACAAGGCAAAAGCAGCTCATACATTTCTCTTTGGTAAAAACTATGAAAAATGGATCTAGCCTGCTTATTTCCAGGAGCATGGTAAAGCGCATCTAAGAGATCACTCTAATTTCATAGCTGCATTTCCAAGGGCTATCATTCAAATTAAAAACCATTACTTTCCACCCACATATCACAGCATCAAATTCGCATTGAAAAACAGAACAACCAACCAGGACAAACACGAAACCTTAGGTGATGAATAACATATAGTCGTTTCTTCCTTCGTGCTCAGAAGAATATTAGATTCCTTACTGCTTAATTTTTTGCTCAGGGTTTGAAAAGTAAATAAAGTCACAGCGTTTCTACCAAGTTATCTCATTTTAGTTGCAAAGGTAAATGATGCCTGCATTCCTAGACAATACATTCCCCAAATTGCTTTTGAATGGCAGTGATGTCATCCCAACTTAATGTGTTTCTAATAAATAATGCATTAGGAAATTCTGATTTTCCAGAGGTACACAAACAAACTGTTTTTTGGTTGCTATCGGCAGCTTCGCCTTCACCCCTTTTGAGTGCCCTGCTCCATTTCTTTTGACTTGTTTTCGCAGCGCAGAATTGCTATGAAAGAAAATATTTGTTGTGAGATGCCAAGACATTGAGCTTAATTTAATCTGCAAGTCTGGAGGTATGTGGTTCTATAACTAGACACATGTCATGGTAACTTACTAAGAATGGAACGGAGAGGCATCTTTTAGTCACGGAACTCTGTGCATGAAAATCCCTTCACTCACCAAACCACAACATTAATGCAAATAACGTCTGTGTTTCCTCCTTGATGGGAAACTGGAATATGTTCGTGATGCTTAACCGGGCTGAGAAACCGCATACTTTACTAGTGAAATAATTCATAAGCTGCCTCTGTAGGAATGATTTGAGCACAGAGATTCTGTGCACCTCGCATGGGCACGACACAAAGAGCTTCATTTGCTGGCACTCGGTTTGGAAAGTGGATCAAAACAGAAAAGCACCTCAGCTTGTATGGTTTTAACATTTGCCATATACTTGGGGTTTTTGTCTGTGTTTTTTAAGCAATTTACACTAAGGCATCTTTTTATATTGGACATTCATGATGATTTGTGCTCATGATGTGGCAGTTATATGCAATCCCGCTTTCAATACTGTTTGTGCCTGCAAAAGTTTCATGGTCCGTAAACTGTCTTCTTTCTAAATGATGCACCTCCCATAGCTTCCTGATGAAACCCTGTAACTTTTCATACTACAAAGTTTTTGGTTCTGCCTTAATTGCATTGTAGCAAAGGAGTGCACCTCCAGATGGCAAGTAATGTGGCAACTTTAGGGTAGCACTGCAGAACAACTAACAAAGCTGGATGGTTTGTGGATGGTCTAGTGTAAGTCCAACACTAATGCATTATCACTGCATCATTGGCGTGTTACAGAATATAACAGCAAAAAAGAACCCCAGTCTGGAGGAGCCCCAAGGCTTCAGTCATTTGCATATTGAGAAGTCCCAAGTTACTTCCAAGTAAATATGCACAGTGGTCCCTCGGGTTACATACGGTTCAGGTTACAGATGCTTCAGGTTACAGACTCCGCTAACCCAGAAATAGTACCTAAGGAATAGTAACCCAGAAATAGTACACTTTGCTTCAGGATGAGAACAGAAATTGTGCTGCGGTGGCGCGGTTGCAGCGGGAGCCCCATTAGCTAAAGTGGTGCTTCAGGTTAAGAACAGTTTCAGGTTAAGAACGGACCTCCGGAACAAATTAAGTACTTAATCCGAGGTACCACTGTATAGGGCTGGGCTGCAAATCTGCTTGTGTAATCAGTTCACTATTATTTGTTCTTCCAAATGGACAGGTTAATAAGTTTTGTGACTGTGTTCTTAGTTTGCTCCACTGTATTGCTGACGAGCAGGTCAAGTATTAAGCAGCTGTTGCACTTTACCATTAGAGATCTAAACGGTTGGCTGATCAGAATGGGCCTGTTCTCTTATTTGTTCCACAGCACTAAAATTAGTATCTGTAAATTTTAGAGAGTGGTGGCTTTTTTGGAGAGAGGAGTTCACAGAAAGGCTAATTTAGGTGGTTCCTGAACTCATGGCAACTTTGAGCAGGAATACAAGAGGATTAAAAATGGTGGTCTGTCATGCTGAGAAAATGGTAGAGGTATTAAAAATGGGAGGACTCCATTTCACCAGAGATGGTAAAAAAAAAAGCGAAGGACTTTAAAAAATGGACTGTTTTACAGATCTGCCAGCAATAACCCTATTTGGGGATTAGTCTGTAGGTCTGCTTCCCTGGACACTAGGCTAGCAGAGAAAGTTCTCCTTAACATTTTCTAATAGCACCATACACAGCAACAGATTAAAAGGTTAAAACAATTCTGCTGTCAAAAAAAATCAATAATGCAATTGCAACCTTTAAATACACAGGCATTTTAAATGCATAGTGCGCACACAGTTTACTGTTTAAAGCCATTTAAAAATTGCTGGGGACTCCTCTGCCTTTGTGTTTGCTGGTGTGGGTTTTAAAAAAAATCTCTTTCAACTCAGAACTGTAAGGAAAAGTGCAAAGTAAATGAGTTTTAATGATTAATTTTCTAAGCTAGATAGAATCCAGGAAATTAATGCAGATAGGTATTTTCAAAAGTGTTTATTTTCTATGATGCTGAATAGAAGACCAGTGCTTTCAATCCAGTGGAGTTATTTCTGAATGCCTCTCTCTTTCTGGTTCTTCTCGAAGCCTAGACAGCCTAGGGAGAGGAGCTGGCTGCCCCTTGAGCCCACACCTTTTGGTTTGAAATACCAGGTAGGCTGTCCAATTGGCATCCAATTTTCCAAGTCTTGGCATAGAGAGGTAGGGGAGCTCATTTATGTTGGTTCAGATGCACCCAATTAGGTTTTCTGGTTTTCATGAGCAAGTGAGTTGGGTTGGGCATTGTTACAAAGGTCCAAAAGATTCTGTATCCGTGACTGTACTGATCATCTCACTATCATACACCATCGGAGGTGTTTGAGATGGTGTTAGAGGCCACCAAATCTTGTAGTGCTGATACCTCTTTGTTGGGAGCAACTTGGGACTTCTTGACCACCATGGCAAAGATGAATCTGTCTCAGCATCTAATTCATCCAGCACATATGGCAGGTCATGCATGAAGCTTAGTGGATAGCATTGTGAGTGGGGATGCAATAACAACTTCCTTACCATGGTCAGATACGTTTCAGTTAGTGCGGCTATTACTGTACCACTTAGCCTCTGCAGCAGTGGTGGATCAATTAAGACAGCCCACCACTAATGGCTGGCTGATGGATCTGATTGGTTTCCAAAATGTTTTAGGAAATTGTCAGTTAAACTTCACTGGATCTCCTGTCAAAGACCGGTTGCTGATTGGAATATAGGATTGATGCCTGGAATATGATAGATTTTAGATAGGTTTTAAGTGCTGTCTTCCGTGTCTTCTTCACAAATCTTCCTAGCTTCAGACAATTAAGTAGCAGGGAAGATGGGATGAGTGACAGTGATGGAAAATTATAATCCACCCAACCAAGCACAGATGAGAGCCCATTTGCAGGAGGTGCTGCCGCAGGAAGACATCTCCAGGGAAAATTGGATGTGTGTTTGCCAGCCACTGGATCATGTCCCATTTGTCTCTCTGCAGCACAGACCTGTTCATTCATTCACCCCATGCTATCTTTCTACATCCTCTGATGCATCCTTCTATATCCTCCAGATCTTTTTTCGCTGGCCTCATAACTGAGTGACACAAATGCTCCTAGAGCTAACCTTTCAAAAGCTGACACGTTGATCACATTTCCCACTCCTGAGGTTTGAGGCACTTCATTCCCTCGCCACACAGATTTTTCATCCCTGTCATTTTGTGCACCATGGCCCCCAAATGAATGTTCAGTAACTCACTGACATTTACATAATTGCCCTTGGAGAGTGAAGTTCCTTTCCCTCTCTTTCCTGGCAAAGTGCAAGCTCCATTGGTGACTGACAGTTTCCCTTCTGTTTTCTAATCTTCTCTTGAGCGGTTTCAGTTGCTTTGGTTTCTCGCCGTTGCTGGGTGCACCAGAGCTCAAGTGAGTCCAACGACAGTACAGACGTGGGTCCGCCAGATGGCAAGCTATGAAATTAGGCCAAGGCTTTTATGCACAGAATTCTTTTCAGAATGGAGAAATGAGAAACACTCCCCTGGAAGGAAACACATAGAGCATGCACCCATAAACAGAAGGAGAAGAGAAAGTCAAATTTATTTATTTATTTATTGGGGAGGGAGCTTTCTCGAAGGAAAGCAGAACCATCTTATTGTTTCTACAGTTCTTGTGCAAATCTGTTCCAGTGCACAATTTGAATTAACAGCCCAGTCCTACATATGTTGTTCAGAAGTCCCATTTTAGTCAATGGCTATTATTTAGATAACAAGTCTATCTGGGATAGAGAGACACTTATTTTATTTTAATTTTATTTTACTTTTTATTTTAAAACAATGGCTGCTATCTTTATAGTATGCTTTTGGGTTACAGCATGCTATAAATGACGTATATAAGGTGGCAACAGCTTCCTAATTAAACGATATGGCCAAATTACATACAAGCAAGAAGAAAGCTTAAAAACACACACAACACAAGCAAGAGCGTTGATCCAGTCCCTCACACTACAGCCCATGTATGTAGCACATGCTAACCCACAGTTTATAGGTTGTCACAACATATTAAAAACCTTCCTGGTTCAGACTGCCATGGCCAACCAATTGCCTCAGGAAACCTGCAAGGGAGGCATGAAGACAGTAGTTCTCTCCTGCTGTTGCTCCTCAGCAACTTGTATCCAGTGGCACACTTCCTCTGAAACAGGGGTACAGTTTAGCCATCATGACTAAGTGCCACTGACAGAGCCACCTTCCGTGAATTGGTTTAATGCCTTTGAAAGCCAGCCAGCTCTGCTAAATACGTATACTTTCTTTTCTTCTGAATCTACTGACAATCAGTTCCACTGGATAACCCACACAATGAGGGTAGTATTTAGTTGTGGCAAGTGGTCAGTTCTGAAACCTGGGGAACCTGGGCTTAGTTCCTAGTTCAGTCGTGCACTTATTGCATGAGGTGGGACAAGCTGAGCCAGTATCTGGAGATCCAAACCTACTGCCCCCTCCCAGAGTGCTGCTTGAGGCAACTGCCTCAGGAAGGTTCATGGTAGTGTCAGCCCTGCCTGACAGGACAGGGCTCCTGTAGATAGGTAGTTGTTGTGGCAGGAAACTGGGTGTCTGGCCTGCTCTGAATGGAGTTGCACTGCCCTTGAAGGAGCAGGTACATAGTCTGGGGGTGCTCACCGATCCATCTGTGTCACGCAAGACCCAGGTCCGCTTCCAGCTCTGGCAGGATCGCCAGCACACCCTAGTAACTGCCTGTCTTGATTACTGTAATCCACTTTGCATAGTGCTGTCCTTTAAGACAGTTCAGAAATTGGAGCTGGTGCAGAATGCTGCTGCTAGAGTATTGCTGGGTACTATGATATAATGCCCAGCAATACTCTAGCAGCAGCATTCTGCACCAGCTGGGTACTATGATATAATGCGTGGGACGCAGATGGTGCTGTGGGTTAAACCACAGAGCCTAGGACTTGCTGATCAGAAGGTCGGCGGTTCGAATCCCCGCGACAGGGTGAGCTCACGTTGCTCGGTCCCTGCTCCTGCCAACCTAGCAGTTCAAAAACATGTCAAAGTGCAAGTAGATAAATAGGTACCGCTCCGGTGGGAAGGTAAATGGCGTTTCCGTGCACTGCTCTGGTTTGCCTGAAGCGGCTTAGTCATGCTGGCCACATGACCTGGAAGCTGTACGCCGGCTCCCTCGGCCAGTAAAGCAAGACGAGCACCACAACCCCAGAGTCGGTCACGACTGGACCTAATGGTCAGGGGTCCCTTTACCTTTACCTTTATGACATAATGCCATATAACACCTGTCATGATTGGATCTGTACTGGTTGCCTATATACTGCTGGGCTCAAATTAAGAAGTTGATTCCAATATATCAAGCTCTGAATGCCTTGGGACCTAGGCATTTGATGGAATGCCTTCCCTCATATTATCAACCAGCCCAAGCTCTGAGATCAGCTGAGCAAGGGCTTTCTTACTGAGTGTTGCTCATTGTGTGGGGACCGGGATAAGGCCTTCCCTGTAGTTATGCCCCACCTATGGAATACTCTCCACTTGGAAGTATGGATGGCTAAACCACTGATAAATTTCCATAGCCTAATCAAAGCCTCTCTGTTCTCCCATGCATTTTGAAGATTTGGCTAAGCTATCTCTGGAGCTTACGATTTCTTTCTTTATTGTGCAGAAGCACTGCACTGTTGCTAATTTATGATCCTTTTAATTGTGTTTTATGTTTGTAAATGCTGTGTTATTTTATTGGTCACATTGGAAAGTGCTTTGTGGCTGCAGTGTGTTGAAAAGTGGTTTCTAAATACAGCAAATAAAAAATAAATAAATACCGTGCTTTGGGTTGAAAATGAAGAAAATCTATTTTCCACTTTTTCACATGTTTGAATTTTTGCCGATGAAGGCAGGTTGCCAGAAGTACTTCTGCTGAATAATTATTCAAGGATTTATTTCCCTGAGTGCAGTAGAGTTTCACAATTTCCATGGTAATTTTCCCTGTGAAATTATTTAATGTACTCTAATATATGAATGCACCCTTAGATAAGTAAGAGCAGGATACTGTGCAGGATACATTATAAGTGAGAAGAACTGTACTTTTCTATTCCCCACTTTCATAAGCGTGCCTGGGGCCAATTATATGCAAAATATGCAATTCTTGGTTTTGATGGCAGGCAAGTGGGAGGTGTGTGTGTATGTCTGTGTGGGAGGGATTAAAGATACTTTCAGCAGCTTTTCTGCTCACCCCAATGCAGAAGCTGGGGCAGAATTCAAATTCCCTCTCGGGGCCGTTGTGTATTTTAGAAAGCTAGGCCACCTCAGAGTGAACGGAAATAAGAGGAGGACAGCTCTATGGAGGTTAGATTTGAAGGAAGCCCTACTCGGAAGGAGATTACTATGCAGATTAAGCGATTGTTTGATAAGGCATAAAGATCTGGAAGTATGGAGAAAGATAAGTGCTGCCAACCTAGTTGTGGCATATGCCTCAATTGCAAGGAGCATAGTAATGCTCCCCCCCTCTCCTGCCATCAAAGCTCTGAGGAAGGAGATGGGGCTGCTGAGGGGGTTTGTGTGGTGGCAGCTGAGAGGCAGATCTTTCTCTCTGTCTGCAGAGCAGTGGCGGACTTACATTTTTGGGTCCCTGCAGCTTGAAGCACTGTTACCTTCTCCAATGGGATTGCTGCATGACAAATCACCAGCCTTTTTTAAGTTAACTACAACACCTCAGATTTTGATTAGAATTGCTGTACTGGATTATCTCACATGTCAAAGTCTCTGGTGTGCATAAAAATTTCCTTCACCTTATAGTTTTCGAGTTGTGCGACTCTCGTTGCGTCTAATAGACCCCAAAATTTTAAGCAATGTAGACTAGAGTCACTTCTGGGGCCCCTCCGAGATTAGGAGGCGCTGAAGCTGAAGCTTCCTTAGTTTCATAGTAGAGGCACACCTGCTCCAGAGAGGGAGGTATGCAATATCCTATGGCTCCTGTGCAGGATTGTAGGGCTGTAGGATTGTACATTTCATTGGGAAGGGCCACAGGCCAGTGGGTTAAAACATGGGTAGGCAAACTAAGGCCCGGGGGCCGGATCCGGCCCAATCACCTTCTCAGTCCGGCCCGCAGATGGTCTGGGAATCAGTGTGTTTTTACATGAGTAGAATGTGTGCTTTTATTTAAAATGCATCTCTGGGTTATTTGTGGGGCATAGGAATTCATTCATTCCCCCCAAATATAGTCCGGCCCCCCACAAGGTCTGAGGGACAGTGGACCGCCCCCCTGCTGACCCCTGGGTTAGCACATCTCTGTTGCATGCAGAACGTCACAGGTTTGATCCCTGGCATCTTCAAGCAGAGCTTCATGATCCCTCAGTCTGAGACCCTGGAGAGATGCTCGGGGGGGGGGGGCACTAGGGGCGCCTTGAAAGATGGCTGCTAATAACATCTTGTCCAGCTTGCAAGAGGTAATTAGAGGCTGATATGGGGAGTACATCAGCCTCCCTTTGTCTTTTCAGGGAAGGAAAAGACGCTGCCTCACCTGCTGTTGCCATAAATCACCCCCGAGTTCGGATGAACGAGGGGGTGAGAGGCACTAGGTGGAAAGCCCTCGGGCAAGCTTGGAGCTCCCTGCCAGCTTCTTTCAGGAGCAAGCCTGGCTGCGATGTTTAAAAAGAAGAAAAGAATTGGACCAATAAACGCACAGGCTTCAAGAGAAATCAGGAATGCTTTTATCTGCTAATAAATTTACCACTGAGTGAAGAAGATCGAGACGGAAGGACGAAGGACAGAAGGAACAGAGATAACACCAGAGAACTGCCGACATTTTGGTATGTGGACGGTACGAGGGGGGGGAGACTTTTTTATTTTATTTTTATGTGAGTACCTGATAACCCTCCCCCTCAAAAAACCGTCTCGACGACTAATTTACAAGTGGGAGTGAAAATGAACTGTGTGGAAAAAATTATATGTCTGTGAAAGATTTGGAAACAAGTGAGTCTCTCTCAGTGACGCAGTAAGAAATGCTCCGTTGCGTAGGCAGATCTCGGCTGCAAGATGGATGGTCTAGGGAGGAAGAGCCGCTTGGATATCAGGCTGGAATCGTAAATCAGAAAGGGCTGTTATCCTCCTGGAAGACTAATTATGAGGCAGCGGGTCTGGAAAGTAAACGAGTGGACATTTAGACTGTATTCCACCGGAATGACAGGACGGAGTGTCTGCTCGAAAACATGATGGTTGGATTTGTGGACATATGAGAGAGCATTATAAAACCCACACAGAGACAAAATAAGACTGTTCCTTTTAATCCACTTGTGGAGAAAACTCGGAGGTGACAGAAAAGGAAAATGAATAAATGACAAATATGAGAAGATGGGACTGGAAACATCATTGCAGTAAGGAAAGCAGCACGAATTTGGATCTTTGGATTCCTGACGATTGAGGAGCATGGGTACCCCCCACAATTTTTTTTTTAATTTGGAAAACATTTGGACTTTATGATGTGTATTGATATAATTTGGACTAATTGGTATGATATGTTTAATTTGGCAAATGGAAACTTAATAAAAATTATTGAAAGAAAAAAAAGAGAGAGATGCTCAGGGCAGACAACATTGAGCCCGATGATCCGACTTGGTCAGCTTCCTAAATTCCTATGACCCAATGATCTAGGGTCTATATTTAGAGTGCTGAGGAAGCTACATTTTGGCAGTCCCGAATGCAGTTCAGTTCGAAGACCTGTGTTGGAAGCAGCATGCCACTGAGTGCCACTGGCTGGGAATCGCAAGTGGGGAGAGAGTTCTTGTGCTCATGTCCTGCTTGTGGGCTTCCTTTAGGCATCTGGCTGGCCATTGTGGGAGCAGAATGGGCATTGCTTTGACCCGGCTGGACCCTGATGTCCCTATACAGGAACATATCTCAAAACAGAGACAGACGTTAATGCTTTCAAAAACTTCAGATAGTCATCTGAAGAGTGTGTGCTTTAACCAACTTTCTTTAGCTCAATGCTTTTTTTTTTTTACTCATCTGATGTTTCTATATAGTTTACATTTCACTAGAATATTTTGTTTCTACTTATATGGCCTCATAAAGTACCTCTTCCTCTTAACAGCACCGGAAGAGTTTGTTTTTCATTGGGAATAAAAGTATTAAGTACTAGTAGGTCTCTGATTTTAGGCAGTAATGCAAGCGAACGCGTACTGGAATCCTGCTGGGTTTTGAGAGGACATTGAAATGGCATGTAAAGCGAGAAGCTTTTAAATCACTTCGGTAATCAGAAACGTTCCTAGTCGTTACAGGCTTAAACGCATAAAGGCATAGATTTTCCAGAATGTGGGCTTCTGCATCAGTAAACTCTATGGAAGAGATGATTGGTTGCAAGGTAGAAAGGAACACTTGCACTATTTGAATATTAATGTAATCTACCCATGTGAGAAGCTGCACTATCTTCCTGCCAGAGGACTAAATTGCATAGAAGAGACTCCTGCATCAGGCACATAATCCAAAGGAAACCCTAATTTATATGCTAATTAGCCCACATGTTAAGAATTACAGGGTTAATTAAGCATATCATCCCACCCACAATTTTATCAGTGATAGACATGGAGGTGCAGAGCAGAAATCTTGCCATTCAATCGAATTAACTACCTATAGCGATTCTTTAGGGGTCCTTCTTTCAAAGCAAGCCCAGCAAGTTAAATCACGTTTCATTCAAAATAATGTCAGGGCTGTGTAGAAGTTTTTGTGTTAAAAAGGCATGGTGGGGGCAGGGAGTTGGGAGGAAGCGGTTTATACAGTGTCCTACATAGCCTGAACTTTATGTTTAATTAAACTGGGTTGGCTTCAGTTATTGAACATGAAATAGCTGCTAATTGATTGAGAACACAGCCACTGAGGTTCAACAGCTTTGTAATAAATGCATCTCTTATGGCACAGTTGTTAAAGCTAAATATATTTTAATCATCAATTTTGTATTTAATTAGGATCCTGAACCCATCTCATTACATAAAAATTAAATCCTTATTTCAGACTCTTGGAGCCTGACCATATAACTGCACGCTGGGCTTGCAAAAGGGTTGCTGACAAGTCATTTTGTTATGTAGCGCTTGGCCCCTATGTAAGAAATGTGCTGGAAAGAAATGTGAAAATGATGTGTCTTTATCTAGAAATGGATGCAGCTGCTAGCTTGAGAAGCTGTGTGAAGGCAGGTCTTATTATTGGCATGGCTTCAATGGCTTCAATGTGATTAAGAAGGAAAGGCCTAACAATTCCTGTTTCATTTAAGGGACTACTTCTGTCAATTTCATGAGGCTCATGAGATGTCATGGAGGGGATGGTCTGACCCAAAGGAGGAGTGGGAGGAGATGAGGAATTGGAGAATCGTTGGGAAAGTTCCAATGGGATGGGGATGGTGGAATTGGGGCCCCAAGAAGTGTCAGATGCTGAGGGAGGTCTTGGTCCCTCCTTAGGGTCTGAAACTCCCGTTTCAAGTAGATTGTCAAATGAACGTCCCTAGCCTAACCCCTCCTCCTCTCAGTGAGGAGCCTGCTTCTTCTGGCAAACTGGTGCACTGGTGTGAGCAAACCTCACAGAGGAGTGCCTGTTTGCTTGCTGAGTCCCAGGACTCTGGCCCCTTGCTGAGCCCACACCACTCTTCCTAAGGAAGGTGCAAGGTGGGTGTCACTTGTTGGATCAACGCCTCAGCTTCTGTTCCACGGCATATAACTTAGATAACTTACATTCATTTCAGTGCAAAGGAAATGTGAAGATAATCTAAATCCCTGTGATCAACTATGTATTATTTGCAGAATTAAAATAACCACCAGCAGCAATGTAAATGAATGTCGTCCTATTCACTTGACTAATTTCTATTCCTGATGGCAAGCAAACACACGAATTGCAGCAATTTCTGCTTCCTCCTTCATTTTTTGTTGGAATTCTCTGACATCCCTAATCACACTAGATTTCTGGTATAAAGAAGCCAGCTTTATCCCTTGTGTTAGATTCCTGAAAGAGAAATAATGGAATATTTCACATTTTGGCTCTAATCCTCAACATATTTCCTCTGAAGTAAGTCCTATTGGTTTTGACTGCATTGGCTTTCAAGGAACCATTATTAGGGTTGGAGTCTTATTTCAATTTCCAGAAGATTATTCAATTATAACGTCTATGTATAACTTTCCCAGGCTATTTGTCTGGGAAAGAACATGTCTCCTGCCCTTTCCCCTCGTCTAGGGACACCTATGATTCCATATTCTCCTTGCAAGTTAGCCACTACAGTCACTTGGTTCCTTGATGGGACAATTGGTTCCTAATCTCCCTTGGTTCCGCTCCTTCCTCCTGGGCCGTGTTCAGAAAGTGGTGTTGGGGGATGAGTGTTCAGACCCCTGGGCTCTCACTTGTGGGGTGCCTCAAGGTTCTGTCCCCATGCTTTTTAACTACATGCAGCCGCTGGGAGAGACCATCAGGGGGTTTGGGCTAGGTGTTCATCAGTATGCAGATGATACCCAGCTCTACCTCTCTTTCAAATCAGAACCAGTGAAGGCAGTGAAGGTCCTGGGTGAGTGTCTGGAGGTGGTTGGAGGATGGATGGCAGCTAACAGATTGAGGTTGAATCCTGACAAGACAGAAGTACTTTTTGGGGGGGACAGGAGGCGGACAGGTATGGAGGACTCCCTGGTCCTGAATGGTAACTGTGCCCTTGAAGAAGAAGAAGAAGAGTTTGGATTTGATATCCCGCCTTTCACTCCCCTTCAGGAGTCTCAAAGCGGCTAACATTCTCCTTTCCCTTCCCCCCCCACAACAAACACTCTGTGAGGTGAGTGGGGCTGAGAGACTTCAGAGAAGTGTGACTGGCCCAAGGTCACCCAGCAGCTGCATGTGGAGGAGTGGAGACGCGAACCCGGTTCCCCAGATTACGTGACTACTGCTCTTAACCACTACACCACACTGACCAGGTGCGCAGCCTGGGAGTCATTTTGGACTCACAGCTGTCCACAGAGGCACAGGTCAATTCTGCATCCAGGGCAGCTGTTTACCAGCTTCATCTGGTACACAGGCTGAGACCCTACCTGCCTGCGGACTGTCTCGCCAGAGTAGTGCATGCTCTAATTATCTCTTGCTTGGACTGCTGCAATGCACTCTACGTGGGGCTACCTTTGAAGGTGACCCGGAAACTACAACTAATCCAGAATGTGGCAGCTAGACTGGTGACTGGGAGCGGCCGCAGAGACCACATAACACTGGTCTTGAAAGACCTACATTGGCTCCCAGTATGTTTCTGGGCACAATTCAAACTGTTGGTGCTGACCTTTAAAGCCCTAAATGGCCTCGGTCCAGTATACCTGAAGGAGCTTCTCCACCCCCATTGTTCTGCCCAGACACTGAGGTCCAGTGCCGAGGGCTTTCTGGTGGTTCCCTCACTGCAAGAAGCGAAGTTACAGGGAACCAGGCAGAGGGCCTTCTCGGTAGTGGCACCTGCCCTGTGGAACACCCTCCCACCAGATGTCAAAGAGAAATCAACTACCAGACTTTTAGAAGACATCTGAAGGCAGCCCTGTAGTTTAATATTTTGTTGGAAGCTGCCCAGAGTGGCTGGGGAAACCCAGCCAGATGATTGGGGTATAAATAATAAATAAATAAATAAATAATTTATTTATTTATTTAATTTTGCACACACACCACCCAAACCTTATTGGCCTCTCAACTGGGTTCTAAACGTTAAGGAGGGAATCTGCTGGCATGGAGGTGGATGCAATTGATCAATATGTATCTTTTGTTTGATCTTTCTATATACATTCCATTTTGTCTTTCAAGGAGGGGTTCTAATCTGGAATCAGCAAACAGTTCCTGCATTTCTTCCCCATTCCCCTCCTAGCTTTTTTCCAACTTCCTGTACAGGCTTTTCTGTCTGGTGTGATTAACCATCTAGTACTGAGATTAGGGTACAATATCTCTGTGACATTAATCACTGCATGGCATATGCAAATAGGCACAGCCATGTGAATTATATTTACATTTCTCCTCAGGAAGAAGAACTGAATCTATTCAGGCATCTACTCAGCCTTTATTGGCCTGAAGCAGAATCAAACCAGAACTGCAGTCACAGCTGTACCTGAACTGGAACCAAACTAATAATCTGTAATGATTTGATTCCCTGCCCAGAGACCCTTGTACCAGAAGATGCATCCCTGTAGCATCTTGCCAACCTGGTGCCCTCCAGGTATTTTGGTTGTTTAAGAGTTGTAGTGCACGGCAGTTGGAAGGTGCCAGGTTAGCAAAGGCTGGTGTGACCATTAACCAAGAGAGCTGCCACCTATGACAAAAAGTTCAAGGCCATTTCATAAAAGGCCTACACAACATTCACCAGACACTTGGATATTTCCTGTAGAAGACGTTTACTTTCTAACGGTGCGTTCCTAACCATTTCCGTTCAGAAGTAAGTCCCACTGAGTTCGCTTGGTAACTGGGGTTGCAGCCTTAGTTGCCATCCTTCCTGCCAGTGCAGTCAAGGTGGCCCTCCATTGTTAATAATGGCTTCCAGTTGAAGAGTTGTGATAGATATAAAGAAAAAGGAGTGGGCATAGAAGGGAAGGGAAGAGGAGCGCAGACAAATCCAAATACCAACTGATATCTTACATAATCAAACATGAAAGCCGAGCAGCTTATGTTACATTGGAGCTCGGCTGGCCAGTGGAGAAGAAAACAGAAAACAGAAATAAATGCTCATGAGATGTGCCTGAGCGTACGTTTCAGCCTTTCCTTCTGATTATGCCACATGAGAATTAATTTAAGACGGAATTATACTCTTTTGATCTTTGTGCTAATTTGTTTGGTGCATGATCAACTGCTTCTATAAGCAGGCGAGTGGGAACACATGAGAAGGATCAGAGGATAGGAGGGTAACAGCAGCAGACTGTAAGGTCAGCTTTGGAACATTTGCTGCTTCTGTTTGAACGGGCTCCTGCTGTGGCGTATCCAGCCAACAGCTAGAGAGTCCCCTTCTAACATTACGTGGAGGGAAATAGGAACTATCATTTTTTATCAAGTGCATGAGACACCCATAGCATACTGCTAACCAGAAACCTAGCTAAACATTTGGAAAACGTTATTGTCCAAATAACAAAGGTTACTGAATTTTGGGGAAAGCATATTTGGAGATATTGAACAAAATATTGAAGGAGATTCCAAAACTATTTTGGCGCAATTTCTCAAACAAGGATCCATATGTCAAAATAAGCACGTTTTCCTGCAGCATGAGCTGCCTTCAGATGATCAGTCTGAATGCACAAAGGGGCACACAGGAATTTGTAGGGCAAGCCCCCTTTCCCTTAATAATACTGCATATACTGGACATGGTCCCTGCCTGATGTGTGCTTGGAGCGGCTGCCTTACTCAGGTTGGGTCTCCAAGACAGGATGGGAACCCTGATTGACTAGCGCTTCCATCTGTGTTGGAAATCCTATGTGCAAATGAGCCACTCGCCTTCTGACTCATGCTGACCACTCATTGGCCAGAGAGTGCACCTGTCATTTAGGGACACTGAGGTACAGTGTTTTCGAGTTGGGTGGGGTTCCTTCTGCCCATTTATACTTGCCCCTTTGCACATTCAAACTGAGCATCTGAAGAGGACTAGAGCTAAAGGTTTATTGTTTCAGACAACATATACCAGGCATAGGCAAACTCGGCCCTCCAAATGTTTTGAGACTACGACTCCCATCATTCCTAGCTAACAGGACCACTGGTCAAGGATGATGGGAATTGTAGTCTCAAAACATCTGGAGGGCCGAGTTTGCCTATGCCTGACATATACCGTACTGGCCTGAATATAAGCCTCACTTTCCCCCCAAATTCTGACTGTGAAAAGTTAAAGTGCGGCTTATTTGCGACCTTATGGTATGCAGCCAGGAGCGCAGGGCAAACAGCACCAGGAGCGTGGTTAAGCGCTCCGGTTAAGCGCTCTGTGTGTAGTCCCTTGTCCTCTCCCCCAAGGCTGGGAAGGGAGAGAGCGAGGAAGGGGAAAGGCTGCCGGCAACACAGCGCGGCTCTCGCCCCCCGCCCAGGATGCAGCCAGGAGCAACAAGAAATGGAGTGGCTTATATTCGGGTATTTCTCTCTCTCCCCCCCCCCTTCAATTTTAAAGGTGCGGCTTATATTCAGGCCAATACGGTACTACCCAAACATTAACACATACCCCCTGACGTTTCTCAGATGAAAATACAGTGGTACCTCGGGTTAAGTACTTTATTCATTCCAGAGGTCCGTTCTTAACCTGAAACTGTTCTTAACCTGAAGCACCACTTTAGCTAATGGGGCCTCCCGCTGCCGCCGCACAATTTCTGTTCTCATCCTGAAGCAAAGTTCTTAACCTGAAGCACTATTTCTGGGTTAGCGGAGGCGTATGTAATCTGAAGCGTATGTAACCTGAGGTACCACTGTAGGGACCTTTCTCACCCTCACAACTGACCCTCCTCAACCCCACCCCCATTTTTTGCTCCCCACCCCCATAGAACATTTCTTAGCAGAAGAAAGGCAAGTGTCGCAATGGGACACAGCACACACACCCTCCACAATCCTGAGAAAACCCCTTAATCCTCATTATTTTATTCTTTGGTAGATTTATAAAAAGAAAAACATATACCGATAAATTTTAGAAAGGGGCAAGATTAGATGTGTACGCAAAGCTTAAAAACAACAACAACCAAGACTCCTTGTGCTCCTTAGGCTCCCCATTTCTTTCCGCCCTGGACTGCCTTGCCCTCTACCTGCCCTGGAGAGCCAGTGCTGGGCCTCAGTGGCAGCAACCTCTTCTCCTCTTCTCCCGTTCTCCAGCAGCCGCTACAGTGGAGAGACCATGGAGATAAAACGGGATGCTCCCGCACAGCTACCGCCACTCAGGACAAGTGCTGGTTCACCCTCTTCCCTGAGCTCAGTGGTGGCAGTGCTGGCAGGGGAAACAGCGACATGCCAGGATCAAATCAGAACCTGGGCTGGCTTTCATAATTCCAGGACTGTCCCTGGAAAATTGGGACACTTGGCACGTATGTTAACGTTTTTTTAGAAGTTCAAAAGGATGAACTCTCATCGAAGTCCTTAGTGTTTCAATCAGTTTGTGTCTCATTCAGATGAAGTTGTAGCAGTTAAATAGGAAGGCTTGCTGATGTACGCATGAGATACACTTTCAATTTATGCTGATTACTGGAACGTATAGACCTAAACTGCATGTTGCACACAGATGTGCTTAATAAAACCCTGCCAGCTGCTTCTTTTAGTCAAGGCAACCGAGAAAGGAGTTTTGTAGTAGTGAAGTGCTGATGATTTCATGGAGGGTAAGGCTGTCGATAGGGACACGGGTGGCGCTGTGGGTTAAACCACAGAGCCTAGGGCTTGCCGATCAGAAGGTCGGCGGTTCGAATTCCCATGATGGGGTGAGCTCCCATTGTTCGGTCCCTGCTCCTGCCAACCTAGCAGTTTGAAAGCACGTCAAAGTGCAAGTAGATAAATAGGTACCGCTCCGGCGGGAAGGTAAACGCCGTTTCCGTGTGCTGCTCTGGTTTGCCAGAAGCGGCTTAGTCATGGTGGCCACATGACCCGGAAGCTGTACGCTAGCTCCCTCAGCCAATAAAGCGAGATGAGTGCCACAACCCCAGAGTCGGTCACGACTGGACCTAATGGTCAGGGTTCCCTTTACCTTTAAGGCTGTCGATGGTTTCCAGCCTAAGGTTACCAGACGTCCCCGTTTCCTGGTGACAGTCCCTGTATTTACAAATCAGTCCCCGTGATAAAATCCATCTATTTAGTAGGAAGTTGAAAAGTGTCCCCGGATTCATTGAAAAAAATCTGGTAACCTTATTCTAGCCAATATGGCCCAGCTCTGCCTCCTCAATCAGAGGCAGCAGTGCTTTTGGATACCAGTTACTCAAAACAGCAGGAGGTGAGAGGGCTCTTGCATGTGGCTCCTGCTAGCAGATTTCCCACAGGCATCCAATTGGCCAGTGTGAGAACAGCATGCTGGACTACATGGCCCATTGGCCTGATCCAGCAGGCTCTTATGTTCTTACAAGGATGGGCCTTCCTCTTCCCCCTGCCTTTCTGTTGCAATGTCCTTTTACAGAGCTTCTCCCTGCACCCACTCCATGCCGGGTGTTTCAGATCTGTGCTCATTGGATGGATTTTGTTCGTTTAGTTAGCATTACGTTTATATTAGAAGCAATTCATTGCAAGCAGTGAACACCTTTCCCTCCTCAAGGAACTCCAGGTGGTATACAGATTGCTCTTCCTCCCCATTTTATCATCACAACAACCCTGTGTAGTAGGTTAGGCTGAAACAGAGAGTGTCTGGGCTGTGGTCACCTACCGTGCTTTATGGTTGAGTTGGGATTATGTTGAATTATACTCTGCAGAAGAGAGGGCCGGGGTCAAATTGCAGTAGGGATGTGACAATTGGGAAAAGGTCAGTGCCCTGATGAGGTTGGAAATCGCCCCAACCCTGGTCATCAGATAGTTTGACCAGTAGGAAGGAGGTGATAAGCCAGGCTTCCTCAACCTCGGCCCTCCAGATGTTTTTGGCCTACAACTCCCATGATCCCTAGCTAGCAGGACCAGTGGTCAGGGATGATGGGAATTCTAGCCTCAAAATATCTGGAGGGCCAAGGTTGAGGAAGCCTGTATAAGCCCCCTCCTCCACTGGTCTACATACTTTCATACACACATATATATACCTCTATATATATACCTCTCCTCTCTCTCTCTCTCAATCCATTTCGGTTAAAAAGAACCCAGATTAAGGAAGGAAGGATGATGTGAACTGATTGTAAACACTGCAAAATAATGTGATAAATACTTGTGAGCACTAAAGGGTAGATGGAAGGTTACTGCCTGAGATTTAGCCTGCTGCTTTCTGAATCTCCTGTTGCCTTAAGGTGTGGTTCCCTTATCTCTGAACTCCACCATGCCTTTAACATCCAATGGATACAGATTTTCAAGTCAGTATTTTTCTCTTGTATTATTAACTCTTCAGTAGGAAGTGAGTTTGTCATGTGTGACAGTTATGGGGTGATGAGAAGCAGATTTTGGAGGTACCTATTCCTTAGTAATGTACTGGTCACCTTGGAACAGATGGTTTCTCTCCTGCGGTTCTCCTCAGACGTGTATTTGGCTGATCTTTATGAGTACCCAAAGGATCATCCCAACCTTTAAATGTTTTTATATCCTCTCCCACCCTAACCCCCCTCCATCATAATCCTAAATGTAGCGCAACCTCCTGGCTTATAAAACAAAAAGACCTCATCAAGACAGGGGTGAGCAGAAGGTAGATCAGAATCTACTGGAATGTCTCTGACTGATTTGCAGCAGATCACCTGAGATTTCTGACTGACCAGTTGTTTAGCAATTGCAAACACCTACTTCCCCCCTCTCCCACCACACCCCCCAACATTAGGATGCTGAAATAAAGAAAGCCTTGGGAATAACCAGGAAAATGGCTAAGAATGTTCACAGATAATTATGCAAAGTGACCTTTTTTCTAGAGGGGTTAGGAAAAGAAAAATATCAACAATTTTCTCTGAAACGTTCTGAGAAATTTGGTCTCAGCTCTAAATGGAAATGTTTTCAGGCCTTTACAGTTCCCTAGTACCCCAATACCCCTAAGAGATTAGACCGTGTTATTATCAAAATATAGAACTGCACTCATCTTAATTATAGCGTACAGAAGGAACCATGGTGCATAATGCCAAGAGGGCATATTGTTTTTACAATCAAGGTTGTTACAAAAGCAGCTAAATTGGTCTCTCTCCCCCACCCTGCCTTCAAGCAGCGATACAAGGTGTTTTTAGCCAGGGAATCACACGAACCTGCAACTTTATATTTTCTTAAGCTTGAACGAAACATGACCTATTCCCCCCCCCGCCCCGTATTTCTGTTAATCCCAAACCAGAACAGATCAATATATATGTAAAAAGAAACAAACAGCTTGGTTAATCACTTATCAGCCAGTTTAGGTTGCACAGTTCTAGTTGACTGGGAGGTCTTGTGCAACAAACCTGTTTTCCCCATTGAATATCAGACCTTTCTGTGATATGGAAAGCGATGGAAAAAATGCCCTGGAAAGTGTGGGATGGAACATTGTCTAATGTCAGGGCACGAGCCAATAATAAATCACATGGAGTAAGTGAAGTTAACTCTTTATTTGAAGAAATAAGGAAGACCTGCTCAGGGGTGCCAGGCCTAATTAGTATGGCAACTCTTCTCGTGGGTCTTGTCCCTATGAGGCAGTTGCGGAGGCTGAAAGTCCCCGCCTTCCCACAGCAGCCTAAATCTCCTACTCCCACAGGTCCTTCCCAAGCAATCTGATACTCCACCAACATGCCTGTCTCTGCACCTCCCTCTTCATACCTCTACAGGTCCTGGTAGCCTAGGGTGGAGGAAGGCTTGTTGCAGCAGAAAGAAGAGACTCTCTGGCTTCTTCATCAGCCTGATTCCTGCTTCGGATTCTGATTTAGGACTTCCCTCTGTCACATATTCTCGCAGCTCACTAAACCTTGTTACCTCTTCAGCTTCCAACACCTCCTCCTCCCAAGCTTCCCCCTCTTCTTCCTCTGACCACTTCCTCTGACCGTCCCACCACCAATTCCCAGGCTCTGAACCATCTTCCCTTGGGGGTTCCCTAGCTAGTGCCTCCCACTCTTCCTGTGTCCAGCCAGTCCATGACATCTAATCTCTCCGTAAACACACCAGGATGAATGTTTAGTAGACAGGTATTGTACATGAGCTGGAGGTGGGGGTTGCACCAGGTAGTCGTGCATGCCCATTACAGATTCTCCAACTGTCCCTATTTTCCAGGGACATCCCTAGTTTAGAGAAGCGGTCCCAGTTTCTGATTGGATCTTGGAATGTCCCACTTTTCCTTAGGATACCCCTATTTTCATTGGAGAAATGTTGGAGGGTGTGGAATTATCTGGCTCCCGAGCCATCTGAAGGCAATCCTCTATAGGGAATTTTTAAAAAAATGTTTAATGTGAGAGCCAGTGTGGTAGGGTGGTGAAGAGCGGTGGACTCGTAATCTGGTGAACTGGGTTCGATTCCCCGCTCTTCCACATGCAGCTGCTGGGTGACCTTGGGCTACTCACACTTCTCTGAAGTCTCTCAGCCCCACTCACCTCACAGAGTGTTTGTTGTGGGGGAGGAAGGGAAAGGAGATTGTGAGCCGCTTTGAGACTCCTTAGGGTAGTGATAAAGCGGGATATCAAATCCAAACTCTTCTTCTTATTATTATGTTTTTATATATGTTGAAAGTTGCCTGGAGTGGCTTGGGAAACCCAGGAAGATGTGTGGGGTATAAATGGTAAAATTATCATGATGGAATGGGACGTCCCTATGTTCATCGGAGATATGTTGGAGGGTATGCCATCAGCTCCTCACCCTGGGATCTGTGTGTATAGCTGTTTGTGTGAAAGTTGCCCTCTCTGCAGGCCCTGTGCTGGATACAGAGGTGCCTGGTGGAATGGCTGCTCAACATGACAGCAGAGCCCTGGGACTTCTTGGCACAGCCCTGCTCTCCTGTTGCTTTTACTCATAATGCCCAAGTACATAAGAACAAGAAAGACCCTGCTGGAGCAGGCCTAAGACCCATATCATTCAGCATCCTGTTTTCACATGTATTGAGGTAGAACATATACAGGGAGAATTTGTTACCCATTCGGTTTGCCTAGGCTTCTTTACTGCGCCCTCTTCAAGCATGGAAGAAACTTCCAAGCAGTTCAAAAGCTTCTCTTCTGACAAGTTTAAAATAAATCCCACCATTGTGTCTGTGCAGCTAAAACTCCATTTTCCAGCTGCATCCCCTTTTTTACACCCAGAATGTTGTCAAGTCTCTGGTACGACTGCGAACAAATCAGGCTACTAAAAACCTCTTGTTGTGACATCATATACATAAAAAGGGTATTCCCATGAGTGCAATGCTGTTTGTGAATGAGGCCTGAGAATTCAACTCTTCCCATAGCTTTAACTCAATTTTTAATGGCGACTCGTAGCTATCTAGAGATAACGGCTTGGCTTTCATAGAGAAGTTTTCACAGATACATTAATCAGGCTTTGGATTTTCCAGAATCTACTAAAATCTTTATTGCTACTTAGTCACACATTCACCCAGCCAACACTCGCCGCCAGTTGAAGCCAAACTTCACTCATCATTGTCTGTGATTTAGCTAACATCTTCTACAGCTATGTACTAAATGTAAGTTCAGCAGCACTTAGATTTTGCGATGCATTACATCTAATTTCTCAAGTAATTAATTTGTTAGGTAGCTTAATGAAACCCAGACGCTATAACTGCGACATGATTTCAGACATCATTTAAAAAGGTGAAAGACTCATGGGTATCATACCGGCCCATGGCAGACATACCACTGGCTCCCTGGGAAACAATGGTTTGCAAACTGGGAGCCAGCCTTTTCTTAATCTCTGGGGTGTTCTCCCTCCTTTCTGAGCATTAAACGTGGTTTCACATTACACTTGCACGCAAACAAGCCATGGTTAGCACAAACCAAGTGCGCTGTGACCATGGTTTGCAAACACTTTGAAGACTGTGATTACCATCTGTGGTTTTTGAGGGGATTATTGTTTGTCGGTTATGATTTGAATCAGTACACATAAGATGCAAACCATGGTTAATCTGAGAAAAGGAAAGAAGGGGAATTACTTCCTGTGTCTGAGTGGGCTAAGAAGAGAGTACCCAACCTCTTTGGGAGAAAAGATATCTCATGTGGCAGTTGCTGCCAGAGCAAGTGAAGTATTTTTGCCTATTCTTATTGAAACAAAGTCTGCTATTGAGGAAGTTAGGTGCTGGGTTGCTGCACAGCAATAGAAGCAGATTTCTCCTTAAAACTATGGGTCAGTGAAAGGGGTAAAGCAAGTGTTTGAAGGGTTTTCCTTGTGTCACTTTATGTATGTGTTGATTGGCCTCTGGGGAAGTGAAATGTGTTGATTGGCCACTGGGGAAAGGAAATCCAATCTCTTAATCTGTAATTCTGACAACAAAAGTGGAACAGGAATACATACACTGGATAATATATTAATTGGCCCCCCTTTCTTAGACCTACATGCCTAGGGCTGGCAGCTACAAGTCTACTGTACTATAAAATGGCACTGGGTTGGCTCTCCTGTTATACATTTTTATGAAGTGGGGCTCCACTGTTCTCCAGATGTATGGCCAAACTAGTTATGTATCACAGTCATGAGTTTGTTACACACAGGCTGTATACACACTGTACATTTAAAGCACATTTGAATTCCCCCCCCAAAAAAGAATTATGGATATTATAGTTTCTTAAGGGTTGTGTAATGAGTATGGGTTGCTCGTGCGTAAGTTGCCACCTCTCCTGGCTATGTTGCCTTGTTTAAACCTTTCTGTCTGGACAGCCCTTCACTTTGTGGCTGCCTCAGTCGCTAGCAGAATCCGTCAGTGGGCGTTTCTTAAACCTTTTCCAACATAAAAGTTGTTTGACGCCAAGTCTCCTCCTACTCTCCCTGCGCGGAAGCCTTCTGCACAGGGAGGGCGTGGGTAGCGGAGGACCCGTGCTCTCCCCGCTGGTGTCCGGTGAAGAGTCCTGGAGCCCTCTCGCCGATTCCCCCATCTGCCCCCCTTTATCCCTGGTGTTGCACTTTTTTGCTTCCCCATCTGCTGAGCTGCCTCTCTCCCTGCTGGGCCCTTCTCCAGCATCATTTGAGAGCCTCCCCTCCGCCTCTAGCTCCGATGTCAGTTCCCTGACAGGTTGCTAGGAACTGTAATTTTGTGAGGGGAAAACTACAGTATCCAGAATTCTTTGAGGAGAAGAATGTGCTTTAATGAAAAGTTGTACACACAGCCTCATAGTTGCTCCAATCACATATAACGTAGAGGAACGGAGGTCTACCTTTTACACAAAATATGAGCTCAGAGGAGAGGGGCTTGAAATTGTCCCCCTTTCCCTGTGTTACCTTGTGCTTTAGTAGCTCTGAAGCACTTAGCCCTCAAAAGTGAACCAAGCATGGGGGGGAAATCACTTATTTTAAAAAATCATTTATTATTATATTTATGTCTCATTTCCACTGTCACTGGAGCTCTAGATGGTGTACATCATTGTTCCTATCCCTATCTAATCCTCACAATAACCCTGTGAGATAGGTTAGGCTGAGAGACCATGACTGGCCCAAGGTGAGCTTCCTGAGCAGGAATTTGAACCCTGGTCTCCCAGGTCCTAGACCTTCAATCTAACCACTTCACTGCAATGCAGTGTTGTGTAGTGCTAGGTAGGGTGGGGTGGGTTGTGAACAATTTTCCTTCTCCTCTGTAACAAAACTCTATTTAGTATAGCCCAGAGTTATGTTTCTGGGTCCACCAGCTTTACAGTGGTACCTCGGGTTACATATGCTTCAGGTTACATACACTTCAGGTTACAGACTCCGCTAACCCAGAAATAGTACCTCAGGTTAAGAACTTTGCTTCAGGATGAGAACAGAAATCGTGTGGCGGTGTCGTGGCAGCAGCGGAAGGCCCCAGTAGCTAAAGTGGTGCTTCAGGTTAAGAACAGTTTCAGGTTAAGAACGGACCTCCGGAACGAATTAAGTACTTAAGCCAAGGTACCACTGTATAGGTGTTTGTGAACAAGACAAACTGCATGTTCAACATACCTCTGTGATTGCCCTGTAAGGTAAAGGGTAAAGGGGACCCCTGACCATTAGGTCCAGTCGTGACCGACTCTGGAGTTCATCTCGCTTTATTGGCTGAGGGAGCCGGCATACAGCTTCCAGGTCATGTGGCCAGCATGACTAAGCCACTCCTGGCGAACCAGAGCAGCGCAAAGAAATGCCGTTTACCTTCCCGCCGGAGCGGTACCTATTTATCTACTTGCACTTTGACGTGCTTTCGAACTGCTAGGTTGGCAGGAGCAGGGACCGAGCAACGGGAGCTCACCCTGTCGCGGGGATTTGAACCGCCGACCTTCTGATCGGCAAGTCCTAGGCTCTGCGGTTTAACCCACAGCGCCACCTGTGTCCCTGTAGTTTGATCCAAAGAAAGCCTGTGGTGGGGAAAACAGAACTCTTGCCAGACCAGCAGTTTGAAACTCACTTGGTAACTTAATAGGAGGAGGTGTTTTGATCATTAGCTGCTACTGCTGTGCAACGTAGCCAGATAGGGCTTCCATTAATTACATGTGAAGTCATCTCTGGCAAACTTCCAGCAGGGGATGGGGGCTTGCTCAAAACTAGTAATGAAAGAGCCAGATTCTTATGGGATAGCAAAAATAGGCTGATGGTTTTGCAGCATCACTAGCATAAAAGAAACTGATCCTTTTGAGACATGCAAGAAACATGGATTTTGTTAACAGATAAAGGGATTTGTCAAACAGACAGAAGTGTACCTACCTATTGGCTCCTTTCGTTTCTGTTCAATTGTTAGGTGGATTTTCACTATCCATCAAGTGCTTTTCTTCTTACTAACCTTGATTATTTTTAGTCCAACTACATCACATGCAGTTTATTTCTGATTTAAAGCCTGTCCATTCCAACTCTGGGTCAATGGTTTCTCGACTGTCTTTGGTTAACAATGGAATTCCAGCTAGCCAGCCAAAATGAAAGCAATGACTTCAGGGACTGGCTCCACTTTCAAAGTGAAGCGCTGAGATAGGAATGCATGTCAGAGATAAGGAACTAAATGGAAACAATTAACATTGGCGTGAAAACGGATGTATGGAAGCAATTACCAAATGAATTGCAAAGAGATCTGTAGGACTCCAGACAGACAGGACTGCGTGTGCTCCTTGTGTCTGTAAAATTTGCCTTGCAAGCAAGGAATCCAGCATCTGAGGTCCTGAGAATCTGTTTTTATATTGTCAGAGACATGTGCTTTGCAAAAATGTGTATATCAGGGGAAATTCCATGCAAAAAAGGGTATACCAGGAAGAATTTTGCACTGTAATGCTGAAGAATTTTCATATGAGAAGCTGATGTGGAAATGTGAAGAGCTGAACTGAAGGTTGGAAAAATGAAAAACCAAGAGAAGCTAACACTGTCCTATTTGCACACCCTTACCTGCAGGTTTAAAAAAAGGCTAGTTCCACAGGATACATTTGTTAGCTCCATTTAGCTTGGATAGTCTGTAGAACAAACATTGCTAGCAGTTGGAACAGAGGACATTAAGAGTGCATTTACTTACTTTTTCTTTATAAGAAAAGTGAAAAATCAATATGCCATTCCTGGCATTTTAAACTCTTTCTAAGTGACCTTTTAGTGACCTCACCTGCTTTTCCTTTCTTCCCAGAAGGCACCACTTCTCAAAAACATCTGCTTAGACCCCAAGGCTATTTTCTTCTACTCTCCAACTAGAAAGAAGGGCGGAAAAAGCAAACAGAGGAAGCAATTTTAATATAGATGCAATATGTTACTAAGGACTGCATCAGAATTTTCTCCTTCTGGAGGAGTGAGTCAGGAACAGCCTTGGAAAAGCCTGCCAATAGGCACACTTAAACAAGTAATGTTTTAGGTCTTAATACATTAGAATAAACAAGGGAAGATGTTCAATAACACGAAGGGAACGCTTGTGCGGCTCTGAATAAGGCTGCCACCAACATTGACAAGGATTTTATTTGTATTTGTCCATTTATTAAAAAGAAAATTAGTAGATGGCCTATCTATAAAAATATCCAAGTGGTGAACAAAATGTAGAAATACAAAACAGTTACATTAAAACCATCATAGGTAAAGGTAAAGGTAAAGGGCCCCTGACCATTAGGTCCAGTCATGCCCGACTCAGGGGTTGCGGCGCTCATCTCGCTTTATTGGCCAAGGGAGCCGGCGTGCAGCTTTTGGGTCATGTGGCTAGTATGACTAAGCTGCTTCTGGTGAGCCAGAGCAGCACACGGAAACGCCGTTTACCTTCCCGCCGGAGCGGTACCTATTTATCTACTTGCACTTTGACATGCTTTCGAACTCCTAGGTTGGCAGGAGCAGGGCGCTCACCCCATTGCGGGAATTCAAACCGCCAACATTCTGATCGGCAAGTCCTAGGCTCTGTGGTTTAACCCACAGCACCACCCGCGTCCATCATAAAACAGCACTAAACTACAAGTAAGATTGCATCCTATAACAGGGAGTGGTGGAGCTACCCTCCTAAAACTGGCGCTGCTGCTTTGCACCTGGGACAGTGTAGCAGAGGGGCAGAATGGCAGCAAGGTCAGGGCTGTGTGGGTGTGCTGGCAGAACCAATCCAACCCTCCCACCAGTGCTCTAATGGAGCCCCAACCTTACTGTCAATCTGCCCTGTCCAGTTATATAGCAGTGATGCTGGGGTTGGGAGGATAGCTGCACAGTACTGCCACACTGCATCAGTCACTCCTGTGTTTAACAGTGTGAGCCACAGGCAAAACTAATAACAGTTCAGTTGACAAAAGTCTAATGAAATAGAAAAGTCTTCAGTAGGTTTCTAAAAGAGAAAATAGAAGGCAGTTGTCTTGTCCCTGCATCCAAGTTCCACTAAGCTGCTGCAATCACATTGAAGACCTTATCATAGGGAGTGGCAAATATGGCAGTTAAAATTTCTTTCAGTTTTTCATTTGTCCAGTCCTTAAGTCTCCACATTTCTTCATAGGTTTGTCATTGTCATCATCATCATCATTTTATAAAACATGCTCATAAAAATCATCAGCATTTTAGTGCAATTTTTTCCTGATAGTTTTTGTGTGTGTAAAATTGTGCCTGAAAGACACATTTTTGCAAGCAATATCCTCATAATGCATTTAATACTGTATTTTCATTAATACATTTATTTTATGCACGTTCTTGCTTAATAAATACATTTTTGTTCACATTTATTTAGTTGGAGACCTGCATTACAAAATTTGGAGAACTGCAAAATTTGAAAAGTAGATGGGTTGTAATTCACATATTTTGTTGGAAAATGCGAATTACGTAGAGGGAAAAGGAAATGCAAGGGCCCCTATTTTTCACCTGAAATTGAAATTTCATGCTTCCCCCACTCTCCCTGAGAAAAGTGCAAGCTGTAAGTGGATTTGGAATATGTTTAGGCACATAGGTCCAGTTGTGGGCGAGGTAGACTTGGTCCAGTCAAATCCCTCTGCAGCCACTTAACTAACTAGGTGACCCTGAGCCAGTTAATGTCAACCTATCCTAGTTTAGTTTTTGTATTATGGTCAAAGGAAAAATATGTTTAAAGGAAAATGCCATCCATCTATTCTCACATTTGGATGTTGCCCTTCTTCCTCAGAGCTGTTGGTGGCAAGGGAAAAAAAATAGGTATAAAGGAGAATTCCCTGGATGCCAAGATCCAGGTTTGGAGCAAATACTCTTTGGTGAGAGAACCCCAGCAGAGATTTAAAATCATAAAATATGCAGCAAAGTAGAGCGTGGAAATACATACTGTTAGATCTTTAAATTATGCTTCCCTTAGCATAGAAAAAGAACACCTGTTTGGTAAGTTAAAAATGGTTTTCTTCATGTGCTTCTCCATACAGCATTCAGAAAAGACAAGCAGTAAGACTTAGATTCCAAGTAGTGAGAGTTTCTAAATTATTTGCATAGAAACACAAAAATGGCTTGCTTAAGCCATGTGGTCTAAGCTTGGAACATCCAGCTTTGACCTCCTTCCTGGAAGGGTTCTCATGGTGCAAAAAGGCTTCATAACCCTTCCTCCTAAGGTGAAGGGGAGTGACTTAGCTAAGCCTGGCTGAACAGCTAACTCTATGGTCTTAACCCCTTCATACATTAATTAGAGATAAGCATGTTGGCTATATGAGGCTGATTATCCCATACCCACCTCAGAGTTTTTACACTGATAAAATGAGGTAATAATTTTGGTGTTCTTTTAGCTAATTGGAAGAAGGAAAATATAGACGTGTGTACCCACACACCCACACACACCCACCCACACCCACACACATCTCTGTGTCAGACAGAGAGAGCATACCAGAATGAACTATTGAAGCCTGAATCCTGCGATAGTCCTACTTTAGAATATGTGGTTTGAGGGCAGAAACCTAAACGTTTTAGCAGGATTCAAATAGGATGAGATATTTCTGTGGATAATTAAGACATTTATGATTATAGCAGTGTGGTTAAAACCACACATTTTTCATCGCCTAAACCTTCCTGTAAGGGATTCTAGAAATTTCCCTTTCTGTAGGTGAGTCCACAAATGTCTTCTAGGGGGAAACTGAATTTCCCTGAAGTTTTTGATATTGGCTGTTCTCCAAGACATTGACTAATGACTTGAGCTGGGCTGGCTGCTATTGATGTCTCAGTAGGCAGCTACAATATGAGATAGCCATCCTTTGATGTTGTTTTGCTGCCATACCTATAAGTCATTTCTAACGGAAATGTTTACAAGGTCCAAATTAAGTAATATTTGCTTTCCCCAGTAGGGAGGTAATTGACTTACTGATTTCTTAGTGAAATAAGCATGCATTTTTTGTGTGGTTTCCATATCATGTTGTAGGAAGTGTGGATCCAATAGTCCATGAAAAACAGTCACCTTCTTGGTGTCCTTTCTCTCTTTTACATCAGACTCAAACAGCTGCTACATTTCCAGATGTTCTTATCACTACAGAATAGGGATCTTTAATTATTCTGATGGTACAAAATACACTTACTCTGATTGTATGAGCATTTCATTATTGCCAAGCAAGTAAAAAAGGGACAAGCGATGCCTCAGAATAAGGAGTCTTTCATTAGAGAGTAAAATAGAAGAATGAAATATATGCTGGAGTGCAAGCAAAACATTTAAGCGCATGGGGAAAATGTTTGTCTTTTGGGATTGCTTTTCTAAAGTGAACCTGGCATCTTGAAGCAGATTCTAAACTGAGACTTTTGAGAAACTGGGCAAGATGGTTTCAAGTGAGTTCTTTTCTTTTTCAAACTTCAGTGTGATTGGAGCTATCCTATTTATTGTGTGCTGCTAGCTATCCTTCTCACTTTATAAGTCTTAGCAATTGTCACTATATCCATGATAAGCTAAGGGCCTGTCAGCATGATGGGCGATGAGTGTCATCAAACTTTCCTGTTGAAGGTCCAGACTCCCTCCTCCTTTTTGGAGCAGAGCTACACATTACCAGCAACTTTCTTTTATAGCAGAAAACCACCACAGCTGACTTCTGATTGAGTGGTGTATATAAGGATATAAGACACTGAATCTTCTCCCTCATAGTTTGCGGAGATCAAGAGGGGGACATGTTGAGAAGCGCACTGATCCTTGGCTTAGCCTGAAGGCATCTGAAGCTGCTTTATTCTAAGAAGGAAAGTCCACAGGAAAATAACCATGGAACTACAGGTAATACGTAGTTCTGGGTTTGCTTTTCCCACCTCTGCTTCATCTGCTTATCCAGTCTTTCTAGATCTAGATGACTTGCTCTGATGTTCCAGCTGTCTGGACATGACCTGATCTGGATATGAGGAGGCCTCAGCAAAGTGCCCACTGGTGTGTCCCGTCCTATGTCCAGGAACCCCATTTCCACATTTCTAGGTGGGTGGAGCTTTCCACTGTCAACCACTTGATATCATTATGGCATCAGATGATGACACTGAAGGTGCTCACTGTCTGTGCCAGTCAATTGATTGACGTAAACACTGAGCCCAGCAATGTCCGTTTGCAGGAGTGGCTTGTATCTAAACTGTCCCTACAAATGGGCATTTGTCCTCTGCAGCCCCTTCTCCCTGACACTAGTTTTCTTTGTGAAGAACATTTCTGTTGTGTGAGCTGCCACCTTCAAGCTGAAATGGTAGAGCCTAGGCACAGAATTTTCACCTCAGTAAAATGCTGTACTCAGGGAACAGGAGATGAAAAGTGAGCTGGTGAGAAAGGGATGGACTAGCTTAGGGGAGTAGAGCCAGGGGCCAAGCCTCCTCTGATCAGCACACAGCTTTTTGCAATCATCTTTATTACAGACCAGAGGTCAGATATGAATACTGTTCCTTTCTTATAATACTAAACAGTTTGCCTGGGTTTCCCCTCACAATTTTCATCATAATAGGCAGAATTTCTAAGCAAAGAGAGACCACAATTTTCTATAATTTTGTTCCCGGCCTATCATTATGAGGCTAGTTGGTATTCACAGATATTATTATGAATTTAGTAACAATTTAATGCAAATTTAATAGCATCTTCTCACAATGGGCCCTTTGCCATCATACACTTAAAGGCAATCAAAGTCAGAGCAGCAGCTAGACTGATAACTTGAGGTTCATTGATTGTGTATGTGTGTGTGTGCACAACTAGCAGCATACTTTCTGAGTATCCACTGAGATTCAAGCCAGAAACCCAGCATAGCTCAGAGGAGTTACGGTTATACCTCTTCTCTAAACAGCCATTTTGTTATGTGCACAGTAGCGTCAGTATGTATAGCAACAAATCCTAAGTTCACTGGTATTTCTCAGCACTTTTTTCTAAATAAGCTACAAGAGCTATTACTATTTTTTAAAGTATAAAATGAATGTGATTTTGTTTGCCAGAAAAAAATGCTATTTCTTGAATGCTAGACTGAAGATGTGACAGGCAAAACTGGAAAGAGAAATTCTACTACTACTACTACTACTACAGTGGTACCTTGGGTTAAGAATTTAATTTGTTCTGGAGGTCCGTTCTTAACCTGAAACTGTTCTTAAGCTGAGGTACCACTTTAGCTAATGGGGCCTCCCGCCGCCACATGATTTCTGTTCTCATCCTGAAGCAAAGTTCTTAACCCGAGGTACTATTTCTGGGTTAGAGGAGTTTGTAACCTGAAGCGTCTGTAACCCAAGGTACCACTGTACTAATGTTTCTATCCCACCTTTCCTCCAAGGAGCCCAATGTGGCATACGTGGTTCTCCCCCTTTCCATTTTACACTCACCAGAACTCTGTGTGGTAGGTTAGGTTGAGAGATTGTGACTGGACTAAGGTCACCCAGTGCAGTGTAAACCCTTAACAGTCAGAGGCAGCAATGCTTCTGAACATCAGTTTCTGGAACCCACATACTCTTATGCTCAGGTCTTGATTGGGAGTTTCCCACAGGCATCTGGGAGGGCACTGTGAGAATAGGATGCTGGACTACATGGGCCATGGGCCTGATCCAGCAGGCTCTTCTAATGTTCAGAAAGCCCCCTTTGCTCAGCGTTGCTGTGAACAGACTTGCCACACAATGGATCATGGCACACAATGGATCACTGCTGCAAGGGGTGCAGCGAGATGTCAAAAGACTAACTAGTTTCATCATGGTGTATATAAATAACTACCATTTTGGGGGGATGATAACTAATATAGCAAAGTGCATAATGGAATGCAGCGGGTAATGGGAGGGGAAATTAGAACCTGTTGTTTTCTGTTGTTGTGTCTGAACACACAATGCGGGGACATTTGTTGATGCTGTTTTGCATCTGATCTACCAGGACAGTGGTTGCAGCGGGAACCAAAGTCAGTGTCTGCAATGCTTAATATTGGAGTGGGGGCTCAACTGCTATGGAGGAAAACAGCTTCGTAAGGCATTGTGCGAAATCCGTGCAGTATTGCACTAGGAAGAGGCGTAATGCTGCAATAAACCAAAAGACCTTGAGAGGCAGGAGCCAAATTAACTTAAAAAACCAAACAAAACATCAGCACATCCCCCACCTCGCTCCAGCACTTCTCCTGTTATCTCTTCCATGGGATATTGATATTGGCAGCCACATTGGTATCAGTTGAGGAAGAATTGATGAAACATCTTCTGGAAGAAAAACTAATTTGCCTACATGCAAGACCAGCATGTTGCGCTGCCCTTGGAGGCAAAATAAAGTATCAACCTTTACACCATGGAGCTATTTTTGTCCTGATTTGAAGAGTGCTTATTGTGCATGATACATTTCACGGTTTGAAAAGGTGGTGTCAGCAGAAAGATGCTCACCTTAGTACTTCCTATTTGAAATATGGGAAGTCTGTAAGAACGATGCTCCTGCAGACGCCTTATTCAGGTTGTGTGGGGAGGAGGGCGTAGTCATCATTTGGTGAACATGGCTCAATAATAGCACATTGCTTTACCAGTCACCCTCCAGTCCTTGCTTACCCCAGATAAAGAAATGAATCTCTAGGACCCAATTAGATGTCTAGGAAGGGGCCTTACTGTTAGCACCACGATATTTCTGAGAGCATTGTCTCCTAAGAGTATAAATCTGGTTTTAGAATAATATCAGCGTTGAGCCTTGAAACTTGGGAAATGCTGAGACTGTTAAAGATCAATGTGTTTGCAAAGACATGGGGGAATAGAGTTTAAAATAGTTTGGAAGACAGCCAGCAGCCAAAATGTAATCCCTCCTTTCTGGCACCACAAGCCGGAAAAACTGAGCATGCTGTGTTCAAGGAAATGCTTGTCCCTAAGTTAAAGAGATACAGAGATGGGTACAAGAATTTTTTTTTTAGAAAAAGGTTTTGTGAACTAATTAGAGGTTATGGGAAGGCTGATCTGGCTGTGGAGCTGCAGTTAAGGAAGGATTCACCTGGAAATTATCGCTTAAAGGCCAAAAGTCTAAAAATGGTCACTCTGCTGCAGAAGGGGGGGGGGGGTGCTACACTAGCTTCCTGGCAGTTAGGTCACTGTTGCTTACTGAGAGGTCAAGGGGAGAGGCAGCAGGGAATTTGGTGCAGTGCAAATGCTCCGGTGGAGCCAAACTGGCACTCCTGCTATTGCATTAGCATCATGGCAATCTCACTGCCACCTTGCCCTCCCTGGTAAGCAACAGTGACCCACCTTCCAAAAAGCTAGTATAGCGGCTCCACCTTGAGTCTTTAACTGAGAAGGCAAAATACCAATTGCTTCCAGGTTTAATATAACATTGGAGTACCATAGCCCCATAACTTCCATAGGGGTTACATTTTGGGGATTGCACCTAAAGCCAAATCATGAATAGTCAGAACCCATTGGGTTCAATGGTGGGTAGGATTACCAAAGTCATTTTTCCAGGAACCCCCTTTCTGCCCCCTTTTTAATTTTTTTAAATTTTTGCCCATATGTGTAAAGCTGAATGTGCACAAACTGCAGGCTTAGTTTGCAACCTAGTATAGAAATATACTTTAAAAAAACGAAAGGAAAGAAGAGCAAAAGGATATCTGTACAGGACAACACTAATCATGTCTACTCAGAATCAAGTCCGTGCTCATGGTTATCTTGCTGAGGAAGTGCTGATTAGGAGGCACAGAAAGTGATATAGCAAATCATACCTGGTAATTACTCTCAGGGCTATTTCTTCTCCTTAGAGACGCATCTGGTTCATTTATTTACTGGTTTGCTCATTTGGTCAACTTTATTTATTTGAACAATTTCTATGAAGAGCTTTCAAGGCGTCTTACAAAACCAATATGAAATACAAACATTGCATATAATAACTGGTGGGATACTGCCAGGGAGACAAAGTCCATCATGGCCCCATGTCGGCTGCCGGACGATCCATCGATCTCCCGTAGACACGCAGTATCAGCAATTAGCGACACGAGCTCCAGAAAATAGCTTGCCACATTCTGGAACTGATGCACACTCTGTCAGCAGATAATTCACAGCAGAAGTTGCATGCAGGAGAGCATATTTACAAGTTTATTCAGCGTTGGTCAGAACAAAGAAAAACATGACTGCCTGCTTCAGTGTCTCCGACAGAGAGAGAGAAACGAAAGCAATAGAAAACATAAACTTCCTGTGAACAGGAAATGCGCAGACTCTGTGACTCACAAAGCCTGCTCCCTTTTAAGGTGGAACGGAAATATCCTAACATCAACAACATGTTAAAAATAATACATGGAAATGCGAAGGGAAATGAAATTAGCCTTGCGCCCCAAAGGTAGCAATGTTGGTGCCAGGTGGGTCTTGCTAGGGAGGGGAATACCACTTACAGGGTGTCACCACTGAGGGTGTTCAGCCCAGCAGTTTTTGTAAGTTTCAGGAAGGGGTGTGTGAAAATTCAATTAATCTTTAGAAGTCAGCAGAGTCTAAGGATTTGTGACAGGGTGGGTTGTGTTATGCTTAAATATGAGGTAGCCAAAGATCTTCTTTCCTTCCGTCTTTTCTCAAGGTTTCTCTTACAGCCTTGGCAATTCTCAGCTCCCCAGTGGGGGAGGCAGTATCCTCCAGGGATTGTACTGTACAGTGATGGAATTTCATTCCCAATGGAATGAAAGATGGTGCTCTCATGGTCTTGTGCCAACAGCTCAAATTATTTCAGTATCCCTCTGAGCAATTTAGGCTTTGAAAGAAGCAGCAGCCATGTCCTCTGGAGATTCCCTGGGGAATCCCTGGGGTGAGTCCATCAAGAACCCTTCTAGTTCTATCCATTTCTGGGGGCAGACACTTAAATAGATTTACCACCTCGGCAGGGAAAGAAGTCAACATATGCCCAAACCTTACTATGACATGATTGGATTGCAGTAAACTTTAATATGGGTTTTCCATAGTGGTAAACAACTGCCCCCCATGCCATCCTTCAAACATTCTGGATAAAATTTTGCTTTCTGCAGAGATTAATTTCTATTTGAGACAATAGAATGTATGAAAAGGCCTTCAGCGGAAGGTGATGTGGAGTCTTACTGAAAATAATCAGACCCTCCAAGTGCCCCTATTTTCCAAGGACGGTCCTGGATTTACAGAAGTCATCCTGGTTTCTGATTTGATCCCAGAATGCACTACTTTTCAATGATAGGATGTCCCTATTTTCACCAGAGAAATGTTGGAGGGTATGGAGTTATGCGATCCCCAAGCCAAGGAGATAAGTAACTATATAACCTTTAGAAGATATCTGAAAGCAGCCCTGCATAGGGAAGTTTTTAAAAGTTTAATGCTTTATTAGGTTTTAATATATGTTGGAGGCAGCCCAGAGTGGCTGGGGCAACCCAGTCAAATGGGTGGGGTATATATATCATCGTCACCATCCATCATTATCAAATAAGATGTCCCTATTTTAATCGGAGAAATGTTGGAGGGTATGAATAAGTCCATTGACTGTCACTGTCTATATCTGGCCTGAATTGCCAAAGATTTGAAACATTATCCTGGAAAGTTCCAGCTAAATTTATACTAGCACTTTTCTTCAGCCTGTGGTTCTCCTTGGGATATTTTGTAGAAATCACTGTCAGGGTGTGGACTCCCCAAAGATGTTTAGCAGTCCTGGCAGAATTGTTGTTGACTGATGTAAAATGAATCCTGCCAACAAACGCTGAATAGTTTACATTTGTCAAAGTCAATTCCTCCTGCTTCTTTTCTTGGTTGGATGAGAACAGAGCAGTGTTTACACTAGCAGCAATGAACAGCTAGGCCATTTGTAAGTGCATATGATTTATGGGATATGCTAAAATATGCTCCCCTCGCTCTTTGTTGAAAGGGCCTCTTGTGGATTTGTATAGCTACACAATGCATGTGAATACTAAGAGTTAGCGCTCTTAGCCCTCGCAGCCTTGTCCTATTGTTAAGTTATCTCAGGTTTGGTTTGGTTTTTTCCTAAAAAAAATATTTCAATTGGTGAATACTGGGCATTAAATGAGATCCCAAGAACTTTTCTCTTTGACACTAATAGAGAACCAGGGCCCAGAAAGTACTCCAGTGCTGTCTTTGGCAACCTAGTGCTCTCATACCTAAGAAGAGCCTACTAGATCAGGCAAATGGCTCACCTAGTCCAGCACCCTGTTCTCACAGTGGCCAGATACAAGCCTGTGGGGAACCTGGAAAGAGAACATGGGCGCAATGGCACTCTTCCCACCTTCAGTTTCCAGCATCTGGTATTCAGAGGCATCCTGTCTTTGACAATGGGGATGGATCATGGTCCTTGTGGCTGGTAGATGTTGATAGACTTCTTCTCCATGAAATCATCCAGGGTGGTGGCCATCACTGTCTCCAGTGGGAATGAATTCCACAGAGCTGCATGAAGAAGCACTTTTGTCTATTTGAATCTCCCAACCTTCAGCTTCATTGCATGTTCATGAGCTCTAATGTTATGAGAGAGTGAGAGAAACCTTTCTCCATCCACTCTCTAAATGTCTTGCACAATTCTATAAACTTCTGTTGGGTCACCTATTACTCCCCTTTCCTCTAAACAAAAAGGTCCCAAATGCCACAATCTTTTCTCTTAAGGAATTTGCCCCATTCCCTTGATATTTTTGGTGGCCCTTTTCTGAATGCTTTTCAAACTCTATAATACCCCCTTTGAGGTGAGATAACCAAAACTGTACACATTATTCCAATTGTGGTAGCACCATAGATTTGTATAATGGCACTATGTTATCAGCAGTTTTCTTTTCAGTTCCTTTTTTTCTTTTTTTGTTCTGACATGCATCACCTTACATTTGTTTACACTGAATTGCATTTGCCACTTTACTGCCCATTCACTCAGTTTGGATCGGTCCAATCTTCTTTGTTTTAACTCAATCTTCTTTATGTTTTAACAAGCCCAAACTTTTTAGTATCATCAGAAATCTAGGCCGGAGCTGTAAGTGCTTTGGACTATGATTCCCAAAAGCCTCAGCTTGCATAGCTGTAGAATAATCAAGGATGCAGGAACATGTCAGAGCTCCAAAATACCTTGTTGCTCAAGCGAAGCGAAGCTGGCAAGGGAAGACCTTTATATTCCTTCCTGCAGTGGCAGAACCTGGAGTCTCAAATTTCAGCAGTGCCCTGTGCAATGGCAAAATCTGGCGCCCTTCCTTCTATCACGATGC